ACATTCAATGTGGCAAGATCAAAGTGGGCGCAATTTATGGCCGCAGATACAAAGATACGCAACGGAGCCAGGCTTCGATCTGCAGTCTGCAGTAGAGATGCGTTAGCTAAGCTTAAATATCTATGGATATTTGTATGTGTGTATGTGTGAGCTTAGCTATCTTTTTGGTCGATTATACTTTTATATTAACCATATTTATAAATATATATAACTATATATAAAAATTTAATTAAGCCAAGTGACTGACAAGTGACCAAGCAAGAATGATATTATTTCTGTTTACTATAGTTCGGCACTTGTTTAAGTTAACGATAGCAGACAGCTGTGGAAATATTTAATAAGTTTGGCCATTTGATAATGAATCATATTTATTTATCATACAAATATGTATATGCATATATCAAGCACGCGCTCATCTCTAAATATATATTTCTATATCATCATAAACCACAGCGAATACCGTCCGTTCTAGTAACTTTTTGTGTTTTTTTGGCAATCGATTCAACATATATTTCGATTATTCGTAACTCATGAATCGTAAATCAATATTTTCGTGTTGCCTTAACCAAAGCACGCCGAAGCGTACCATCTCTAGCGATTGCCGCGCTTGAGCCGAGCCGAAGCAGGTTATACAATTTTAGATTTGCGCTTTTCCAGTTTGGCAGCGACGAGACTGCGAGTCTCAGACTCAATGAGTTTGCATGTTTGACCCAAATACGCCATAGGGAGACGGGCCTACAGCGAGGACGCGGGCGCTGGTGGGGGCATAGATAGAGTTGCAAGAAAAATTATGAATTTTAAATGCATGTTGAGAAGTACGTACTAAAGTCGCAACCATAACATGCTCAGGTTCTCAGTTTATCAGCAGGTGAAAGTGAATTGGCGAGTGTGTGAATGTGGATGTGAATGTGAATATGAACGTAAATGAGTGTGAATGAGTGTGAATGAGTGCGTGGCCTTTTTGTTTCTAACTATCTGACTATCTGTAGCCGTAAGTGCGGCATTTCTAATAATAATATTTGCACATTCTGCCGCATACGCCTGCAATTAGCTCTCTTACAATGCCGCGCCCACACCCAATCCCAATCCCACCTGCCGAGCCACCTTAGGCCTTGCTGTCTCCGTACACACTCGTCTATACTGTATATAGTACTTAACTGTGCTATGCTATGCACCTTACTGTATGCATGTTTCGCTGTCTCTTCTTGGCTTGTTTTCTTCTGCGTTTGCTTTATGTTTGTTTCGGCATCGACGTGCGAACTGGGTTAATTTTCTATATACATATCTATATAGCTATATAGCTGCGCTTAGGTATTACAAGTCTAAAATTATTATTTGTACAAAAACATAAAACAAAAGATTCGCACGATTTGCGACGCTCTTGCCAAAGAGACAGCAGCAGCTGTCTAACAATAATAATTTCACATTTTTGTCTTTTGTTTTCTTTATTTAGAGTGAGTTTTGAATGAAGCCACGGGCTTGCTTTCAGTCGATCCACAATCTCTGATAATGTCACAGCATATAGTCGAGACAGCTTATGAGCGAGCAGCTACTTTTGCGATTAGCCGTCCATTGAGACAAGCAGAGATTTTTTTGAGACACTGCTCAAACTTGGTGTCAACCTGGCAACAGTGCGAACAGCGATAAGAATCTGTGGAATAACACACTGAAAGCTTGTACTTAAACAAATATTAGTCAGACTGATTGGCTTCATAAACTGATTAATAGTTGACACTGTGAAAAGCTCGCTTGATTGCAGCAAGAGCTGTTCATTTTTTACATTAAATGGCGCTGCTAAACGCCAGTATCAGTAGGGAATTCTACTTCTATATGCTTATACTTATATTTATTACTATGAGAGTTGTCATGACTTTTAGCTTTAACTAATGTCACTTGATCATTTTATTCATAATAGTTGATTTTTCAAGCATTTGCATATATTTTGCCATCATTCTATATTATCTATACTACATCTATCTTTTTATCTATATTATATATATTTGATCAAGAAGTTTTCTCTCTTTAAATTTACATTTATCTTGCTTGAAAAAAGAAAGAATAATATTTTGAGCTATTTTTCTGCATTTCCTGCACATATTTCCCCAGGGCTTGAATTGCCAAAGAAATTATATTTTATTGCCTGTGGAAGTATCTTGAAATCTTATCTATATCTTACAATATATACAACTATCCCACCCCAATAAATTAGAGTTCGTGCTGTGCTAGCTAGCAGCCCCTTGTGTTCTCACTTATAACAGCCCTTAATTGTTCCATTCTAAGTAGCAAAAACAGCACTTAGAACTAATTGATGTCTTGCATATATGCTACTTCATAAAGCAGTCACGCCCACTCGCTTCCTGTCACCTACGCCGCCTTAATTGTACACGCTGAATCGGCTAAAAAAGTTAGCCATTTTTCTGCTAAAACAAAACAAGTTAACACAAAGAATCGTCGAAGGCAACAACTAAGCGAACGAAAAAGTAAGCATGGAGGTCACTCGAAAGGTTAAACTGACAAGATTGACAAGCGGCACGCCACATGGCGGCCAGAGGGAGCAGACCCCTCAGCGCGGTTTGGACTTTAAGGTATTAGACGGCCGCCTCCTCCTGCTGTCTTTGGGGGCGTGTTGTGAACCTTTTTTTGGCCGCCTTGTTGGCCAGACAGTTGTTGTTTGGCCTGATAATTGGCGCGTTGCATGTTTGCGCTTTGGATTTCAACTTTGATATTATTGGCAACAAAGCAGCACTAGTTTTTGGTGAGAACACGAACTTAGCTTTTTGGGGCCGCAGCACTTGAGGGTGTGTACTCCATATACCTGTTTAATAGATATGCAAACTAGCAGCTAAAGCGCCTTTGATATTTCAGCTACAAGAAAAAACATCTCAGCCGCAATGCACACAGGCATGTAGGCATAGGCATATATATATATATATATGTTCCCAGTCTACCAGTTCTTCCAGTTCTCCCCTTTTGCTAATTGCATGAGAAACTTCACAGGCCCAGCTGATGTACGGCCCCTCCTTAGAAGTCTCCCAGGGTCGTTATACATGCTTTTTCTGCTTCCTTACTTTTGTCCGCACCTCACATAATTAGAGCCTTGCTCTGAAAGCATTACGTTCTTGTCACAATGTTTGCTTAACCCGCTAGCAGGTAGTTATAAATATACTACTTGCTATATTTAGTTTGTAACTAAAAATAGTCAATGTGCTTAGAAATTAACGAACTATATAAATATGAGAGTACTTCATTAATTGCTATTATCTATGGGGTATATATAATTCCAATTTCATTTGAATTTGAATGAAGAATTTCCATAATTAAAACAAAAACTTATCAATTATAAAATGTGTAATGATTTGATGAAGATTTTACTTGGTTTTCATAACTCAACTTTTTTCCTTTTTAACTCTCGCTTACACTTCCCAGCTGCTTAAAGGTAGCAGTCTTAAAAGGGTTTTGTAAAGCTTCTAGAGCCAATGCAAGATTTGATGTTAATAACATCGGAGGGTTCTTAAAGGAGAGCTAACTACGTACTCTTTGATGCTTTGAACTATTGTTGGTTAGTTATTAAGCAACTGGAACTGACCTTGGCACATTTTAGTAGAAGACTTTGTCGCTTAAACACAATAAACAACTAATGCTATTATTTTATGCAGTAAAAGTATTCAATGTATTGAAAATGTGATTAAATAAAATAATATAGTAACTATATAAATATAATATGTGTATTAAAACCAAGAAATGTTTATAGTGCCTAGAAACTCCATTGATTTTAGCCAGCACCTCAAAGTCAACAAGGAAATATCATTATACGAAATAACACCAGATTTGGCCTCTTGTTTTCTCAATAAATATAAATATATACTCTGCTAAATACAAAATACTAGGGTATACAAACAGGGTATTCAAAACGTATACAGATTTGTGACACTTGATTTTATTTTCGCATTAATTATGCTCTGTCTTCTTGTGAATGTGATGTAAGCTCGCTTGGGATGTTGGCTCCGGCTTTCTGCGCCACACACTCCAAGCGGAGCTGCCATTAGTTATACCACATGCCACATGTGTCAAGCTTTGTAAATGCCAGTCAGCTAGCCGGTAGCATCGAATGCACAGCTGTCACAATGTTTTATCATTTAATTTTCATAATAATAACGAAATCAAGTGGAACAATGGCAACTGACATAGACGTGGACCGCCTCGCCATGCAGGCGAATGAAGTTTGGGTTTTATAATCCGTCGGCATCAAAATGTTTTGGCGTGGGCGATTGAGCTATGATGTGGTTGATCGAGTTTTTCTTTCGGTTTCTGTAGGGTTCACTGGCAGACCAAAAAAAAAAGAAGTAAAACGAACGCAATTTGTTGGCAGCTGCAAATTATTATTTAACGGCTTCTTCGGTTTTTAGTGTTTTAACACTTTTGGCAAGTGGCCCAGCAACAGCGAAGTGAAAGTGAACAATAGCAGCTAAAACAAACAAACAATAACAATAACAACAACGACAACAACGTGTTGCACTTGGGCGTTTGATGTTGTCATCGTTGTTGTGTCTTGTTGCGGACTTCAAGTTGAAGTTGACGCCTGCTGCTGCCGCTGTTGCACCTGAACTCGAACTTCAACAGGCAAAAACTGTAGCGCCCAAGCAACAACAAACAATTAATGTTTGTTTGCGCGTTGTTGTTTCAGTTTCTACGAAGCGTCAACTACAAACTCCAATTAAAGTGTCAGTTTAATGAACTGACAGCGAAACCAACTCCGACACAGAGCCAGCGGCAAGCCAAATGCCTGGACAGACAAGCCCTAGCAATAGAAAGGGCTACAGAGTGAATGACATAGCCAAAGCATGAAGTGCATTTAATTTGATTAGTATACGATGTCCCTACACTTTGAATAGTTGAGTACATTTTTGCAAAAATGAGTCAGCTTAAGCAAAATAGCATTTAATATTTATTATATTATATTACATTTTATTTATTTTATATATTTTTCTTTGCTATTGCAGATCATTAGCGAATTGGCGGAAGTTGTTTATGCTGCATTGGATTACAATTTTCCAGAAGACGAAGAATGCCAAATGTCCCAAGAGCTAGAGACTCTGTTTCACTACATGACAGCAGATGGTAAGTGGAAAAAGGAAGTCTAGAAGCACTTAAATTATCTAATAAATAATCTAATCTAATTAAAAAAAAATAAATAAAAATCAAAATAAATAACTATAAATAAAAAACAAAATTATATCTATTTAAATATAAATAACAACAAAAAAATAAATGAAAATATAAATTAAATCTATTTACAAAACTTTAATTATTTATTTAAATAAAACTGAATTAAAAGCTTATCGGAAAGCTCAGAATAATAAAAGATTATTTATTTATAGAAAAGAATATCCATATTATGAGCTGTTCATTATTCTTTCAGGCAATTCATAAAAATATATATTAAAAAGAGTTCAAGGAATATTTATAACTATATATTACTATACATATATATCAATGTCTTGCAGATCAAAGTTTAGTAGATTAGTTTAGTAGATTGCTAAATACTTGAATCATCCGTTGAAGTAATGCAACATAAAGATTAAGGTAAAAGTTCAAATTAAGTCGTTCTGCTTCCATAGATAAAAGTTCCCTAACACAAGGTCTCTGTACAGCCACAATCAGCAGGGCAAGGTTAGGTAAATGAATCACTCAGATTCATCATGCGGCATTTATTCAAATGTGATTTACTTAAAATAAGAAAAAAAAACAAAAATCACAAGCTGATTATTGCGAAATGCTGGGCTTGAGCTTAGATTACACAATTCGTCACAGTGTGAATAACTCGCTGAACGATTTTCCATTAATCTTAATGTTTTATTTTTCCATTGCAGAAAATGACGATGATTGCATTGATGAGGGCATTGAGGAAGGCGACAAGCGCTGGGACGACGAGACGGAGGAGGAACGCAACAATACCAAAGAACTGGAGCATATAATCGAGGTAAGAAAAACAGCTCTTGACATTTCGACATATTTTTTTTTTTTGTATTTTATTTCGTTTGTCGACAGCGGCAGCTGATAAATTGCACAAACACGAATGCAAATTGAATCAAATCAAAGTTTTTGCCTGCTGAATTGAACTTTTGGCATTATGAGTCAGTTTGGCTAACAAAGTGGATACCCCGTAATGCAGAAATTATAGAATTAGCAGTAATAGAATTAATAGAGTCGAAATATGTTTGAGATGCTTGAATGCTCTATAAGAGAATAGATTCTGCTTATGAGCAGAACTAAAAGATCAGATCAAGTGTTGTAACATTTCTGTTCTGAACAAAATAATATTTAAAATCTGCAGAAATAATTGTTTTAAATTTGGAATACTCATACTTTTTATTATATTTTAAAAAATTGTTTCTTAGTCAGGTTTTAATTATAAAAAATTAAAAAATAGTTTTTAAATTTCTTGCATAACTTCAACCTTAAATCTTATGTCTGAGGCACATATATATAGGACTTTCAGATGTCTATACATAATATATATATAATATAGGGTATTTTTGCCTAATCTTTCGTGGGGTTTCCAGCTCTGCTCTTTTAGGTGTGCCGTCATTTGGCTAACCTTTTGACCAGGCTTTGACTGCTCCATTTGGCTTATATCTACACATATATATATAATATTTATAACTAAAGACGTATATATATATATATACATTTGAAGGCACATGCAGACAGAAAGAGTTATGGATATGCAGTTGCTGTTGGAAGTGTGGGAAAACTTGTTTGGCGCACGTTGCATGAACGCTACAGCAACAACAGCAACAGCAACATCAGTTGCACTTACAGTTAACCAAGTGAGGCGCACTCTCCAGAGATACTTGTTAGCAGTATCTAAGCATTTGTATCTGCTGGTGTATCTATAACGCGGCTAACCGCAAAACAACAAGCGCTCAGTTGGCTGGCTCAATTGCCCGGGTTCTAGATTACCCCAACCAGACCAGACAAGACCAGACCAGATCTCAATTGCCTCAGATATTGAATAACCAAATAGCCATCAAGTTGCAGCCATTTCGTAATAGGAAATCACTCTGCACTTGATTTCACAGCTAAATGCGTTGTAGGAATTCAAGTTTCGCACTGCACTGCATCCGCATCCAAGTCAAGGCATCCCAGCTGCAACCATATAACCAAAAGATCACGATCATTTGGTAATTTGGCATTGAGGCGTGTGATAAACAGCAATGTATTGCTGATTGGACCCGGAGTCTATGATAGCTAACATAATAGGTATGGACCCCGACCCGAAACGTTTCGCTGTGTTCCAGCTCAATGCGCATTTGCTCATCATCGATTGCAGCAGCAGCGCCACCTGTCGGCGCATTCTAGCCTCTCTAATGAGCCACTTTATAGAATTGACACATTACTGTCAGGCAACATTGAGCAGTGTTCCACCAGGCGAACCACTCGCCGGTGGCATGCAATATTTTCCACTTGCCTGACTTTTCTGACACATTTGCGCCAAATGCAAATGGTCGAAGCATCTGCAGCATGGCATGGCCAGCACAAGGGTTTATCGATTGTTAAACATGGCATTATGGCCCAGTTAGACAAATTGTTAGCCCAGCTGGAGAGCTAATTAGAAAAGAAGCTGCAGCTGTTGAAAGTTTGCAATGAGTCAATAAAACTTGCAGAAGCATAAATATTTATGTAGGTAATTAAATAGAAGATGTGGATTGGAGAAAGGAAATTATAACAGGAAAATTTATATAGAAGACCGAGTGAATTAAAGAAAAATTTACTACTATCATCATAATCATAATAATAGCATAAAATAAATTTATTTTAAATATATAAAACCAAAATTATATAATATAAAATATTAAAAATATATCAACTTATAAAAAAATGTAATAAATATGTAAAATAAATTTCAGAAAATATATTTGAATAGATTTTGTAGCTTATAGTTTTATTTATTTAATATATAATTTCTTATATTTAGATTACTAAAATATAATAAATTTAATTTACAGACCTGCAGAAACCATATAAAGCCCGCATTACCAGAGAATCATTACAAAGCCGTCTGCCGTGCCCTGGTGACGGAGACAATCGAGCTGCGAATATTTCTGCAGCAAATTCTAAACAATGGTAAGCACAGCAGAAATATCTCAATAAGAAATATGTCAAACGTTTCTTGGCTTGCAGATACCGGCAAATTAATAAAGGCATCAGAATCATCTCAGAGCACGCAGTGTGAACTGGCGAAGCTGGGCTTCAACGACTGGGTAAGTCAGCTTGTAATATCTAAAACATATGTCTAACTGCCACAATCGAGCCGTGTTATGCAATGCTTAACGAAAAACCACTAATGGTCTTTAAAGTGGGCTACACAGCGAATCACGACTGACTCTTTGGCGCACCTCTTCCAATTTTACCAACCATCATCATTATCATTAACATTATCATAGGGATCACGCGCTATGTTTCGTTTTATAGGCGAAGGGAGAGCAACATATCTTCCGCTCCAACAAAAAGAAAAAGAAAAAAATAGTGAACCACTTCACGAAATTCACTTTTAATTTTAATAATCGACTCGCAGCGGTTTTACAGCGCCCATTATCCTAATGAGTTCGACTATGTGAGATACGTTTAATGTGCGACACATTAGTGCCAAATATTTCTATTCACACACATATACATACATTGATATAGATATATATATATATATATATATATATATTTATATATATTTATTTATGTGACCTTTAAATACAAGAAGAAAAAAGTGTCGAGGCCAGCTCAGGAATTCGCTTGTGGTTGCCATTGGACCTCCAAAATCCATTGAGACTCACACGCAAATTGGCCAAACACGCAAAGCAAAAAATAAATAAAAAATAGATGAAAATGTTGGACAATCTTTAGCAAGTTTTGTTGGCTAACTATTGAAGGCTTGCCGATTTTCAAAGTCAGCTTGGAAAAGTGTGACAGTTGAAAAGTAAATTTCTATTTTATTATATTAGATTACAATTTTTATAAACATTTTTTTTATTTCAAATGAAGCGCAAAAGTGCACATCATGAATTCTTAACTTATCTTAAGAGTTTTTATCAAATCGTACGCAGGTTTCTCCTCTCCTCTCTTCTCCTTCTAAAAACTTTACTTTAAGCTTTGTTTTATTGTATTTTTTTTTGATACCTCCACTCCTCCCTCTCAGCTCACAAAAACTTTCGTAGTTTAATAAAAAAATCTTTTTTCGTCACCCAGAAATGATCTCTTCAAACAGATTTGCCAAAATAGTGGCATAATCTCAAGAAAGAGGTTCAGAAGGTGAACTAGGCCAGGTGTTAAGTAAATTTAATAGACGACAACAAAAACCTGACCAGTTGTGGCAATTCTGGTTTCAGATTTATATTTAGCACGTTAAAATTCATTGGAAAAAGTGTAATCTGATTACTGGTTAATAAATTTCTAAGAGAAGTTCACTCCTATTTCTTTTTGCCTACCATTAATCGCAATGGTATGAAAGCAATCCAAATTCTCATCGATGTCTTAATCATGCGTAATTTAGGCTTTCAAATTCTTGATTTGATTTTCTTTTTGATCAATTTTCGAATTCGATTTGCTGATTCATATTAATTATCTTAATATGGTGCACTTAATATAATTGAGTTTCTTTCTACAAGTGCTTAGTTTGATGAGTGTGTTGCATAACAGGTGTTAGCCGGCTTTGCTCGTTACTAGTTATCTAACTATATAGCTCTTTAGTTCTCTTGATTAGTTACGACAGCTAATGCACTTGACTTGTTTTTCGTCTCTAGCGTATCCAATATCCTGTTATGCCCCATTCGTCAGACTTACCTTGGGGCACACGCCCCACACATCATTTTGCATGTCAGGAAAGAAAAACCGCAAGAAATAGTTTCGCGTGCGCTAAAGTATATATATATTTATATATATCTGTATCTGTATGTATATACGTGTTGGTATCATATATCATAAGTATAACCCATCCTAACTCATGCCCGTATCAACACCATATTCATAATTAAATCAACAAAAAATTTGCATTGCGTTGAAAGGGGCTGATTAAATACGAAAAATAAGAAAGGCAAAATAATAATAAAAATGAAATGAGGCGCAGTCCAATTGAGCAATTAATACCTGTCTCAGTTGTGCAAAGACCATAGACCGTAGACGATAGAGTCCATTCATATGGCCAATCGTAAAGTAAAGCTCCCAATTGATATTTTACAACTATATTCAGTGCACCTTCGTGTAATGCCCAACAACTGCAGAGTTTGATTAAAAAAAACTGTGTCGGTTATCAGGCAAAAGTCGACTCGACTCGACTTGACTGAATGTTTTTGTACCCATTGAAACTGATAAGATTTCTATAACCAAGCAGCCCACCCACCTCTCGATCACCTGTCTATCGTTTTTATTGTCTACTCTTTTTCTGTTGCTTTCTTCTTCGTCTTCGTCGTTTTCATATTTTGTTGTATTTTTAGTAGTACTGAAAATTCAACAAACTTTTTTATAGTCAGCGCTTTATCAATTTCTCGGAAGCCAAACAGCCTTCAGAATGTCACACAAAAAGTAGCTGTTTGGTTACCCTCACCCCCTTGCCCCATGCCGTATCTCCTACAGTTAGTCAAGACCGGAACGACGAACCCACGCGATATGCAGACTTCAAGAAACGGTTTCGGATCTTGCTTGGCTCTGTTTTCTGATTGTTGCCCTGATTTTGGATAGAGCTTTACGCTGGAATTGCTGAAATTCTTTTGTCTGACTTTTTGTTGGTTTATTTCATATGTATTCCATGGGGCTTCATGCTTTGGCGACTTTGTGTCTGAAACAGTTGCTTTGGGCTGTGCAACGGAGAGTTCTAGCTAGTTGGCTTCGTTTTTGTTTCATTTTGGGAGTACGTTCCGTTGGGATAGGCGTGCTGCGTTTAGATTCCCGCTTTAAGTTAGATAGACTGGCTAGAATACGGTTTTGTAACCTACTAAGAAACAGCTTGAAAGCTTACGATTAAGTTGCTATGCTAATTTTTCAAAGCATTTCAGTCTTCGAGGTACAAAATTTAGTTAGCTTAAAGCTCTATTAAATATTTATAATACAATATGTTATATAATTTATTATGCTTTAGAAATTATTTTATGCTAGCAAAAGCAGCTGTAAACAGCTTTTTTAGCACATCAAATCTTTCAATACTGTAAAAGCATTTTAAAGAATGCTTCAAACTTTAATGTGTATTCGCATACAGATCAGTTTTCCATAGATGGCCTTTAACTAGTGTATTACTGTAAGCTTTTGCTGTTTGACATCAGCTTCTAAATACTCAAAAGCACATTGAAGCTTGCAGCATTGCAAAAGCACATTAAAGCTTTCAATATTACAAACATGCGCTTAAGAAAACTCTACTTACTTAAAAATGAATTCTCTCTAATTTTTGTTATGTCACAAAGCTTTTATAAATTATCCAAATGTAAACTTTTGCAGTCTCAAGTTGTCTGTTTTAAGAATTGTTTAGACAAATTCAAGTTTTCATAATCTGTCAACATTTTAAACCGATCTCTAATCTTTAATCGCAGCGAGAAAGCTTGAATAAGACTTTGTCTTATAGCGACTAAGAAACTTTCAAGCAAAACCATTTCAAGTGATCTCCTGCCTCTCAATTTGACAGCTTTCTGATGGAGCATTCAGCATTTGCCCCATTTGCCCAGCAGGTGCTGATGCTGGTGCGTATGGCTTGTTTGTTTGGGGGAAGCTCTTTCACCTTTTAGGCGATGCTATGGAGCATATCAACATAAACTGCATTTTCCTAGAGACAGCCCTACACATGTGTTTCGCTTTGCTGCTTAAGATGCTAATCATGATGCTAATGATGATGATGATGAGCATTGTGAAGATGCTAATATCTGTTGATGATGGCCCGAAAATAAAAAAAAAAACTGAATTTTGCAAGCGCTACGCATATGTGCGATGTTTCATGCAACATGGTAGCTTAACAGCAAACTGTTGCAAACACTTCCGGAAGCTGCCACACGTTGTCCATGATGCGCTGCTGCTGCTGCTATTGTTGTTGCGATTATTGAAGCGCAGCAGCTACAACATAGCGTTGAATGCAACACTTGTCGACTTTTTTCGCCGTTGCCTTGTGTCGATTATGCGATTGTGTCCAACAACAGCAACAACGTGTGCCACAGCCTGCCAGCTTGGTGGGTGCAAATTAGCAGCCCTCTGCCCGTGCGCAACTGTTTTGCATGTTTAATGAGCTGCCACAAAATTTATTGCCACCAATTGACGCAGTCGTTGACAGGAACAGGAAAAGCAGCGACGACGACCACCACGAAAAGTGAAAATGCGAATCACTGTTACATCTAGTTTAATCTCTTGTCTCCTTGCCCCCCTCCCCCCTCTCTTCTCTTGCTGCTGCTCTTTTTCTGCACGCTCTCTGCCATTGTGTGCTAAATACGCTTCCTGCCATCAAACAGACATCACACATACACACGTTACTCATACGCACTGTTAACCCGCCAACTGCCACAACTCGCAGCTGAAGTGTCGTACGTGTTGCATGTAATGAGCTGCGATTGGATTTGAAGCGCCTGACTTGATCACAGCGGGTCTAAATTATGATTAATTTAATTAAAATATTTCTTTTCGCAACGGCGGAAAAGTGAAAAGCCAACAAACCAGGCAACTAAGTAGCTGCTACCCGCTGTGCACAGCTGATTAAAGTGAGCGGCAATTGCAATTTCCTAACCAAGAGCCTCTCTCTATCTCTCCCTCTCTCTCTCTCCCTGCCCAATCAGCACGATCTGTAATTGTGGAGAACGTTGCAAGTATCCAAAAGTCCAATTTGCATGAGTCCCGAGTTTTGAGCATGTCTGCGAATGCAATAATATATATCTACTTCAATACACATTTGACAACTTCTTTGTTTGATTTACTCATCTCTTTCTCTTTGCTTTACAGGCACGCTTCTGGGTGCAGGTTATCGATGAACTGCGTCGCGGCGTTCGCCTGAAGAAGCGCAACTATGAGCGCACGCCCATCGAATACGAACTGACGCCCTATGAGATACTTATGGGCGATATACGCGCTAAGTGAGTAAACAATCTTACAATTAGATTTAACTCGATTCACTGATAGACTGTTGGATCATATTTTATGATAAGCTTTTTAATTGTTATAATTTATTGATATATAGTTCTTGTTGTAAATTAACATCAAACTTTATAATTCCAAGTGAGTTATCTGTTTTCAATTAGCTAGAAATATATAAAATTAATTGAGTTGGATTTTATATCAAGCAAGTTCTAGAACTTAATATCGGGCATACCCGACTAGAGCACTTTTACTTGTTCATATTTAAAAATAGATATTTGAATATATGACACTTTTAATTTATTATTATTATTTAAAAAATTGTATTATTTAAAGTTAAACTTATTAAGCAAAGTCAAGGAAAGTGCACATAAATAAATTGCACTCACAGCCTCTCAGAGAACTGGTTCCAACACGAACATAAATCATCTTTATAGAGTATCAAACTCAAACCACAACTCAGTAACAACTAATCAAATATATTAATAATAAACAAAAATTTCTCTTTCTATGTTGTCTTAACCGCAGAAAGTACCAATTGCGCAAGGTGATGGTCAACGGTGATATACCGCCGCGCGTGAAGAAGGATGCTCATGCGATGATCTTGGAGTTCATCAGGTCACGGCCGCCATTAAAGAAGGTGTGTGTTGCGTTCCCAATTTCCATAGCAAATACTTCATCGACAAATGCCTAATGGAATCGACCATTGGACATGTTAAGAACTTGAAAAACCTATTGATATTTATTGTCTCTTTCAAATCCCACAACTTTCTATCCCAATTGTGAACTTTTTATGCTGTTGTATGTCTAATGATGTTAATACATATGATATATATTTTACTAAAAAACGCACTTTGCTCGTTGTATATTTTATTTTTATCATTAAATACTGTAAAGTGTATTGTTACATTAATGAAAAACTTATGAATTGCTCTAATTCAAGGCCTCGGAACGTCAGCTAGGTCCTCCATTGAAGTGCACGCCCTCGCCTCGGGAGCAGCTCATGGAGTCCATACGCCAGGGCAAGGAGCTCAAGCAAATAACCCCGCCAAAGAAAGAGAAATGTAAGTAAAATTTTTATATAAATATTAACTAAATTAGTCACAAGAGTCCAAAAGTCCAAAAATCATGCAATGTGCAAGAACTCGACTTGGAAAAAGAAATCACGAAATGGCTAAATAAATTATTCATTCATTATTTGCTTTCCTCAATTGGTCATATAAATATATTTATTTGGTATAGATAAATACAAGATGAAAAGCAAAGCCGCCTTTAGCCATTGTTTAAGATAAGGTCTTGAGGATCAAATATTTACCGTTGGCAATTGGCAATAAGTTTTTGGGCCACAAACTCAGTTTTTCATACTCTTTTTAATGCCGGCAACCTTTGCCATTAAGAGGAAACAGCTAAACGGTTATAACATCTATCTTTGCTAAGAAATTGCCCGCCTCTTGTGCATATTTGGTGGGTGTATTGACAAGATTCCCGCCTTGTGTTGTCAACGACGTTACCCAAAAAAAAAAAATGTTCAACGCCAGCCGTTCATAAATTGTTGTCATACACATGCTGCGGCCTGTCAGTTGCTTCTTTGGCTGCCTTCTGGGCATATGGACAACAAAAATACAAAGAAAAAAACTTGTTAGCCACGAAAAGTTTTCACTGCACTTGTCGGTGCCGCTGTCTGACTTGCAGCTGCCGCCCCTTCGGCCACCACTCTTTGTCTGCCTGCCTATCTCTCTCACTCTCTATCTGTCTGACTGTCTGCCTGTCTGTCTGTCTGTCTATGTTTGTGTTTGCTTGGCCAATTGCCGTTGCTGGCATGCGCATGCCAACATAGATCAAAAACGGCAACAATTTCCAATCGCCTCTACTGAAGGAAGCGTGCAAAATTGTGACACACAAAGATAGCGACAACGCTGCAGCGCTTGCAGCAACAACAGCAAAGACAGCAAATACAACAACAGCGGCCACAACTCGACAACCTCAAAGACGTCGACGACAACGGCAACGATGACGATGAAGATGATGATGACAACAGCTTTGACTGGGACTGTGACTGCGACTGCTGCACCGGCGCTATGTTTGTTTGTCTGCTGTGAACTTTTGTTTGTTTGGCCTAGCAGCTGCCAATGCTTCAGTCATCAGACAGAGACGGCAATAAATGAGCTCGCTGTGGTTGCTAGTGTGTTGAACAGTGTTGCATACCCATATGCGCCAGCTACAAAATGGCGTTATTAATGAGTCAGCCGAAAAGCATGCAGCTGCTTTTATTTATATTACGGTGTGTTTAGAAACAAACGTTAATTACTAATAAATCTAACGCTAATATTAATTTCAATAATTGTAATATGTAAAATAACCAACATTGAACCACAGTGCATAATGTATGAACAAAGCTCAGAACGATACACGAAAACAAATTTCAATTACCGTTAAACTGTTTAAAAATAGATTAGGCATGTCCATTCACTTTCATTAGCCTGACTGAAAAGTTTAGCAATAATCAAACGCAGAGCTTTACGCACTCAACTTCTATCATGCTCTTTTTGTTCGCTCCCTTAAGCGACGTCATCAAAAGCCGCCGCTCATCACAACTCGTGACGTAACGTACACAAACAGCGTAGCCGGGGTCTTTAAATGCTAAATGTCAAAACAAAACAAAGCCTGAGTTCGCACTCTCATGCTCTCACGTTCTCTCTTTCTTTCTCTCTCTCAATTTGTGCCGCTCTTTGACGCATGCGCCTAACGCATTCAACTTTTCGAGCTTAAGCATACGCGTGGCAGAGAGACAGTTGATTGTAGACAGTTTCGTGTTAAGCTTCGGCGGTGTCGCTACGTGTTGTTGTGGCTGGCCGCAGGCGACGCGTGGCGCGGGTTGAAAACGAAAACGACCTGATTAAGCACTCTAAATGAAAAATACGTGAAACAAAAGTATTAAAAAAACCGCAGCTCTGTCAGTCTGTCTGTCAGGCTTTAAGTCAATTAATCAAACATTCTGCGAGCTCCCAGCCTACACGCACACACACACCCCCAAAAATGGGACAACAACTGTTAGCCTAACTGCTGTGGGGTTGGTTGCCTGTCGGATCGATAGCCCGAATGCAACCGTGCAAGAGTGAAAAGAAAGAAGGAAAAAACAGCCTGGAGAAACAAAAAGAAAAACAACAAAAGTGATTCCCAAAGTGTTTCTGCTACAGTGCGAAGTGAAGTGCCCTGAAAGTGGAGCAACAGCTCCGTTAGGCAGGCTGGCGGATATATATTTGCACATGCAATGCAAAGTTGAAGCCAACTTTCTTAGCCAGAAACACGAAAGTGCTGTCGCTGCTCGCACAAATGGATGCCAAACAACAAACGACGCCCAGTGCCAAGCGCTCAACAGCCGCTGCAGTGTTTAAATCGCATCACATCGTACGCAACGCGGATGTCGTTGATGTTGCCAGCGATGCGTCGCTCTATTGCGGCAACGAAACGGAAACCGAGGCAGTTCTTGCCGCACAGTTGCCATTGCAGTTGCACTCGCAGTCACAGCCGCAGCCACAACCAACGCCACGTGCTGCGCCGCGTGCCGCTGCTGCTGCAAATGCTGTCAATCCGCCAACACCAAAGCCGCGTCAGGCTGTCAGGACATCAAAAGGTAGCAAACAAATTGTTGTTGCTGTTGCCACATATTGCATTGACCTGGTTTCCTTATATAGCTAGTTGCTTGTGGCAGTTCCACCTTTAAAGCAAAAGTAATAAATGCAGCACCTTAAGACGTAGTCAGGCAGAGCATAAAAGCAAAGTTTTTTTTATTTATTTCTCTTCAAAACTTTTCTATATCAGATGATTACTAATTCAATTTATACAAAAATTTAAATGATAAATAGTGAATATAATGAAAATCATAAAATATTTTTATGTATAATTCATAGCCAAAATAATTATTTGAAGTTATAATAAAATACATTAAATAATTTCCGAAGCTTTTTCTAGCTAAGCTTTATTCATTTTCATGTTTCATCTTTTGATAAAGTTTATTTTATAATTCACTCTATTAAATATATATTCGATTCCGAATTTATTTATTTTATTTAAGTCCGCCAAAATTTCTTAAATTTTTAAATATTTTGCATTTAAATAATTTTAAAAATATATTTTAACTCGCACAAACTAGTAATTTCTTTACGTTTGAACAACTTTCAACTTTCACAATTATTAGAAAAACATTTCTAAGCTCAAAAGCCAGTTGTCAAGTAAATATTTTCATAAAACGCACAGCTGTGAGCCGCCCAAAAGTTCAAGCAGAACTAAAAAGTTGAATAATAAAAAATGTAAATGTTAAAATTACCCCACATGGAGAGTTTCTAGACTCACATGAAACACGCTCGCTTCTGGCTAATTTCCCAAGCACTTGAATGAGCATTGCACAAGCGGAAGCAGATGTGTAGAACTATTAAATGCGCTAACTTAACGGTGGCTTGAATGCCCAGACAAAGCACTTAAAAGAAGCAAGAAGAAGACGAGCAAACATAGCGACACTAAGATGACAAAGTAAAAGAGCAGCTCAAGACGTTTGTCTAATTACCCAGCGAATGGAGTCGAGCAGAGGGCGACTCTGTGGAGCTGGTTACGCTCTAGACCCCGTTGGGTTGGAAGGGGGGGCAGGTCACTCGCAACAACTTGCACAACTTGCCGAGCATGTAATCTAATCAAGGCAGCGTCGCACACACAGCGTGACATATGCATCTATTTTCCCATAGCTTTAATTCAGTTTACTTTACTTTCGCTTTGGAGCCAAGACTAACATCTCTTCCTCTTCTTCAATTGTCTCTTGCAGTGCTTCCAAATTCAACAAACTCAACGCTGTCGCGCTCGCGGCAGCGGCTCATCAAAGTGGATTTCTCAAAGTTGCAGGTGAGTCAATCAGACATGCCACATGGAATTATATAATATTTAACATACTCTTGGCCAGGACGACGAGCTGATCTTAGATGAATCCAGCGTCAGCAGCAGCAATGCCTCCTTAGCAGCTGCCAGCGAATCGCATCGCTTTACACAGCCCAAAATGCCGCCGTATCCCATTGGCGGCTACTATTTTGGCTCCCAGATGAGACAGGACCCAACGGCAATGCAGCTGCGACCCAGACGCACAAGTAAGTAGAGCAATCTTGCAATACGATACGATAGATGTACTTTGTATATATATTATATAGATATATATATAAATATTTATATGACTTGTGCACAAGGTATGAAGGAACAAGTTCTCTGTGACATTTGATCAGAACTTAAGCTAAAAATGCTTGGGTTACTTGGATTAATTACAACAAGCTCTAGATGAAACTAGTTAGAATGAAACTTGTTTGAGTTTGGTTAGATAATAACTAGCAAGTTGAGATGTCTTTTGACGAATCAGTAGAGCAAATTTAAAGATCTACTAAAACTTGACACATATATGTAGACATATAAGCTATACTTCGATGCCAACTTCGGTCATCATCAATAATTTTTAGTTTATTTTAATGGTGATTGAGGTAACTCAAAATATTGTTTGTCATTTGCCTTTTCATGGTTCATAATGATGCGTTGCCAATCATTTCCGAGGCCGCTTTAAAAGAGTTCATGTATGATGAAATGAGTGTCTTGATTAGTTACGTATATATATATAAAGTATAACTAAAAATCATAGCAAAAGCAACCCAAAGCAATTTAAATATTAATAATAATTCCTTAAAATATAAAGACAAAAATTCAACTAAAACGAAGTAAATAATTTCATATAAAATTTTTAGATTCAATTTTACTCTCTTGAATTTAGAATGTCCTTAAAATGCAATAAACTTTTCCTCTATACCTTGAACAACATTTAATTCTATGTTTTAATATAATGCGGTTTTTTGTTTTTATTTAAATTTTAATTTACAATTTTTGTATTTTTACTTTTTTCACATTTTTTCCCCCTTCCCCAACACCAAACCAAAAAACTTACTTTGCAAAGGTATCTGAACGTTTGTTTAATTATGGCCTACTTATTGATCTGAGCACACAAATACCGCTAATTAATTTTGGTTTATGATTTTGCTAACAAAATCAAATGTATTATATTTTTTGCCAAAACGCACTAAGAACAAAGAAATAATGAATGGATCGACTAGAGAACTAGTTGCAATCTATAGTTGGTTGGAAGATATGTAGTTGATGTGGGCCCAGGCTGAAGACAATTGATGCCGGTTATGGATAAGCACACACACACAACCACACACACACAGACACACACACAACACAACAAGAAAAATAATCTCGAAATATTTGTCAAGCAATTGAAAACTTGCAACAAATTTACCAAAAAAAAAAAAAAGAAAAAAATAAAAAAAACCGTTAAAAATGGATTGGAAAATTTATTTTTTAGAGAACTAACAATTTTGGTTAATGTGCCTTAACACGAAAATTAATAATTATTTTAAAAAATTATACAAATATATATATTTTTCATTTTAATTTAAAAATGCAAAAAAAAATACGCTTAAAAAAATTTAAAAAAAATATAATTACGAACAAAATCCGAAAAAAATTGCTAACGCCGCCTTGAACTATGCAACACGATTTTTTGTTTGCGCTGCACAGAGGAGCAACAGCAGCAGCAGCAGCAAGACGAATATGGCAGCAGCTTCGATAATGCACTGGAATGTAAATATGCGAGAATATTTAAAGATTTTCGTTGTACCTCTGTTTGCATCGTTCATACATCTTATTCGAAAAATTCCAAATTGAAACGCATCAAAATTAGCATTTAGAAAATTGTTTTAATTCACTTTTTAAATATTATTGAATGATTGACTGATTCGAGCTCAATTTCACACTGATAACATATAACATATGAAGCAACATTTCTCCATATTTTAAAAACATTTTCTTTAACAGTTTTACATACGTTTTACATACACAAACATCCCTATACATATATACATATCGCACACCTAGAACACATCCTTCCGCTGTGTCCACTCGCCTGCTTGCCTGTGTATGTCTTGTTCTAGTTTTCGTTATCGTTTGCTCTACTTTTTATACATCCACAAACACACACACACACACACTCACACTCACTCAATGAAACACATAACGCATACGCAATGTTGACCGTCTTTCAATGCCGCATCACAACTAATGACAACTTTTCCCTTTTCTTCCCCTTTTAGCCTATGACCTGGCTACACAGAACGAGGCTAGACGCGGTTCTGTGCGCCGTCACACTATCGTCGGTTGCCAGAGCAACCTGGATGAGACGCACTCGATGCCACCCACGCGTCCTGAGTCGCGTCAATCGGATGACGTAAGTGGCTCGTCCAAAGAGGTGAGCTACACCTGAGTGCAATTTATCTTATGACGCATCCATAAACTTATTTATATTCTCTGTTTTTGCGCAGCTGTTGAAAAAGACTCCCGAGGCGCTGCAGTCGCTCGACCAACAACAGCAACAGCAGCAGCAGCCACGCCAGCCACACGCCACGTCTGGAACTGGAGCTGATGAGACGGCGTCGCATTCAACATCCTCGCTTGGCCCATGGAACAAGTCCTTCATGGACAAACAGACCTGGATGGAACGTGGGGATGATCGTCTGTCCGTTACGCTAGCGGAGATCGTTCACATACGTTCCGTCATGACCAAAGCGGAGCTGGAGGGCCTGCCCATGGATGTGCGCGTCAAGGAGGATGTTGAAAAGCGTCGTGTCTGCTTTCTTTGCCTGCGCACACGCTTCTCCTTCTTCGGTCCGTGGGGCATTCAGTGCAAACTGTGCCAGCGCACCGTCTGCGCCAAATGCTACACCAAGATGCGTATACCCTCGGAGCATTTTCGCAATGTGCCGCTGGTGCTGATCTCACCCTCGCTGCTGTCCAGCCCGGCCAGCTCGAACACGCCATCGCCGTCGCACCACGCCCACCACATGCACTCCTCATCGACGGGCAACATCATGGACGATCAGTTTCCCAAATCTCTGATCGAGCGACTGCTGCGTTCCGAGTCAGATCGCAAGGTGGGTTTGAGTACAGTTTAAAATGAGCTAAACATTAATCTGACCTTCTCACAGACTCGCAGCACTGTCGGAAGTGCACCATCATCGCCCAAGCACCAAAGATCAAACATGAGCACGCCGGGCATCAGTGTTGGCCCTGGCTCAGCGGCCGCGGCTGCTGCAGCCACCGGCCAGGCCGTGGAGGCATTACACGATCAGGCATCCATGTCAGCCTCCTATTCGGGCGCCATGCGGCCATCTGGCGTGCATCAGTACCAGCAGAAGCAGCAGCACTATAACAATGCCATGTCCCGCAGCATGGAGGGACCACGTAGCCTGCCCGTGCATAGCCCGGCGCATCGGCCTCTTTCCAACAGCAGCACACTGGAGCGCAAGTAAGTGCTCTCCTTAGCAAGCCATATATGAAAGAGTTGCTTATCCTTACACTTCTCGTCTACAGATCCCGTTTCTCACGCGGCTTTGCGCTCTTCTCGTCGGGCAGCCATTTGGCACAGACGCAACAAGATCAAAAGGAAAACCTGCGCGGTGAGCAGGTGACCGTTTGCAATGATTGCCAGGGTCTGGTCAATGAGATAACCAGCTCCGTTAAGCAAAAGCGTAGCTCGGCACGCAATCGGACGATACAGAATCTCACGCTGGATCTGACGCCTGTCTGGAAATAGAACGCAACAAACACCCAGATGAAGGCGGCACCCAGCACTATTAACTACATAATACACATTATATATAAATATATATAATAATTCACATATGCATATTTTGGATGGACTGTTGTATACATAAGATTGACAGATAGATAGAGAGCAGGAAAGAGGGAGAGAGGGAGAGTTTGAGTTGAAGCAAGCGCTTGGATATCGTTGTAAATCGTTAGATCGTGTTAGTCTAGTGTTAAGTGTATAACCCCTAGCAAAAATGAGAAAAGGGAGAAAAGCAACGCTGAAAACTTATTCTTCTGACTAGGGACATGCTTGAGTGCGCACCCCACCATATAAATACGTTCGTACATACTCTACTGATATAACCTAAACATATAAATACATCTATAAATATATATATATATAAACACATATAGATAATGAAAATCCCGTGCGATATATGATACGTTGTTTGTAATTGTTTAATTTATGTATAAATGTTGATTAGGTCTCGTATTAATGCACAGACACTAACAAAAACCCGATCATATATATATAGAACGATTTACTATATCCCATTAGCAGATACATGTAAACGTTGATAAATAGGTTATCATTATTAACAGATCCAAAGCGCTCCACAGCTTATGCCTTCGATACGCATAAGCCTTAACGATTGAATCCTTAAGTTGCGAACCAGGCAAAGTCGAGGAAATACTGTTGTAAATTATGTGCTTGCACAGATCTTTTTTGTTTGTTTGTTTCTCCTGTTGGAAAAGAATAAAACTCGTTTTGTTCATTCACGTAGAAACCACCCTAAACCAAGCTCTTTTCAAGCTGATTTTCGCTATTCTCATATAAAATATTCTAATACCCATTAATAAATTTCAAATGCGACTAGTTTAATTTAAATATAATTTTACACTTAATTGCAATTAGAACATAGTTTAATTAAAAGATCTAAGAAAAAGAAAACAAATTTTGAAAATTTTATGTTTTTTTGCGTATTGTAATTTATAAATGCATTTAATAATTGTAATTTATGGAATTAATTGTATGTATTAGTTTTTATTGTTTTTAAGTTAAATCATTTGTATTGTATATGAATATTGCTCTCATTTAACAAACAAACACACACACACAACACACAAACAAAAACGAAAATACACAAAACAACAATAAAAATAAAAACTACTAAAAACAATTAAATTCCTTAATGGAAATGGAAGTCGAGCGAAATGTTGATTCTTCAGAATCCTGCATCGGGAAAGTCTAATGTTGCCCAAAGAATTTTGGTCTATCTGAAATGTAGTTTTTCTGCACAACAAACAAAGACAAAGATAGATTACAAACTGATATATTTATTTTAAATGTTCTTTCAGCGAATAAAAGAAAACAAAACATGTTCAGTAATTTAAAATAAATTAAGAGTTCTTCTCATAATTATGTAAACTATACATATTTCTCAGATACTCGGACCTCAGGCTTATGTACGCTTAATGTTATTGGAAAACTAGTAATAGTTGCAATTGGATGTCACAAAACGCGGTTGCTTAAAGCTAACAACTAAGAGCTAACATTTTTTTCTCATTTGCATTTAGAGTCGAGCAAAGCTGAGGAAGTCGCTACTCTGAGCGCTGCTTTTTGTTGTTGTTTCTGTTGTCGTGGCCGCCGTGGCGCTTGCGGCCGAAACGCTTGTTGTTCTTGCCACGTGAGAAGTCACGTCGCTTCTTCATGAATTCAATTGCCTTGTCCAGAAATTCTTTTTCCTCGTCTTCGTTGGCCTTTCGCAGGGTAAGGGAGACTTCATCATTGAATTTCAGCTGTCGATGGAATAATAAATAAGTACTCAAGGGGATATGATGTTTTTGTGAGAGCTTACCTTAGCATCCTCCACTTTGGCAATGTATTTCTCAGCCGCATCCGCCTCTGTGAGACGGACAGAGCCCTTTGTGTCTCCTTTGTTGAACTCAATGTAAGCAATATCAAAGTCTTTGACTTTTTCAAAAGCTTCGCGTATTTCCTCACGCGAGACAGTGTCTGGAGCTCCCTCGAAGACAACGATCGCATTTTTGGGCAGCTCAATTTCGGGTTCAGGTTTGGCCTCCTTCTTGTTCTTTCGTTTCTCGTTCTTCTTTTGATATTCTTCCTGCTTCTCCTTCAGATAATCAATCTGCCACTTGCGGAGCAGCTCACGCTCTTTGTACGCGAGCTTATCCTTCTCAAGGAATTCTTTGGCCTGTTCCTTCTTCTCGAATGTGACAAAGATGCTACCCTTGAATTTGTACGACTTGGTGGGCTTGTCGTAATGTTTGCGCATAGTCACATTAACCACCTTATTGAAGGCACTGACAAAATCGAGAATCTCTGTCATTTGGGATTCCAATGGGAAGCCCTTAGCGTAAACTGTGCGCTCCTGAATCTCTTTACGACGCTCCTCGTTGTGTTCTGGAACGGGTCGTTCAGGATGACGACGCAATTTCTGCTTGTCCTCGCTGATCTCCACGAGGCCCTCATCGGATTTGTTCAATGCATTTACTATTTCCTCAAAATCAGTCGAGAGCGAAGCCAAACGTTTGAATGTGACCAGCACTGAAAGCGGAACCCAACCGCCTTCGTTCTTGGTAATTTGCTCGCTAAGGAACTTGTCACGATGCAAATTAGCATCACCAAAGTAGTATTCAACTTGCCGAATAATTGCGCGCTCTTGCTTGCTGTACTCTTCAGCCGCGGGAGCCTCTGGCTCATCTTTCTTCACATCACCATTTTTGCCGGTCTCAGACTCGACAACTTCTTCAACTTTCTCTACCTCTTTTACTTCTGCGTTGACCTCAGCATTTGTAGTCTCTGCTGCCATTGTATTTTCTTTTTTGTATTAAATTATTTTCAAGAAAATAAAATGAGAAATGTGCTGCGGTGCAAACACGTGTGCGGCAAGCGGTAATAGAGCTGTCAGCCGATGCCACAATCGATAGATTGCTAAAAGCAAAAATATATAATTTGATCGATATCGATAACTATGGCAGTGTTCAACACTGATGTACAGATTGTGTTTGGTTTAAAATGTAATTGGTTACTGCCTGGCGCATGACGGTGTGCTCCTTCGATTCGATTTTGAGACGCTTCAATATCAGCCATTGGGAGTTTAGCAGCACACTACGATTAGATGTTAACGAAATATTTTTTTTAAAGTTATTAATAATGCACAAATAAAACCAGAATTGAATTTGATTTCTTTAATAACAATTTAGATCTCGTCAACTAAACGAAAACGCTGGTGTTGCTTCTCAGGAATTACATTGAAAAACTTTTTATAAATAGTTTGGTCTTGCCGACCCGCATAATTACGTTGAATCCAGGTGTGATCCCAGTTGGGGTCAATGGGCTCGCAGGTGACTACAACTTTGCCATGCTCTATGGCAAACAATGTACCATTGCGTCCAAGGCCCACCTTTAATACGGTGGTAAGTCTTATAATATTGAATGAATTCTGTACTAGTCAGATTTACTTACGTTCAAGCCGGGATGAAATCGCGTCGTCAACTGAGTAGCCAATATGGTTCCATGGGAAACGTAGTGACCGTCTTGCACTCGCCATCCACGATGTTTTGGACGAGGATGGCCCTTCTTATTCCGCGTGCTGCCGCCAGTTTTCTTGCTAGCATTTCGTATTGTTGCTGATAGGGTAATAATAATTGTCCGATAATTTACTCTGCATGTAACATAAAGTTTACTTACTTATGAGCGGTTGGTCAGCCTTAAGGCATTGTAAGGAAAGCTTTTGCATTATACTAAACGACATTATATTTGTTTTGCTTTTTGGTGGACTGTTTATGCAACTGAATATCAGTGTGACCGGAACACAAATACGAAAAATACTATGTTATCGAAAATAACAGAATGTAAATAGCGCACAACATCAAATCAGTTGCCAGTGTTGCTTTACTGAGGTACACGAAAATATTATTCGGCAAAAGCCGTCGGAGTAAATAAATTTATTTTTGGCGGCTTAGATTATTACAAAAGAATGGAAATAGTTGCACGAGCGTCAACACCAGCAGTTGATGTTCAGATTAATGACACTGCTCTTAGACTCAGAATACGAGAATATGCTCGGCAGCAGCGAAAGGAATTAAGAACAAATACAACAGATGCACTGCGCTTTGGGTTAGGGCAGATCAAGGATAAAATTAGCGAATTGGAAAATCTTGGAATCAAGGATGTACAGGGAATGGCGAGTCGCATAAAGCGTCGTAAGCATGCCACCGGAGAAGATATGTATCGGCTAAGCCATGCATTTCTGCAGGGTAACGAAAATATAACCGCCTTTGCAGAAGTGCAGGGCGCAACTCAAGTTATAATTAAAGAATTCACAGGTAGCTATATATGGTACATTGAAATTATAAGCAATTCAATCTCCCCCGCTCAACAGGTACGCAGATGCAACGCCAAATTGAAGCAGCCGAATGCCTGTGCAACTATTCATTAGGCGATGCGCATGTCTGCGAGAAAATAACAACAATGGCTGGCAGCTACCTGGTCACATTCTTGGATAGTAAGGAGCCAAGGCTCAAGCGCAGCTGCCTTTGGACGCTAGCTAACATTTTGGCCACGTGCACCAAATCCGCCAGCATGTTGCTGCAAATGCAATTGGCCAGCAAATTGTGGAAATTGTATACTTTACCTGTAAACGATATCAATGGCTATCATGAAGATGCTGCTATATGCTTGTATTTAATAGCCAATAGAGCAGCCTCCTCTATTACTGCAGAGGATCGGCGGTATATTGCAGAGAATCTGCACAAAAAGCAGCCAGGCGAAGCAGCTGCCGATTATTTGATGTATATTGTATTTCAATTAGAAATTGTTAGCCGCGAGCGTGATTTATGCGCACCTCACTTTCAACATTTGTTACAGTTTTTCGTGGAAAATCTCAATTTGAATATGAACACAGCTGCCGACAAGTTGCGCATCGTTTACGGCGTACGTGTGGTTGCAAACATCTTTGCCACACGCCCATCTATGGGCCAATTGGAATTGCAGGCAGAGCACCTGGTGAACGTTTTGAATAAACTGTTTGCCTTGCGGGACACGAATCTAACAATGGATTTAATGCAGCTGCTAAAAAACCTCATCGAAGCTCAATTGCTGGACAATGAACTTCTGTTGGAACACATTCGGGTCTATGCTTAACCAATAACCTTTTGAATTGAGGTGCACAAAAAACTGAATTTAAATATTTATATATATTGTATATACAAGTTGTTGGATGAATAGTGTTTAAATGAATTAAATTGTTAATCTACTGAGATTACACCAAAATTTATTTGTTATTCTTTAATTGTGTGTATACCACATAGATGAATTGTGTAGTTGAAGGTGTTTGATTATAAGTGTTTCATAAATACATAAATATTCGAGTTAATCTATGAATATAGCTAAAGACAATGAATATTGGTGTAAGTATATATATAGATATATATAGAAATATATATATACGTAACACAATCGTCACATAAATAATAAGTACTACAGAAATTAAAAATTAAACAATGCACGTATTTGGGGGACTTTTCAGACTTAACGATGTTACGGAATAAAATTAATATAAGCTAACGTATTTAAAACTTAAATTAGATATCGTCTTCGAATAGGGCAATAATACGACGCCGTTGTGCGTCTTCGTCTAGGGTGTTGCCTGCATTGCACTGTCCGTTGTGATGCATAACATTGTGAATTTCTAGTTCGCTAACTGCTGCGAATATCAGTTTGCACTGGCAGCAACGAGCTGCTGAGGTGGGCGTCACTGGCACTGGAGACTGGTGCAGTGGCGTACCAGTGGCTCTTTGCAGCTTCTCAAGAAACGTGGCACGTGCACGCTCCTCGTGCAACGGTGCAGCAGCATCAGCTGTTTGAGCGCCAGTACATCTTATGGGTATAGGCTTCTTAACTACTGGATTGGGCGTGTTTTGCGAGTTGCGACTCTCGGAGCGCTCAATGGCGTACAAGACATTGTTCTCTACTGTTATGGGTGTGGTTGAGCCACTCTTAAATTTCAGCAAACTGTTCCCGAAGACTGCATCATCGTTTGAAGATGGATAACTTTCCCAGCATGTCGATGTCTTTGGTGCGCTCTCTTTGAGTGGCTCAATTTTCTCAGCTTTCTCAGCACTGCTGCTCGTGCCATTGGTGATTTTAACCTGATTCAGTTTATCAGCCAGCTCGGTGTCAATGGAATGTTCCTGCAACCAGGTGCATGTCTTGTGCAAAGCAAATATCATGCGTCTAATGAACTCATGGGGTGATACCATCTTTTGACGCTTTATCTCCAGCAGTTTGTTCAGTTCGCCCACAAAATTAAAAAACTGGAATTCAACACAATTGTCCAGATGCAATTGATGCGAATCCTCGTGCATGTACCGCTTGAAGCAGGCCGGGCACTTGCGCTCCTTCCACATGGGTTCGGGTATATTGACTTTGATGTCCCTTAGCTGCGCCTGTTCCATGGGGTCGTCCTCTTCGAAATTCGTTTCGCTATAGTTGTAGCAATTCTTGTGCTTGCGCGACAGCGCATTCTCCTCATTGTCATCGCTTGAGGTGACTGCCGCATAATCCTCCTCCTCACCTGTACCGTTGCCGCTGCAGGTCCTAGTGCTGGTGGATGGCATCTCCACTTTGACCTGTGCAGCATTTCGATGTTTATTAAATAGATCATTAAGATAGCGTATTTCGCGTTCGTTGTTGCCGCCTTGCTGGGGCACAGTCCGATTAAGTAGCTGCTTGTGCACTTTGTCCGTTCTTTCTAGCTTGACTCTGTTGTTGTTCAGCAGGAGATTGTGCACTGGTCGTTGCTCCACATAGCGCAACTGATCTGCTGTGAAGAGTGCACTCTCCTTATCTCCTTTATTTTTCGAAGACTTTTGTTGATATAGTTCGATTAGCTTAAGGCTGAGTGCGTTTTTAATGCATTGTTCGCGGAATGTTACGGCGTGCTTCAAATACGATATGCACAGTGCGCAAATAACAGATGGCAGACCGTCATCTGGTGAGATCTATATAGATGGCAAAGATAAGATAACTGCAAGCTCTAAATTATGTTTTTTTTCTTGTTACCTTTAGTCCAGACGTTTCTTCAAGCAATACATTAATTGGCTTCTGAAAATTGAGAAACTCATTCGATGAGCCGTGTAAGTATGTAGGTATTTTGGCAAATATATTATAGTCTGCGGGGCTGCTGCAAATGCGGCATATATTTCCCCAATTTGTCATATTTTTCTGTTTATTTCTATACTGTAAATATCGAAGTCAATTAATGCTACACTAAACAAAACAACAGTATACAAAAACGCTGAGTGTTGCTCTATATGAAAAAGGCGAAAAACTTGTCAGTCAGCTGTCAAAGCTTAACAGCCCTGTCCTTAAAAAAAATTATATTTAAACACCAATTAGACTTATGTTAGAATTCTGATGGCTATTTATGCGACAACATTTAAATATGAAGCAAATTGCGAAAATATAATAGATGTTTATTGTACTCAATATGCTATATATTAAAATACTATTTAACTTTTGTAGGTAGTCTAAAAAGATATAAGATATTATAATTCCACACAAATAACATTTAATTTGTATTCCGCCCACTTCGATAAATCGATGATTCGATAACATTTTACTTTATTATTAGCATAAAAGACTGTGTGCAGAAATGAATAATGACAATCCAAATATTATATTTAATCCACTTATAAGTTCCATACAGAAAGTGGTACTCTATGAAACACGTTCGGTAAGCTGTGTGCAGGCGATAGGTTGCATTAATTAAAATGGGCTCATTGTTTTCAGCGCTTGTATTTGGTGGGCAGCAACAATCGCGAAACCCGATTTCGCTTGCTCACCATCGATCGGTTGGCGCTTAACCGCTTGAGCATCGAGGAGAATGCGAATGAATTCAACAGCTTGGATATACGCAGATTTGTGTCTTCATTGACAGGCTCTCCCAAAGTTACCTCTGCTTATGGAGTCTTGGGCTTTGTGCGTTTCCTCGAGGGCTATTACTTGATACTGGTTACCAAACGAAAATGTTGTGCCCACATTGGCATGCATTTGGTGTACACGATCAAGGATACGGTGATGGTCCGTGTCAACGAGGTGACCTCCCAGCGGCCTCCACACCCGCACGAGGAGCGCTACAAACGTATATTCCAAAACATTGATCTACGCAGCAACTTTTACTTCTCATACTCGTATGACCTGACCCGCACGTTGCAATACAACGAATCTGCTCCCCGTTATGTGGGTACCAAGGTGAATCTGGAGCGGGACGAGCCGCTGCCCGATTGGAATAAGCTGACGAATAATGTTGCGCAGGCACACGAACGTGTCGACTACGCCTTTCGCAGTGATTCACGCAAGCGCTTTGTGTGGAATGCCTACCTGCTGCAGCCAATGGAAGGCATCATGCTTAAGGATTGGCTCCTGGAGGTCACACACGGCTACGTTAGCCAGTCCTGCATTAGCATCTTTGGCAGGCATGTGAATGTTTGCCTCATAGCACGTCGCAGCACTCGCTTTGCTGGCACACGATTTCTGAAGCGAGGCGCCAACTTTAAGGTAAGTTTCCAAATGAAAGGACATCTTGCGGAAATAAAATTATATATATACCAACAGGGCGATGTAGCTAACGAAGTGGAAACGGAGCAGATTGTCAGTGATGGCCAGCGTTTGTGCGCTTTCACTCAAATGCGCGGATCAATACCATCCCATTGGTCGCAGGACATAAGCAAAATGGTGCCAAAGCCACCCATACAGTTGGACATCTCTGATCCCTATGCTCAGACGCCATCGCGTCATTTCGAACGCCTGCTCTTTCATTACGGCTCTCCGCTTATCATGTTAAATTTGGTTAAGAAGCGTGAGCGACGTAAGCACGAGTCCATTATTTCCAAAGAGCTACAGAACAGCATTAAGTATCTCAATCAATTCTTGCCGCCGCAGCATCGCATGAAGCACATACATTTTGATATGGCTCGACAGAGCCGGCTCAGCGGCGGCAATGTCATGGAACAGTTGGCCGTCCATGCGGCCAGTATTATACAGATGACGGGTATGTTTTATAAGGCGCATCGGGGCAGTGAGCTTAGTTTCCAGACGGGCATCGTTCGTACCAATTGTGTTGATTGCTTGGATCGTACAAACTCGGCGCAGTTTGCCATTGGGAAATGCGCGCTGGGTAATCAATTAGAACGATTGGGTTTTGTGAAGTCAGCTAAACTGGAGTTTGACTCGGATTGCGTGACAATGCTGGAACATCTATATGAGGAGCACGGTGATACCTTGGCTCTGCAGTATGGCGGCTCACAGCTTGTGCATCGCATCAAGACCTATCGCAAGACGGCAGCCTGGGCGTCGCAAGGCAACGATGTAATGCAGACTCTTAGCCGATATTACAGCAATACATTCAGCGACACGGAGAAGCAGCAAAGCATTAACTTGTTTCTGGGCCTCTACAAACCAAGCTTTACCAAATGTAAGGTAAGCCCCGGGTCGAGTAATACAATTTCACTTATATGTTTTATAATTGCAGTAAACCAACCCATATGGGAGCTTCAAACGGATTACGATATGCACAATGCTTTTGTGCCGAGCACATCGAATGCTTCTATTACGGATTGGGTTAGGCACAAGGTGCGCGAGTGTTTGCCCTTTCCCTGCGCAGACACCAACAAGCTAGTTAAGGAGCTGTTTCGTGTGCATAGTAATGGTTTGGAGATGATTGATTCATACTCCAATTACCATCAATCCTTTAAGTGGACAGATCTAAGCGAGCACATAGAATTCGAGATCAGCCAACTTGCAACGCGATATATGCCCACATTCCGCACCAACTACAGCCCCTTTCAGCGTCAGATACAGCCGTCGCGGAAAGGCCGACAGAATCCATCGATGACTGGCCAAAGCTCTACTGGTTCGACGAATAGCAACTCCTCTAGTTCCAGTGAGGGCGAGGACAGTTCCAGCGACGAGGATCTCAGTGCCAGCTTTGCCGAAAAGGAGTCCAAGCAAACGGAAACAGCTGAGCCGGCACCATTTACACTAGCCTCAATGCTGCCTTCCATGGAACAGGTGTATGGCGTCACCATCAATCCGCCGTCCAAACAGAGCATGTCTATATACAAAAAGTACGTACAAATGGGTAAATTGTCCAGTGGTGGCGCTCAGCCAACCCAAACGGCCGTTGCTCAACGGGAACAGGAACATGCCAAAATGATGCGGGGTATCACACTGCGACCGCTTAGTGACTACGGCACCGATTCCTATCTGAGTGTACAGCCGCCAACTGTGCCTGCCAAGAGTCAACTCATTTATGCCGAATACTGCAAGATACCACGGAACTTCAATGCGGTGCCCAAATTTGAAGAGCGCGCTTTGTTATATCGTTACGTTCAACAGCTTGAAAAAAGGTTAGATTTCGAGGAAGCAACCGGAAGTGTATAGAAATTATCATATAACTCTTAGAATGGTTATTTTATGTGTTATGCTGAGTGTAAAATAATGATGTAAATATTTATTGTATACACTTAATATTTAATTCACTTGTATATTGATAAAGAGCTTTAATAGCATCTACATATCCAAGACTTTTGGTACAGATATGTCAAATTTGTAAAAACCCAACTGACTATACAATCGAATATCCAATATTTCTACTCAGTTTGAAATGTAAAGCGATTACTTAATCTTAATGTATTGCAAAAAAGTAAAACCTTAAAGCTTTTATAAGATTTCTTATATTGCATTTAGATCTTTATATATTCAACCACATTCTGGTGGCAAGTGCTAACGCCTTGTTCACAACTGTTATTAAATCTATTATGTTCATAAAAAAAGTATTATTTAAATTAAATATTAATGTGTTTATTGCTTGCAAATTAAAACAAATTATGTATTAAAAATACTCAGAGAAATTGTTAACAATTGAACAGGAAACAGGACCTTTTTCGATCTCGGCAGGTCTACTTGACACTGTGCTGATCCGTCGTCGGCTGCGTCGCTTGCTCCTCCTTGGACTGATACGTGTATTCAGTGTGAACGCCATGTGGTGCTGTATTGGATGCATGCATAGCATTGTAAGCCGGCTGCTGGCTATGATGCAGACTTGACTTTATGGTTGTTGGCTTGTAGACGTTGCCCAGTTCCTGGGCCAGCATGTACTGCTCCTGCTCAGGATAGTCGTGTTCGCAGTGGTGCTCTCCGCAGATCTTGCACTCGTAAATATTGGGTCGCAGTGTAACTTTGATGCGCTGTGAATGAATGCAAATGCTGTTAAATCAATTACGACTAAATCAAGCCATCTCTCACCTCCCAGAAGCTGTCGCCGCTGCTGCGCATAAAGTTGATGATGGCATAGCCTGGTATGCAGATCAGAGAGAGCGAGGCAAACATCCAGCCAATACCGTACGCCCAGTCTGGATAGGTATAGCGTCCATTGTGATACGTGGGCTCCTTGTAGTTGATCAAACTCAGTACCCAAATGGCCTGGAATACGCATATTCAGAATCATTTCTTTACAATTTCCATTTGGCACTTACAAAGAGCAAGCAGGGTCCCAGCACCAGCCAACAGGATTTTAGATAGAATGATGGCGCCTTGCCGGTCATTTGCTTAACATTCTTCGAGAGGCGCCCGGTGCCGTAGAACCAGGCTATGGCAATCATCTGGCAGAAGGCCAGAAACATAATCGTCACAGAGGCAGCATAGTGATCCATTAGCTGGAAGTAGTAGATGCCGCCCTGTATGATGTTCGGCAATCCAAACAGGCACGAGATGACGCAGACAAAGAGCACTACAATCTCATGGTAGCCCAGATGCCGCTTGATCCAGCGCGGAAAGCCATCCTGTATGGAAGTAACAACCACTTCGACTATGGCAAACTGTGAATTGAGGCCCAGACAAAGCAGCATAAAGAAGAACATAACTGCCCAGAGCTGGGCATATGGCATCTTTGCCATTGCCTGTGGATAGACCACAAATATCATGCCCGGTCCATCGCCAATGACGTCGCGCACATTGGTATTCTGCTCCAGCGCCAGGTTGCCCAGCGTGGAGAAGGCAAATATGCCCACCAGTAAACTGGTCCCCATGTTCACCAGGCTCACCGAAATCGTATCTCGCAGTATGTTATTGTTGTACTTATTGTAGCTGGCGAACGAGATCATAGACCCGAACGTAATGCCCAGCGAATTGAAATTCTGTGAGGCAGCATTGATCCACACGTTCGCATTCTTCAGCTCCGACCAGTTGGGCCGGAAGAAGAAACGCAAACCCTCGGCAGCGCCATCAAGCGTGACCGCCCGGAACATGAGAATAATGATGAGCACAAACGGAAATGTGGCCGTGAAGTAGCGCACCTTGGCCGACGACTTGATTGACTTCCAGGTGGCAAAGTAGACCATCAGCCAGGCACACACGAGGCAGGCGAACAGCTCCCAGCGCATCATGCCCGGATATTCCAGTCCGGCGCTAATCTGCAGCACTTTGTTTCTGCAAGAGGCAATACAAATAAAATATTCTATCGCTCAGGTGCGCCTCTTGCTGCATACTCAAAGAACTCCTCGGAGGGCGTGCGCGACGTGTCCGGTGCAGTGGTATTCATCTCCTTGCGCTGCGGCACCCAACAGTCAGGTGTGTTCCATCTTGAATGAAAGCAATATATGTATCCCTTATTCGCTTTCGGACCGCGCTTAACCCACTTACCTGTTGTTGCAGTCGATCCACGGCATTTCCGTTTTGAACGATGTGAAAAAGTAATAAATTGAATAACCTATTATGACGCTATAGTAGGTGGACATGAGAAACGAGACAACTACACTGGCCAAACCAGCACCTGCAAAGATTATATATTAATTATATATATTTATATATTAATTATATGTTTCAAGCTATGTATACCTGTTGAGGTATGATTGCACTTGAACTGCCTAAGTAAGCGGTTAGTTCTTTGACAATTTAATTTACGACTTTTATTTATTCTAGACAATTTCCTTGATTACATATAGATTAATTTAGCTACTTATACTAAGAAATATATATGATAGAATAATTAAAAAGATTTCTTTTTTTTTTAATTTATATAAAAACTACATACCTAAACGAGACAAGATTTTTAGTTAGTTTTAGTTTTAGTTTAGACTATAGCGAATTCAGATATTTGATTTTCGATTTTCGTAAATTTAAAAAAATTAATTAAGAAATCTATAATTTTTTAGACCAAAAACAAAAGGCTAATAAGTGCTGCAGACTTGGTTCTCTATGACTTTCTCTATTTTCCGAAACTGAAAAAACTTCTCAGTGAGCGGCGCTACTCTAAGATTGAGGAGGTAAAGGGGGCATCGCTGGAGGAGGTAAAGAATGCCCACAAAAAATGATTTTTAAAGTGCTTCTAGGATTGGAAAACCTGTATAAAAAACTCGCACAACTGTATAATATCTGAAGGAGCTTAATTGAAGAGAATAAAATATATATTCAATAAAGCTCGTGATTTTCTAGCGATTTTTTTGATCTGGCTATATCTGCATCATCTTACTAGATCCACAATCAGATAATACTTCTTATTTGTAATTCTTGATTTCTCATCTAAAAGTAGCTTATAAGCTTAGCTAAACTTGGCTTTATTATGCTGCTTAAAATCTTATTAAATTATGAATAAAACTCAGCTCCATGCCAAATCCTTGGCTAAGACACTTCTAAGTCTAAGACTATGGCTTAGAAGTAACCGTGAGCTAAGATTAACAACCTTTCTTATAAGGAACAGCATTATAGCCAGTTTGTTTGCCTATAAAGCAAGGACCTAAGTCAAATGCATGCGTGCAGCATTGTATTGGCTCTGCTGTAATTCAGATCAGTTCACTTGAATCACTTGTCTAGACTTGGACTCATCTGCATAATTGTAATTGGCCGCGTGCCGTTGAGGCCAATTAAAGCCATTTGCTGTTGGTTGGCTTAGAAATGTCTATTAATATTTATTAGTTCGTTTCTGGTTGCAGGTTGGACGTTTGTCAGTGGGCGTGGGCGTGCCTGTGTGGGCGTGCCAAGGCTGTTCTATTGGCAAAATATTGCAAAGAGCTTTGCGAATATGTCAAAATAATGTTGTTTGTTGAGATTTATGACTGTGGCCTTTGACTGCTTTTGGCATGTGGCATGTGGCCTGTGTGTGTGGTGTGTGGTGCGGGTGGTGCGGTAACTCGCAAACGGTCGCAAGACGCGTACGTAAATCGCTCAAAACATTTCCGTTACGGTTTCAAGTTGCACTTCGCCTTTTCACGCCAGCCCCATAAAAATGATACTAACTAATTAGCAAGTGTCGCTGCTCATACGAATGTGTATTTCAGCTGTTACAGTAGATGATAGACGCAAGTGCTTCAGTGTCACTGGAAGCAGATCAAATTTTTCTTCAAGCCAACTAGACCGACGTGTGTATACCCTGCAAGCTTAACAACTGACTGGGATAGGCTAAGATACATATTGTGAGGAATGCACAGGAAAAACTTATGCTAACTGTATGTGATAAATATTTCTTTAGAAATTTTTATAGTCTTTAGAAGCCCATTAGCAAAAGTATTATGCCTAGCTCACACGCTGCTTTACAGGGTATCTGTGCACATGTTTTGTGTATCCGTTTTCGGCGGCTTTGTGCAGTTTTGTAAATTGTAAATTCTACGCGCCGTTGGCCAACTGTTTGCCCAGCTCTAACTAGGTGTATTCAGACATTGGCAATGAACTTTAGCAGGCGGCGCCCATATTTGCTTTGTCATGGACACATGGATAAATCTCATTTAGAGTTTTGTTTCTCTATTGTACTCATTAGAGTCATATTTTTTGTGTGCGTTTTTCTGTTTTCTAATTAACTAGGCGGAAAGAACATTTCTAAATTTAGTTACTACAAGCTCGACAGCGTGACGCATTCGCAGTGACCTATAAAGCGTGTAAATATCTAAACGAAATGACGCAATGAGACTCAATGACTGGGAGCGAGCTTCTCACGAAATCTTAAACGGATTTGTAAATTATTAAGTGAGACCACTCGATTGGTGGGCCTCACGAATGAGAGGGAGATTGCCACATGTTTCATCGGTATTGATATATGTCCAGTTCCAGTTATTTTGTCTGGCAAACTCATATAGAATACATACTTATCTTATCTACCCCGTTTAGGGTATCAGACAAGTTCGATACGATAAGTGGCAACGTCTTTGTTTCCATTATCTTAACCTATTTAATTTATTTATTATAATTTAATTTCAAGTAGATATCTTGAAAGTAGCAGACAAGGAACTTAATTCATTCTTTGTATATATTTTGTGACTTACCCTTAAACAGCGGGCATAGCTGACCCAGTGCCCCGATGGGACCGCGGCCCGTGTACTGGCCCACAGACAGCTCCATAAACAGCAGCGGTATGCTGCATATGAAGAGTATTATGCAATAAGGTACTAGAAACACACCTGCAATTACAAAGAGCATATCAAGGAAACGAAATGCGAACAGCTAAGTAAGTAAGTAATTAAATTAATTATAAATATTTGAGATCAACAATTGCAAATTGTAGAGAACAAACATCCAAGCACTGAGGAATAGGAACGTGTATAATGTCTCAGCTTATCCAGTTGTCAGATGTCGCCTCATTATACTTTCGTGTTTGTGTGTGTTGAGGAATGTAAATGGGCCTCTGGCTTCTGAGAGTGAGAGCGTGTAAATGAAGATGGACGTAGCCACTTGGCGGGGGCGGCTTGCGTGCGCTGTACTGCAAGGGGCAGGCTGGGGGAGGCTGTGCGCCAGCCCAGATGACAGTGACCGCTTTATTTTGTCGTCGGACTTTCATACTTTTGCGCTGAGCTTAAACAAATTTTAATTTATGACTTTGTAGCGTTTACAGCGGAAATGTCGCATATAGCGCGAAATTTTCAAAAATAAAAACAAAATGCCTCCAAAGATGTCACATAGAATCAAAGTTTATGCCGAAACCCGACACATGTCCCCACTTATTTCCGTTACTTCACTTCTCTCTTTTTCACTGGAATGCTCCGTATCGAAAGTCAAATATTGTCAAATTTATTAATCTATGCCGACTTGAACTGGGTTATTTATTTGCTTCGCATTTTAAAAACGTTCTAAAAAATGTGTGCAAGCCTCCAAGTTTCTTTTTGATGAAAAAATGATTTTATTATCTCATTTCTAGGTTATTTAGTTGTAAAAAATCAAAATCAGTGAAATCTCGCATAGAACTTGTAGTTTTTAATGCACAAAAATCTTTTGAAGACATATCAAATCTAATGCAGCAATAATTTCCATTTGCCTCTGCATCAGATATTTCATGTGGATCCCACTTACCGCCTCCACTTTTGTAGCACATGTAGGGAAAACGCCAAACATTGCCCAGGCCCACCGAATAGCCAATGCAGGCCAAGACAAACTGCATTTTGTTGGCCCAATGCTGTTGGCGCGGCTTCAAATGGGCCGCCTCGTCCGACATGTCCATGAAGCTGTCATCGTCATCGATGCCCAGCGGCCTGCGAATACAAAGCATATGCTTGGGTATAGTTTAGCAAATATACATATAATGTATATCTTTATATGACTTTTCGCTTTTCATAGTGATTTGCATTATGGCCAGCCAGGCGCATCTAATTGTTGTCAACACTCGCCCTCTATAATGTGGCATTGTCTGTTGTCTGGCACCCGGACCCCAGACACCAGACCCCAGAGCCCAGACAATTGCACTGATTACATGACCATCGCCGCGACACCAACCACACACGACCCCAGCTAACATTTCTGGTGTGCCAAATGGTTTAATTGTAGTAATCACATGCCGAATGCAACAATAGCTCTCTACGAGGTGCCAAATGCCAGTTCATTGTTATTGCATGATCAGATTAGGGGGTGTGTTCGCTTAAATATTGGGGGACGACATGGCAATGCTGAGGCGTAAGGTCTGAATTTTATGAATTATGTAAGCAGCATAGATTGCTAATAGTGTTAAAATTACTTTGTTATTCGAATTCATTTAGAAGTTAAAGCATGGCAAAATGAGCTTTAACTTTTTGAGTGTAGATGCAGAGTTGAGTAGAGAAGAGTTAAGAGTAATTACAATCATTTGATCTTGTGATATCTTGACTTATATTAAGAATTTTAGAGGATGGACGAGTAAAACATTGTGTCGTAGTCTATATAGTAGAGTATAGCATAGTATATTATATAGTATTGTATATGGTCAATTACAGTCAAATAATTTAGTACAGCAAATAACTGATGAATTTGTACTTCAAATAATACCACAAAATAATAAGGCTTCGATATACTTTATATAGTATTTCATACTTGACAAATACTAATTCCCTTTCTTATTGATTTATCAGCAATATTACGAACATTCATTTTTAACATGAGACATTGTATAACATTTGCGAGCGCTACAAATTCGTAGAATAAATTGACAAAGATAAAGTTCGATTCAGCTGGGAAGTCCAGCCAATTGCCTATCTTCAAGTGGAGTCCGTGAATCTGTCTTTGACATTCAACCGAGACAGAACGCAGACTTTCCTTTATATCTTAACTTGTCACATATTTGCCAAAGGCCAATCAATCTATTCATTAGTAAGTTGACAAGACATATTTTATGTCAGCTTTATTTATAACATATTCAGTCTCAAGCTGATCCCATATATAAATACAAGAATCGAACGTTATCAAAAAAAAGTTCTTTGACACGTGCCGCCTGAGCTTGATATATATTATGCATATAGAGAACATAAATAAAGTGAATAAATTATATAGTCTCGGGGCGAGCTTGAACAGACCACTTATCCATTAAATAAACGTTAATATTCAATCAGCGGCATTTCGCTAATGAGCAAAGCAAACACAATTCAATCATAATGGGCCGTATAAATTCGACTTCAAACACCATTAAACACTTGGCCAACAATAAAATGGCACGATTCAGTCAAGTCAGTTACATAAGAGCCAGGAACAGGCGGGCTTACACTTTGGCCACGCGATTGTAGCGAAAGAAGGACTGCTCGGAGTGCTTGGATGACATGGCATCCATATCGTTGCGATGCGGCATCTCGTTGAGTTATTCTGGATCTCTCGGGATATGGGTGAGATAATAATTTACACTAGTTAAACGTTATCCATTGATCTAATTGCAAGCTTGAATTATTTTTACAACACTGCGCGCAGGACTCGATACGATGAGGAAGCTGTGGAACAACTGCACCGCTCGTGGGTTGCCAACTAACTGATTGCCGCCTGATGCCGCCAGCTTGGGACTAATCTTGCGAATCGAACTATTTGTGCAGTGATCGAGGCGTAAATTGATACTGTAAACAGTTATACTTAGCTACTTATGTAGATCTATTGATCGCGTTAAGGAACATTTGCTTAAAAATAGCTGCGATCCAGCCCAACGATGTTCACGTTTCATGTCAAAGGCATCATGTGCTCCCCACGCACAGATGGTGTTAAAATTCCATTATTTACTAACGCCGTGTGTCTGTCCCTGAGTGTGTGTGTGTGTGCTTAGGCATGATAACATTTGCTTTTTATGCTTCGGTGTGAAATGGTGCCAAAATTTGCAATGATTTTTTAAGTGTTTTATGCGGCCGTCAATTGGCTTGACAAGGGGCGCGTTTTCAAATCGCTAATGTATGCTGTCTATATAATTATATAGTATGTGCAAAAAAAACGATAAAATTTGACTTAAACGGTCACTTAAATAAAGAAAATGGAGCAATTGTCAGTTAAGTATATTGAAAAGCTAGCATTAATCTGTCTTGTTGATGGGACGGCTGTAAGGAATGGGTTCAGCTTAATGTCGTGCAATCTGGTGAATCTGGTATGGAGGCGATGGTATATATGTTTAGATATAGATGTGTCTACGGCTTCAAATCGTCGCTACAATTTGCAGTGAAAGGGGATATGATAGACAGAGCGAACAGAATTCTGAGTAAGGTCTACAGAGATAAGTCGGCATAAGTACTCAGATTAGTTGACAACATAATTCGGAGAAAAGTTCACAGATATATGTCACCCTCAAAATCCGTTTACAAGATAATTCTGAACAGCAAACATAATTCGGAGTAAAGTATATTGAAATATGTGGACAATATTATTCTAGGAAAACTTATTAGAGCTCTCAGCTCAACGTACACGTGTCACACCTCGATCAAAAGAGATATGTTCAGAAGATAATTCGGAGTAAAATCCGCTCATAAAATCCTTTATCCTATATGCTTTTCCACCAAATCCTATCTATATCCCAATATAATTTAGGTTTCTTAGAGTTCTCCTGATGCTTCCCCAATCTTTCTTTAGTTTTCCACACCAATTTTACTTATTAAACTTACGGCGGCGTCTGTGGATTGACCATGTCGAACAGTTCATTCGCCGTGGTTGGCACACGTCGTATGACCAGCTTGCGTCCATCCGTCGAGCCTATGCCAATGGAGGCCAGCGAACGGACCGATGTGACATCCGAGTAGATCTGATTGCCGGCTAGCTCATGAAAGTGATAGGAACTGCCGCTGAGCGAGGACTGCGGCTGCATGTAGAGTGGATTGGGTGGCTGCAGTCCGGCTACTGCGGCCGAGCTGCTGGCGAGATTGCAACTACTATCGCTCAGGCCAGGCAGGTAAGCTGTGGGCGTGGCACACAAAACATAAAGGCTACCTATCGTCGCTGAGTCTCACTACAACTCACCTGATACCACGGAGCGCATGCTGCCGTGATGGCTGCCCAAGCGCGAGCGCACATCGTAGCTGAGCGGAGAGACGGCTTGTGCATCCAGACCGGCCATTGTGGTGGTGGTGGTGCTGGTTAGCGTGGCGGGCGTGTACTGCACCACTGGAATGGCTGCGGCAGCGGGAGCAGGTGCCGTGTCGTAGTCATCAATGGTAAAGGTGACCGTTGATGTGGATGTCGTTGGCTGTTGCAGCTGCATTTGCTGCAGCTGTGCCGGCTGTATCACATCCGAGCTGGGCCGCGACTTGACTGAAGGTTGACGTGGCGGCTGCTTGTGCATGGCCGCTGACATGGCCACCAGCGATGTCGTGGAGTTGGTCTGTCGGAATGGCAAATGTGGCGCCCCCGCTGTGGAGGTGACCGGCGATCCGGGCGTGGCTGGTATAATGATGTACTTGGGGGTGCGCACGGATGGGCCGCGTATGAGTCGCGTCTGTTCGTCGCCATCGCCGCAGCTCTCGGCGCCGCTGTCCGACAATTGGCTAAGCCGCACTGGTGCCAGAGCTATGGGCGTGTTGCGTTTCGTTACCAGATTCAGGGCAGTGGGCGAGGAGGCTGTCTTAGCCAGTGTCTGGTGATCGCCCTTTGGGGCGCTGCTTGCATCTTGGTCTGTCATTTTGGCCCAATGTAGTTGCAGTTGCTATTTCTCTTGCTGTTTCTCTGTTGCTGTTGTTGCAATCATAAAATCATGTTTCTCTTATGTTGCTTGGGGCTTGCACTTGTTTGCTCGGGCTGCTGTGGCTGTGTGTGTGACTGTGGCTGCTGCTTTCATATGCCTATTTATCATTTTAATGCTCATAATTTGTAGCTGGTGCCGCACAGCTTGTTGTTGATAAAGTTCGTTGTTATTGTTGTTGTTGCCGTTGTCATATTTTTAAATCACATTAAAACCTTGAACAACACAATGCCATTATTATTATGCTTGTCGTCCGTGTGTGTGTGTGTGCGTGTATCTTTGTGTGCTCTAAAGCTTTTAAATCATAATAAAATAAAATAAAGAGAAAACCAAGAGATGCGATTTCTCTTTGTTTAATATCATTGTACTTCACATAATGGAATTTTTAGTTGGAAATTGTATATACCTTATACAATATTCCCTAAATATAAAAGTAAGCTATATATACGATATTATTTATATATATATATATAAAAGTAAAGTAAATCAATTCCTAATTTTATTTAAGCAACTTCTCATTTTCCAGTTTTGTAGAAAGTAAAAATATTAAATTTTAAAATGCATTAAAATAATATTTGTTTTCAAAAAGATAAATTATTTACACAGTAAATTTAAGGGGTTTCCCTTGTCAAAAATCATTAATCTTCTTTTTTATTTGATTTTTATAAGCATTCAAAACAGTTTGGGCTGCCAGGTTAGATTCGCAATCGGATAAAGAACATAAAATTAACAAAAATTGTATAGAATTCGAAAAATATATAAATATATATAAAATATGTATAAAATAAATAAAAATATGTATGAATTAATGTTTAATAGATAAAATATTTAAAAAAATATATGTGTTAAAATAAAATATTTAAAATAATTTTTTAAACTTTAAAGAATTTTTTATTATTATAATATAAGTATTTTATTTTAGTAAGCCCATGGAATTTGTAAGATTTCTGTAAATTGAATAGATACTTTTAAGCGTTTTGTATTATTTTTTTTTTTTATAATATTTTCCACCTAATTTGCTAAACACCTGCAAAAGTTAACACTCATAATTAATCTTGCGCTTCGTCTTTTTGCTTTCTGTCATCTAAGCAATTAATAAAACTTTTCTCATGCTATTTACTTTTGATTATTTATATAAATAAGCAAGCACATGTGTCGCGTATCTTGTTCCAGTTTTGTTTTCTTTTATATTTTATCATTGTGACATGGAGATAAACACTCCTATCTGGCTGACAGACTGGCTCTCACACTTCAGATCCCCAACAAAGCTCGCACTTCACTTACATAACTGTATCTTATCGAGTTGTGGTGAAGGTTACCCCCTTCCCCCGCAATGCATTGTTGGCCCTCATTGTAAGTATGAGTGTCTGGTGTTTGCTTTCGGGTTGAGTCCACTTCTTCCCCTGTCATAAATAAATTCCGTGAGTTCGGCATTATCTATGCGATGATCACTGCGTATGGCGCTATGCTCCAGTGACTCTTTGAGCGGGCGCAAAGGTCATTGAAATGGGTTCACAATTATTAATTACGCATCTTATAACGATATATCACTACTACTAATGCTGCTGCGATCGACTACAGACAACAAGTAACTCGTATGCATTGCACATGTCACTTTATGGGGCTTCGTTGTAATAGAACAGCCCCATTGCCCGACCATGTGATATGTAAATTTTATTTAAACACTTTTTTATGAGCCCAACTCTATAATGCTCTATGCATGAGCTAAGCACTCAAAATTTGTATAACTATTTTCCAATTCTGTGCTTAAAATTCAAGCGAAACTTAACGATTTCTGTGAGAGTATTTAAAACTGTTTCTGTTTTATAACTTGAAACCATTAAAATAGGAAGTTCGGGTAGGTTTGATTTTTATTCGCATTGAGATCTTTCTAGCTGGTAGAAAGCGGCGTGGCGGAGCTCATAAAGTATATATCATTTTGATCAAGAAGCTAAGAAAATTTAGACCTCTTTGTTCTTCTATCCCTTAAAGTTGCGAACCCGAATTGTTTGAGTGCAAACGTAGATCAAGTTAGTTTTTTAATATAATCAACAGCATTTCCCCTTTCTACAAAATTGCCTTGTCTTTCTCTACTTTCAGCTATCTGTTCATATTTAAGCCGTCTTAAGCCATTTACGAAATACATTAAGCTTTACCTTTGTGTTTTATGCTATTCCAAAATAGAAAAATTAATTTTTTTAGGAAACAGCATGAGGTTCAAAGTATCTCCTAGTCGAGAACTAAATTTGATATTCTCTCATGCTACGATAAGAAGTGTATTTAGGCAATGCACTTCTTTATCTCGAGTACACAATTGCTTTGGAATATATTTGCTTAATTTACTTTTATATATACACATTTAAAAATAAAAACTAAATGATAGTTTGTTCCACATATACATAAATGGAAATATATATATATATATATATTTATATATATATATATTTATTAAATAGTTCAATTTTGGCACACGATTGAGCGTCAATGAAACCAGAGTCCATACTTAGCAAATATTCAAGGGAAACAAAACTGAAAAAGCATAACTTTGGCATTAAACAACGTTAGCTGATTTCTCAGTTGTTTCTGTATTTGTAATAAAATTGAAAAAAATTTAATTTGTTTGATTTTTGTTGAACTTTTTGTCGTTGATTACCCAATCCAAAAGCCAAAGAAACTTTCACGTGCTCAAACAAAAAAGGCAGCTATAACAAACGTCAATAATAAAGTCCAGTAATGAGAATAATTTTATTTTTTTGTTATATGGTAATTTAGTAAACGATTCGCAGTGATTTTTTTGTATCACATTTTTTTTTATTTTTTTCAATTAGATTTTATTTGCAATCGACTCCACTCAAATTTCATTCATGCATTATGAATGTGCACTACAATTGGCCCCAGCTCCATTTCAATTTTAATCATAGTCCATAATCTTAATAACATAATCAGCACTTGGCACGAAATTGTTATATGTATATCAATTACCCGAACGACGCGTAGATAACGCTGCGTATACGCGATGCGTGTGCTCCAAATGGAATTTAAGCAGTCTTAAACAGTTCTTGAAACACGCATTTGTGTGACAAACGATTCGCACATTCACGATTTATGTACGGCGACGTTTATCCAATCGTCGAACTATAATGCCGCCATATGCTATGCGCCCGTCGAGCCGCAGCTAGAAACGTGCAAACACGCGCGCTGTCAAATGTCAACTGATCCACGTTCGCGAATATCATTTACATTTGACATCGCTTTGGGGCTTGGACGCCAGCGACTCACGGCTCACGGCTTACGCTCAGTCGATCGTCCACTTGTCCGCTTGTCCGCTCGTCCGCTTTGCTCTCTCGTTCGCTCACCCCGGCGCCGTGAGTAAGCGTGCGAGCATTCGCGGTTTTGGTTTTGGTTTTTGTCGTGCGCTCGTTTGGGCTTTCCGGCGCGGCATCTGATAGTAGGCCGCAACAAGCACTATAAACACCGGCGCTTACTATGATAGATTGCGCTATACCCTGTCCTAGATACATTTGATTGAAAAATAGTTACTTCTTTTTGTTGATGATACACTTTTGGTAATCTTAATTTTCTTATAGCTTTTAAGATTTTGATTAGCATAACAAAGTGTTCTTACTTAATGTATGATCTGTTTATTCAGTTGTCTACTGATAAATATCAATATCATAGTTCATCCCCAGAAAAAGTGCCTCTTTAGCTAACTAGCATACATAATATGCCCTTTGGCCATGCTCAACAGGGTATAGCAAGAACTCAACTGAAATGCTGCTAATATGAAGCTTATCCTCCAAATGATATAATAATTTTTTCATTATGCCACAAAGAAGAAGCTGTAGTTTTTAAACAACCAAGTTGTTGTTTTTGTTTGTTGCTTTGTTCTAATGTTTTTTTTTGCGATCAGCTTTAGATAATTGCATTTTTTATCACTTAGAGACAGACGCTGCGATAAGCTGATTAATAATAACGATGGGGAATTGATTTGCAGCGGCGTATGTCAAGGCAAGCGGGCAATATGAGCAGACATTTTTTATTCGATTATCAAATAATATAATAACCAAAAATGTATAAATGTTAATCATATCAGCTGTATAAATGTTAATCATATCAGCTGTTCCAAGAAGCAAACTGGATTTCGATTGATTTGAATATAAATATTGATGAGCTGAGTGACGAGTGACTGCACTGGAGCTTGCTTGATTTGAATAGAGAAAAGCATTTTTATATTCAAGATAACTTTAAATATTTCCTGAATAAAAAATAAAAAACAGCCCATTTAATTAGATAACAATACTAATTATAAGCTAAATTAAATGCTAATATTTATAGATTTATGTATACTTTATGTTCTGCTTAAACTATATCAATAAAACAATATTTTTGTTTACTTTATTTATATTCATTTAATATTTATTAGTTTACAATAAGCGATTACAATTATGTGTTTTTTTTTATTTCGTTTTAAATACAATTTATTATAATTACAATTTAACTATTGTTTTCTTTTTACAATTCTTTTTTTTTTTATTTTTATTTATCAATATTTGCTGCCAGTGCAAAAAGTTGCTTCAACTTAATTCTAGTTGATTTTGCGGAAGGTTTGTTAAGCGGTTTTTGTTTTGTAAAGAAAAAATAAAAGTTTTTGTGTTAATTGTGAGCAAAATGTTGTCAGAGCTTTAAATATTGCTTGCTTTACTGGAAATCAGAAAATAATTTTATTTCATTCCTGGCATATTACTATTGCTGAGAAAGTCTAGAAACCTATACACAAAATATGCGCTACTAAAAATATCATCGAATTTTTTCGTTTGCCTGTGTTGTATTATTTACAATTGGTCTCTTTCTGTCTGTCTGTGTTCGTGTGTGAGTGTGTGTTGGTGTAAGAGTGTGCGAGTTCTCATGGTATTTCCACTATGAAAAAAGTGTACGGCTTAAAGTAGTGACTATACATTTTGTTTATGTTTAATAATATTAATTAAAAACTTCATTTTGAATAATTAAAATATAGCGGCGTGCTCCCGCATGACCCCAAGCAACAGTTACGCACTGTGAACAGGCGCGAGAAGCAAAAATTTCGCTGCATAGCTTCGGGCGCGTTAACAGCGGCGCACTGCGCCTGGCTGGCTGCGGGGGAAGAAAACGCGCCGATTCGTTGCCTTTTTTTAAGTACTTGCTGTACTATTAGTTAGTTAGTGGAAGTATTTCTTTTGCATTTTAAAACAATCACAACAATTTAATATTAATTGACTAAAAAACTACAAAAATAATTGGTTAATCATAGTAGTAGTAGTAGTAGTATGATGTAAGTAGAGTTATAGTCATAGTCGTAGTTCAAATCCTCCATTAGTCGTTGTTTTGCATTTAAAATTAAAACAAACCTTATATATTTTTTTTCCTATTCATTAATCTTTTGTGCGCTGTGAACGCCTCAGTGGCAGTTTTTTTTTTGCATTTTAAACTTTTACATTTATGTAATGTAATTTTTTTTGGAGCAGCTTTTTGCCTACTTTGCTTAAGTTTGATTGTGGTCTGCGTGTGTGTGTGAGACTTTTGATTTTTTATATAAACCATGTAAGACAATCGTTGAGATATTGTCCTGTGTTTATATTCGCGTTTGCTGTGGCTATGCGCTGCTCCATTTCAATTTTACGTACTGCTAAAGAGTATTTTTATGGGTGCATTGTTCGTTTCGTGTGTGTGTTGGAAAGGTAAGGCAGTTTTCAATTTTAAAGGCGAGCTGAAGTCCTAAATAACACAGGAAGTAGTAGTGTGTGTGTGTCTGTGTGTGCTATATTACAAAGTGTTGTTGCTACTACCCACACCCTAAACATTTATAGGAAATCTTTAGTTATATATATATATATGTATGTATATAACAAAATATCAATATGTAATTATACTCGACTAATGAAGAAGTTGTCGTTAGAGGACGAGAATTCGTTTGTAGCTGCACTTTAAAATCTAAATATTCTCTCTGCATTGTTCTGTTGCTGTTTCACTTTTGGCAGTTTTGTTAATTGAAAACTCTATGGTGACCTTTAAAAAATTTCTATTGCTTGGCAACTACGCAAAATTCTCATATTAGTAAGGAGGAAATACTAAAATGTTAATACAAAATAATAAAATTATTTTCTTAAGTTATTAAATAAATTTTTGCAATGCGCTTTGTGGCATTTCTCTTATGTCGTTTTGCTTTTTACAATTTGTTAATATTTCGTTTTCATATTTTCGTCAGTGTTTCATAAACGCCGACGACTATATTTTCTGCTCACAACTGTACTTTTGCTTTTTCTTTCTTTCATTTCATTGCATTTGTTGCGCGAAATTTAATTTCGTTTCTAGCTTTTTGCACGTGCTTCTCAAATATATATATATATATATATAATTCTTTCTTTTCATTTCCGTTTTTTACAATCTAAAATTATAGCTAGGGTTTTTCTTGTTGTTTTGTCTGTGTTTCGTTACATTACGGTTTAGGAGATATAGTCCGGTGTTGGTTCGGGCGCGGCGTCCGGGTTGGCGAACAGCGGATTGGGGAACTCTGGTGGATGTGGCAATGGTGCCAAGGTCTTAGGTCTTCTCCTGTAGGCCATCAGCCAGCAGGAGACAGCCACGGCGACGGCGACAAGCGCCAGCAGAGCCGTGATAACCAGAGCTATGATCAATCCCACCATTGACACGCAAATATCCTCCACACGCTGAGCCGCAGGTTTGACTGCATTCAAGTAAACAAAAATTAACATGTTAGAAATGCTGAATGATATGGTAGCCTCTAGTAGGGGCACTCACTGTTGGCATCATTCAGGCCTGGACCGCTGCGTTTCTCGAATGTCAATATGGCATTGGATGAGATAGTTATCTCCTCACGCAGCTGACCCTCCACGCCAGTGCTTGTGGCGATTGCCGTTGTGTCGCTGGAGTTGTCCGCAATGGATCGACGCCTGCGTCCAAAGGCATTGTAGCCGCCACAGTTGACCGGCTGACATTTGCCGAAGCATACGCGTATGTTGCACTGGAAGCGTATATTGTCACTGGAGGGGAATTTGAAGGCATTGAAGCTGGCGAGCAGGCTGTTGGTATCCGGATTGTACTCCCAGTTGCCAAAGATGCTTGTATCAGTGGCGCAGCCATTCTCATCGGTTACAAGGTATTCGTTTTGCACATTATCCTCCATGGTCTTGGCTATGCAAGAGCGCGCGAAGCCGCCATAAATAGCTAGATGAGCAAGAAGCAAAGGTTAAAGAAATGAGATTTCGAATATAAAAGATTTCGGATATAAGCCACTTACTGGCTGGCTCAACGTCCACTTGTAGACGTAGATTATCGCCAATCTCCGCGGAATTGATTTCCTCGCCTTCATTAGTAATGATACGCATTTGACAGATTGGCGGCGGTCCCGTATTGGCAATTGTGCCAGCTGTTGTCAGCATGGATACGTTGAAGCCTAAGGTCACATTCTTCTCGCCGGTCTGGTAGACGCACTTGATGTTGTAGGCTTGCGCCTTGTAGGTAACCAGCTTGGGATGCTTCTGTATGACCAAGACAAAGCTGGCCACATCCTTAACGGCTTGCATGCCGCAGCTGCCAAAGTGAACTCGGAAGATTTCGGTGCGTGGCACCGTTTCACCAGCCAAATTGACAACACGTCGGCACTCCTCATCCTTGCTGTGTCCCTTGACATACAGGACGCCATTGAAGCCGGGTTCGGTTATATGGATCTCGACTTGCACTCCATCAGCCAGGCAACTGACCACCATGTCGGGGCGTGGGAAGTCAGTACGGAAATTGGTGTGATTGCAGTGCAGTTCGGGATTTCCTGTATAGCCAGTGATGCATTGGCACTGGGCACGATGATTCACAGCATTGCAGAAGGCATTCACACCACATGTTTTGGTCAGACAGGGATCTTCGCAGGTCTTTGTTTCGGGATTGCAGAAGCGATTGTCCGCGCACTGTTCATTGCTGACGCATTCCGGCTGCTCTACGGGCTGGCATTCACCAAGCGGTGTCAGACGATAGCCCAGCTCAATGGGACATGTGCAGCGACCACGTTCATCAATTACCATGCCGCGCTCCAGTGCGCACACACAGTGACCGCTTTCGTCGATACGATAACCTTGCTCCACCAGACACGGTGTGCAGTACTCGTAGACGTCCAGAGCACTGCCAGGCGGGCACACGCACTGACCATCGACGTCGCGTACAAAGCCCTTCTCGATGACACACAGCGAACGCTTGTCGCACTGCACAGCTGCATTACCTGTGTAGCCCTCAAGGCATTCACAGATCATGGTGCGCACAGGCAGGGTATCTAGGACGCGGCAGTTGGCATTCACGCCACACGGCTGTGTCGCATTGCAAGGATTTACACATTCGCCTCGCAGGCAGGCATGTTGACTTGGGCAGTTCATATCGCTGAGACAAACGGGCGTAACTCGAACCTGTTCACAGCCATTTCGGCCGGGCACAGTGCCTGGCGCGCAGGCGCATTGCGGCTTGTGTTGATAGACCTTGCACAACTCATCGTTAGCGCAAATGGCTGTAGTCTCGCATGGATTGGCGCACTTGCCATTGACACAGGCCTTGTCCGATGGGCACTCATCGTCGTTGCGGCAGCCAAGCGGTGTGCAGCCCAGACGTGCGTTTCCGCCATGTCCAGGGGCACACTCACAAACGGCTCGATGGTTTATAGCCAGACATTCGGCATTGGGTCCACAGAGCTCGCCTTGGCAGGCGGGCACGCAGAGCTGATTACGGCAAGCGTGTGTTGCTGGGCACTCGGAATTGATGGTGCATTCAATTTTGGAGCACTCGAATTCGGGATTACCTTCATAGCCTTGACGACAGGTACATACTGGCTTGTGATCCTTGATGCGACACTCGGCATTCAAGCCACAATTGCATGGATCACGGCAAATGCCCTTCACGCAAGACTTGTCGGCAGGACAATCAGTGTCCGAGATGCAACCGCCTACTTTCACTACGCTGGTAGTGGGCTTGCAGCTACCGCTGCCACTGCTGATGTAGCCATCCGGACATATACAGATCATGGTGCGCACAGGTGCCGTAGGTGTCACCTGGCACTGGGCAGGTCTTTGACAGGGCTCTAATACCAAGCATGGGTCGACGCATTGTTCGTTGATGCAGGCTAAACGAGCAGGACAGTCCGTATCCAGTTTGCACACGGGCTGCGGCTCCGGGCGACAGTCCACATAGGGATTGCCAAGGTAATCTGCAGGGCAACGGCAAACGGCCATGTGATTCTGTGGACGACATTCGGCGCGTGGCGCGCACACATTGTGGTAGACGCATGGATTTACGCATTGTTCGTTCTGGCAGGTCTTGTCCGTAGGGCAGTCATTGTTGCTGGTGCAACCAATGACACGGCAGCGCTCGTAGGGATTTCCGCGATAGCCGCTGAGACAGCGACACTGGGCACGACTCGACTGAACGTAGCATTCGGCATTGGCGCCGCACGGATCGTTGAGCAGGCAGGGATTGATGCAGTTGCCATTGATGCAGGCCTTGCCAGAGTCGCATTCGCCATCGACGCGACAGCCAATGGAGCGACAGGCGGCATAAGGATTGCCCTCAAAGCCATCTTGACAGCTGCACACCGCGCGATGTTGTTGCACCTGGCAAATGGCGTTGGTGCCGCAGTTGCAAGGGTTCCGGCATTGGCGATTGACACAGGCCTCCTGTTCGCCACAATCCGCATCACTTTCACAGCCTGGTGGACTCTGTAATACCAGCTGACGGCATTCGCCGCTAGCATCCGGTACTTGCGATTCAGGACACTCACAGACCATGGTCCGCACGGGCACACTGTCCAGCACACTGCAGTGAGCGCTGCGTGCACAAGGCGAAAGCTCGGTACATGGATTCTTGCACTTGGCATCGATACAGGCCAAGCCGCTGGGACAGTCGCCATCGTCGCGGCACACTGGCTCTACGGGTCGGCGCTCGCAGTAGGCATAGGGATTGCCCAATGGCATTTGATCAGGACAGCGACAGACGGCACGATGCTGCAGCGCCTGGCAGATAGCATTCTGAGCGCAGGGACTTTGAGCGCAAGGACTCACACACTGGTTAGCAACGCAGGCCAAATTGGAGGCACAATCGTGATCCGAGTGACATTCCAGACGCACACAGCGCACAAATGGATCTCCCTCAAGACCAGCGGGACAACGGCAGCTAGCGCGATGGTTACGGCCATAACACTCAGCATTCAGAGCACAAGGATCGGCGACCAGGCAGGGATTGATACACTCATGATTCATGCACTGTTTGTCACCGGCGCACTCATCGTCCGACTGGCATCCAATAGGCGCGCAGCCGAATTGGGCATTGCCAGAGAAGCCGGGCTTGCAGTAGCAAATCGGATGATGATTCTTGACCGTGCACTCGGCATTGGGGCCACAGTTGCAGGGATTAATGCATTGCGCGTTGATGCACGCCTCGGCAATGGGGCAATCAGAGTTCGACTTGCAGCCCACAGTGATGACATCCGAAGCTGCAAATAATTTAGAATTAGATTATGTTGAAATTCAAAAGTTTTGTGTCGACTTACGTGGCAGACAGCGAGTGCGAGCATCTCCGGTGTAGCCAGGCGGACAACGGCAAATAGCGGCGCGATTCTGCACATGACAGTAGGCGCCCAGACCACAGGCATCAGCCACGCAGGGATTCACACAGCGTTCGTTCTGGCAGTTCTTGTCCCGCGGACAATCATCATTACGTGTGCATTCGGGGCCCGGAATCTTAGGCATGGCAATGTCCGTGGTATAGCATTCGATGCGTGGATTACCCTGGTAACCAGCAGGACAACTGCATTGCGCATAATGATCGCGTGCATTGCATTGAGCATTGACACCGCAACGCTCCAGGTGGCAGGCATCCAAGCAACTGCCATGCAGACACACCTCAGAGCTGGCGCACTCAGCATTATGCTGACAGCCGCCAGAGACGATGACCGGCTGGATGGGCACACAGTTGCCAGAATTGTCCGAGACAGTGTCGCTGGGACACTTGCAGATCATGGTGCGAAGCGGTAGGGTATCCAAGACGGTACAGCTTTGCTGTGGACTGCACACATGCGGAGTGGCACATGGATTTGCACAGAGCTGATTGATGCAAGCCAATTTTGATGGACAGTCAGCGTCTTGAGTGCACTGCGGTTGTGGTTCCTGTTTGGGCTGCTCGCACAACACGAACGGATTTCCCTGGTAGCCTGTGCGGCATTCACATCGTGGCTGATGGCTACGTCCAACACAAAGAGCATTCACAGCACACGTGTCCTGCTCGCAAACTGGACGGCAAAGGCGATTCAAGCGATCGCAGGCCTCATCATCAGCACAATCCTCGTTGTACTGACAGTGTCCGGTGATGCAAGCGATGAAGGGACTACCTTGAGTGCCTTCGGGACAGCGGCAGACAGCCTGGTGATTCTGTGGTAAGCATTCGGCACCGCTGCCGCAACGCACCTGGCCATGTGTGCACGGGTTGACACAGTTCTCATTGAGGCAAGCCTTGTCATAGGGGCAGTCAGCATTTATCTTGCACTCGGCTGCAAAAACGAATATTATTATTAATTATATCGATTAAATTTGTGTGGCACTTACGCTTGAAGCACTGCACTTGTGGATCACCACCCCAACCAGCGGGACAGTAGCAAATGGGTCGTGAGTTTTGCACACGGCACTCGGCATTGCCAGCACACGGATTGGCCTCAGCACAAGGATCCTGGCAGCGTTTATTAATGCAAGCTGTTGTGGGTGTACATTCCGAGTCGTGTGCGCAGCCAGCTGTGATTTGTGCTGCATGAAAAAAGTCGAGTTGTAAGCGGAACGTGCCGGATTGGTTTAGGTTTACAAGTAACTTACGTGGCTGATAGCAATTGGTGAATGGATCGCCTTGAGTGCCCTTCGGGCAGCTACAGATGGCGCGGTGCTGCTGCGCCAGGCATTCAGCCGTACGTGCGCAGGGTGATGCATCCAGGCAAGGATTGACACAATTGCCAGCGCGACAGGCCTCCGTATCCTGGCACTGATCATGTGATACGCAGCCTTGGTCACGTACGGGTTCTAAATATGCGTTAAAAACAATTAATTAGTCGTGGAATTCGATAAGTTAGCAATTAAAGTGAGCGTGCTGCAGTTATATTGAGGTTATCGAGTGCATATTTAATATACAATGTGCAGCTCTGTAAACGGATGGAAAGGGGAACTTGTATTGAACATAATTTACATAAATAATATAATTATTATAACTCTTGGCTGTAATGATAGAAGCAAACTCGACATAAAGCAAAATAATAGTTACAATTCCATTCGGAATTGTTCGCTTGTTTGTTAGGGACTCACCTTTGCGACATCCAATGTCAGCATCACCCACGTAGCCAGGCTCACATCGGCAGATCATTGTGCGCAGGGGCAGTGTGTCGACGACCTCACAGATGGCATTCGCTCCACATGGATGGGTTACATCGCATGGGTTCTTGCACTCGCCATTGAAGCAGGCCAATTTGCTGGGACACTCCGCATCCATGGTGCAGCCTTCGGGCTTGACAGGCAGCAATTCACAGCTTATTGCTGGATTACCGCTGTAGCCGGCTGGGCAACGGCATTGAGCACGATGATTGTCTACACGACACTGAGCACCAACGCCGCAATTGCAGGGATCTTCGCAGCGCTCGTTGCGGCAGGCCAAGTGGAAGGCGCATTCATTATCGTTGCGACATTCGGGTCGTTCGCAGCGCAGAAGAGGATTGCCACGATAGCCGTCAGGGCAGTGGCAGCGGGCACGATGATTGAAGTCCGCGCGACAGGTAGCTCCGGCGCCACACTGAGTGAAAGTGCAGGGATCCACACACTGTTCGTTGACACAGGCCTCGTTGGGTGCACACTCACCATCGGAGCGACAGCCCAGAAGATAACAGTGTTGCAAAGCATTTCCAGTGTAGCCTTCGTTGCATACGCAGAGCGGACGATGCAGCTGCACATGGCAGCGTGCCTGTTGCGCACACAGATTGGATTGCTCACAGGGATTGCGGCAGACTTGATTGATGCATGCCTTGTCGTTGCTGCACTCGTTGTCACTGGTGCACTCAGGCTTCGGTGGATCCAGTTGAGGTACTTGACGCACGCATTGAGCATACGGTGATCCATAAAACTCTGGTGGGCAACTGCAAATGGCCTTGTGATTGATGACACGACAAATGGCGTTAAGGCCACAAGCCTGCTGGCATGGATCACGGCATTTCTGACTGACGCAAGCGCGATCCCTGGAGCAGTCCTCGTTAGTCACACACTCCGGATAGCTGCAGGTGGCGGCGCCGTTGTGAACACGGCAGATGCCATTGCTGCGGCACGGCGATGGCTGGCATGGATCAACATCAACGTTGCGTGGCGCTTCGCATTGCACAAATGGATTTCCAATCATGTTATCGGGACACGAACAGATCGGGCTGTGATTGATGGTCTGACAGACGGCGCCATAGCCGCATACTCCGGCACAGGCATCAACACATTTATTATTTACGCAAGCACGATCCTTGGCGCAATCCGAGCTGAGCGTGCATTCGGGTCGACAGCCCTGGCCCAGTGGATTACCGAAGAAGCCGGGCAGACATTCGCAAACAGCTTGATCTCGTTGCACGCGGCACACTGAGTTGAGACCACACGGTGATGGATAGCATGGATCCGAGGGCGGCAGTGGTGTTACCTGTCGTGTGCATTGCACAAAGGCATTGCCCGTATAGCCTGTCGGGCATGAGCAGATTGGAATGTGATTGTTAACATTGCATAGAGCCTCCAGGCCACAGGTGCCGGGGCAGGGATCGGCGCACTTGTTGCGTATGCAGGCGCGATTCGCTGGGCACTCAGAGTTGCCAACACATTCGGGACGGCAACCCTCATACGGATTGCCTATGTACTCCTGTATACATTCGCAGACATGGCTTTCGCCACGCAAGCGGCACTCGGTGTTGCTGCCACACGGCGATGGCTGGCAGGGATTCTTCGGTGTAGGCAATGGTGTTGGCCGAGCTGTGAAATCAACATAAAATGAAATTAGTCCTAGACTTAGGGTTGGGTGGGGAAGAGGGGTCGCCCTGCCTATATACAATATGCAAACTTGTTGGGTTGGACGATTGGTTCTTACTTTCTTGCACTTGCTGGCAAAGTCGGAACGGATCACCCGTCATACCGGCGGGACAGTGACAATTGGGAGTATGTAGGGTAACTCTACAGAGAGCATTTTGACCACAGCTTCCGGGACATGGATCGCGGCATTTCTGACCGATACAGGCCAAATTATTGGGACACTCGTCATTGTAAGAACACTCTGGTCGACAGTGGGGTGGCGTGCCCTGGAACTCCGCCAGGCAAGTGCAACGCGCTTCACCATTCTCGTTCGTGCACTGAGCATTTTGTCCACATGGCGATGGGTAGCACGGATCGCGAGCTTTCTCTGGCTTGCGTTCCACAACAATGGGATTGCACAGTCGGTAGGCGTTTCCAGTATAGCCAGCGATGCATTCGCAGTGCGCTCGATGCTGTACAGCTTGACATACTGCATTGAGGCCACATTGTCCTGGGCAGGGATCCACGCACTTGTTGTTGATGCACGCGTGCTGCTGCGAGCAGTCCGAGCTAGTGTAGCACTCCAAACGACAATTGGGAGGCTGGCCCAGATATCCAGTGACGCAGGAGCAAATCGCGTTTCCATTGCGCTCAATGCACTGTGCATTGGCTCCGCATGGCGATGGTTGACAAGGATTGACAATGGGCTCGTCGCGCACAGGTGTGCAGTCAACGAATGCATTGCCAGTCATTCGCTCTGGACAGCGACACATGGCAATGTGATTGATGGCATCACACAGAGCGTTCTGGGCACATGTTCCGGGGCAAGGATCAATGCACTTATTGCGCACACAAGCGCGATTTCTGGGGCACTCGGAGTTCAACACGCATTCCGGACGACAACCGATATAGGGATCGCCCTGATATTCGGGCAGGCAAGAGCATACACCGTTGCGACACTGCGCATTGCTGCCGCATGGCGAGGGATTGCACGGATCATCAGGAACTACAAGAGAGTTGGGCTTATTGTTAGGGGAAAGAGTCGTGAGTTGTAAAGGACTGAGCATACTTGGTGGTGCCGGTGGCGGTGTGGGTGGTATGCGACGGCAACTAGTAAAGGGATCGCCTGTATAGCCAGTGGGGCATGAACAGCTGGGCATATGATTGATTACATTACACTGCGCTGCAAAGCCGCAGGCACCGGGGCAAGGATCGCGACATTTCTCATTGATGCAAGCCAAATTACTGGGGCACTCTGCATTAATGGTGCACTCAGGGCGACAGTTTGGCGCTGCGCCAATGAAATTGGGCAAGCAGCTGCAACTGGCGCCTCCATTCTGTTCACGGCACTGCGAATTGGGTCCACATGGTGATGGCACGCACGGCATAGCTGGCTGCTTAGGTGGATCTGCTTCTTTGGGTGGCGGTATCGGCAAGCAACGGACGAAGGCATCGCCCGTGTAACCAGATTGGCAGGAGCAGAGCGGACTGTGGTTGCGCACATGACACTGTGCATTGAGGCCACAGGCGCCAGGACAGGGATCCTCACACTTCTGGTTTATGCAGGCCTTGTCCGCGGCACATTCGGCACTAATGACACACTCTGGACGGCAGGCGGGCGGAGTGCCTATAAACTGTGGCAGGCAGCTGCAAATGGCTTGACCCTGCGATTCGCGGCATTGGGAATTGGCGCCACAAGGCGTTGGCTCACATGGATTTTTATACACTGGGGGCGTGGCTAAACGGGGAAAAAGTTCGGATTAGCTTGCATACGTGTTTGACGGCAAAAGTAAAGCGAAGCATTTCTAAAAGCACCAAGCAAATCAAAAGCGTTTTAACTATTTCGCTAGAAAATTCTCAAAATGTGATGTGTTTTAAGTGTTGGATGACGTCATGATGAGCAAAAGACAATTTCAGCAAAGGGCAAATTCTAAAGAAATCGTGTAGCCTATTGATACGACAGGTATCAAAAGGTTCTTGTAGAAGAGACGCGTAGAGTTAAGGGGTTAAAAGGCACAACAAAAGGAAACAAGGCATAAGATTGGTAAGTATTATAAGAAGGTGGACAAGAAGACAACCCATTCAATTGAGTACTGCGTTGTTCATCAAAGAGTAGAGAAATCGCGGCATAGGAAATAGTTTTTAGTAGCATCATTAATGCGGTTTGTAAGCACTCGAATTGTTTCTTACGTTCTTGTTGGATATAGTGACAGCTGAGGTAGGGATTGCCCACATGATGTGGCTGGCATTCGCAGAAGGGCACATGATTGATAACCTGACAGTAGGCATTGATACCACAGACACCAGGACAGGGATCGCGACATTTTTCGTTTACACAGGCCAGATTGTTGCCACAGTCCGAGTTACGTGTGCACTCGGGTCGACAGATCTCATAAGGATTGCCATAATATTCGGGCAGACATTTGCAGACGCTTTGATCATATTGCGGCTGACAAATGGCATTTACACCACAAGGATTTGGATTACATGGTACAGGCTTGGGTGAAGCCAGCACTGGCGGCGGTGTGGGTCGCGTGCATACGGTGTACGGATCACCCACATAGCCTGTTGGGCAGTAACAGTGCGGGCTGTGAGCTATAGCGCGACACAAAGCCAGCTGACCGCAGCTACCGGGACAGGGGTCAATGCATTTGCGATTAAAGCAAGTCTTGTCAGCGGCACAGTCCGCACTGCTAACACATTCAGGTCTACAGTGCGGCGGTGTGCCAATAAACTCTCTGAGACACTGGCATTGTGCACCCTGCTGTGTGGCCACACACTCTGAGTGTGGACCGCAGGGAGATGGTTCACAGGGATTCACTTCGACTGGATCCTTTGCTGGTGCTGGTGGCAATACTGAAAGATTTGCATTAGATATTGTTTGGGCTTTAAGATATGAGGGTAGCATACCTATGGGCTGACAGGCTAACAAGGGATTACCCGTTAGCGAGGGTGGACACACGCATATGGGACTGTGATTGTTTACGTGACAAATAGCGCGTAAGCCACAGGCACCCGGACAGGGATCTTGGCACCTAAGATTCAAGCAATACTTGTCAAGAGCGCAATCGGAATTGCTACTGCACTCTGGACGGCACGAGGGTGGTGTGCCCTGATATCCAGGCAGGCAGTAGCAAATCGCTTGCTCCTGATATGGACGGCACTCAGCATTTGGTCCACAGGGTGAGGGTTGGCAGGGATAGACCGGCGGCCGTGGTGGTATAATAGCAGGAAGTGTAGTGGTAGTTGTAACAGGTGGTTTGGGTACGGGTAGCGGTATGGGATCACAACGTACAAAGGCGTCTCCGTGCATTTGAGCTGGGCATGAGCACGAGGCAATATGATTATATGTTTTACAAACGGCATTTTCTCCACAAGTTCCCGGGCAGGGATCCACACACTTTTGCCGTCTACACGCCTTGTCGTTCGCACAGTCCGTATTGAGCACACATTCGGGACGACAGCCGACATAAGGATTTCCTTGATATTCGCTCAGACAGCTACATACACCATTGTTGCAAATAGCATTAGCCCCACAAGGCGAGGGATAACAAGGATCTTTTGTTGCAGTGGATTCCCGTTGCACGCTTATTGGAGGCGTTCGCTGACATGAGATGAATGGATCTCCGGAGTATCCAGCTGGACAGAAGCAGTTGGGCACATGATTGTGAACCCTGCATAGCGCATTGTATGCGCAAGATCCTAAGCAAGGATCGCGACACTTTTCATTTACGCAAGCCAGGTAAGCAGGGCAATCAGAGTCTACAATGCATTCTGGACGGCAATTAGGCGGTGTTCCACTATAACTCGGTAGGCACACACATGCAGCCACCCCAAAGCGATTGTGGCATTGCGAATATGGACCACATGGAGATGGGTAGCATGGATTAATGTCTACATCACTAATCGGACGGGGTGTATTGGTAACAGCAGGAGTAAAATGTGGAGGTGCGGATGTTGAGCCCACTGGATATGGGCCTGGGGCTGAAGGAATATTCACAATACCAGGTTTTTGAGAGGGTGGATAAGGCTTTGGTTGTATATCATCAAAGACCGGAGTTGGAGCTGTTGGGTACGTAGGTTTTGACACGCTTGGTATATTGATAACTTCTGGTTGCTTTTCAGATGTTGGTGTTACTGCAGATGGAACGAATACAGGAGGCCGACTAGCTGTTGGTGACGGTTGTGGTATCGAAGGAATATTGACAACACCAGGTTTTACGGCTGGAGGTTCATTCGGGCGATTCACATCATAAGCTGGAGGCTGAGGCGTCGGATATGTTGGTTGAGGTACGGAAGGTATATTGATAACTCCCGGTTGTGGTGCAGGTGTTGACGTTGCATAAGGAGATGTTACATATATTGGAGGCTGGGCAGTTGGAGGTAACGGATTTGGCACAGAAGGAATATTCACAACTCCAGGCTTAAGTGTGGTTGTTGGTCGTGTTGGGTAGCTTACATCATAAATCGGTGTTTGAGGTGTAGCGAAGGTAGGTTGAGGAGCTGACGGTATATTAACGACAGTGGGTTGTGAGGTAGGTAAAGGCACTGCAGGTGACGGAATATAAATTGGTGGCTGTGGTGTTGGTGTCGGAGATATTGGGCGTGGTAGGGATGGAATATTTATAACTCCTGGTATTTGTGGTGGTGGCGGATAATATACATCATATATAGCTGGTCGAGGCGGCGGAGTGGCTGGAACTGGTTGAGGTGATGGTTGCGGCGCAGAAGGTATGTATATAATTTCCGGCTGTGGTGCAATTGTTGGAGAATTTGGAGGTGATGGAATAAATATAGGAGGCTGTGGAGTTGGCGGCAACGGTTGTGGTATAGAAGGAATATTCACTACTCCTGGCTGTGGAGAAGGTGTTGAAGAAACTGGTGGGGATGGAAGGTAGATCGGAGGTTGTGGAGCCGGTGGCACCGGTTGTGGTATCGAAGGAATATTCACTACTCCTGGCTTCTGAGGCGGTTGCGGAGATGGATAATTGACATCGTAGATCGGTGGCTGGGGTGATGGATAAGTTGGTTGTGGTACAGATGGTATGTTGACAACTCCCGGCTGTGGAGAAGGTGTTGAAGAAACTGGTGGGGATGGAAGGTAGATCGGAGGTTGTGGAGCCGGTGGCACTGGCTGTGGTATCGAAGGAATATTCACTACTCCTGGCTGTGGAGAAGGTGTTGAAGAAACTGGTGGGGATGGAAGGTAGATCGGAGGTTGTGGAGCCGGTGGCACCGGTTGTGGTATCGAAGGAATATTCACTACTCCTGGCTGTGGAGAAGGTGTTGAAGAAACTGGTGGGGATGGAAGGTAGATCGGAGGTTGTGGAGCCGGTGGCACTGGCTGTGGTATCGAAGGGATATTCACTACTCCTGGCTTCTGAGGCGGTTGCGGAGATGGATAATTGACATCGTAGATCGGTGGCTGGGGTGATGGATAAGTTGGTTGTGGTACAGATGGTATGTTGACAACTCCCGGCTGTGGAGAAGGTGTTGAAGAAACTGGTGGGGATGGAAGGTAGATCGGAGGTTGTGGAGCCGGTGGCACTGGCTGTGGTATCGAAGGAATATTCACTAATCCTGGCTGTGGAGAAGGTGTTGAAGAAACTGGTGGGGATGGAAGGTAGATCGGAGGTTGTGGAGCCGGTGGCACTGGCTGTGGTATCGAAGGAATATTCACTACTCCTGGCTGTGGAGAAGGTGTTGAAGAAACTGGTGGGGATGGAAGGTAGATCGGAGGTTGTGGAGCCGGTGGCACCGGTTGTGGTATCGAAGGAATATTCACTACGCTTGGCTCTCGAGCGGGCTGTCGTGTTGGGTAGGTCACATCGTAGATTGGTGGTTGAGGTGATGGAGACGAAGGTTGTAGTACGGATGGTATGTTAAGAACTCCCGGCTGTTGACCAGGCTTCGCATACTGCGGCTGTTGTGTTGGTGGGGGCGTGATAGTCGGCGATGGATTATAATTTATACCCGGCTGTGGTGCAGAGGGAACGTAAATCACGCCGGGTATGATAATCGGATAGGGTGGTGCTGGGGTGTCATAAATTGGGCGTTCTACAATTGTGGGAGCTATATTTTCCGAAAAATTATTATTAAAAGAACTGCTGCAATAGACCGTTGTATCACATTGAAGCTTACTTGTTTGAGTCTTATAGCAACGAGTAAACGGATTTCCAGTGTGCGATAGCGGACAGTAGCAAATGGGATTATGGTGATGGACACGACATTCAGCGCTAATGCCACAGGTGCCTGGACAAGGGTCGATACACCTGTGCTGTACACAGGCCTTATCGTAAGGGCACTCAGAGTTCAAGGTACACTCGGGGCGGCAATAGGGTGGGCTACCATAGAAGTCAGGGAGACAAGAGCAAATAGCTTGCTCATTGCTTTCGCGGCACTGTGCATTAGGGCCACACGGTGACGGTTCGCAGGGATTGAGGTGACTTATAGGTGCTGAGTGAAAGATAAATAGAAATTTGTTACACATGATACGGGAATTCCCTGGCAGTGTTCGCTTACATTGCTCTACTGCTGGCAGAGGGCTGCAGTGCGTCAATGCGTTGCCAGTATAGCCTCTAAAGCATCTGCATTGCGGCAGATGATCGACTACATGACACTCTGCATTGAAAGCACACGTGCCAGGACAAGGATCACGGCACTTCTGCTGTACACAAGCTCGGTGCGAGGGACAGTCGCTATTTAGTATACATTCGGGACGACAAGCTTCATAGGGATTGCCGTAGTAGTCAGGCAGGCAGCTACAGGAGCCAACCCCGCGGTGATGGCTACATAGCGCATTGGCACCGCAAGGATTGGGCTCGCAGGGATTACTTGCAGGCTGCTCATACTGAGGTGTTTGTACAGCCGTCGTTGTGGGCGGTGGTATTGAGGGTGGGTGCGGTAATTGACAGGAGGTGAATGGATTTCCAGTTAGTCCAGGGGCACAAACACAATTAGGCTGATGATTGCTGGTGCGACATATCGCGTTGAAGCCGCACAGACCAGGACAGGGGTCCTGACACTTGCGATTAATGCATGATCGATCGCTGGGGCAATCGCTGTTGGATATGCACTCTGGACGACAGTAGGGTGGCACTCCCACAAATTCCGGTTGGCAGCGACAAGTGGCTACGTTCTGATCACTGCTACACTCAGAATGAGGGCCGCAGGGTGAGGGAGCGCAAGGATCAAGTGACTCACGTTGAATTGAAGCTGGCTTTATAGGTTCACACTGTGTGTAAGGGCTACCCGTGTAGCCTCTTGGGCACACACACTGAGGCCTGTGATTTATAACATGGCACTCGGCACGATGACCGCAAACACCCGGGCAAGGATCGCGACACTTTAGATTAATGCATGCTAGACTGAGAGAGCACTCAGAATTAGTTGTGCATTCGGGCCGGCAGATTGGTGGACTGCCATAATAGCCCGGCAGACAACTACAGATCGCCTGATGCCCAGATGGGCGACAAATTGCATTCGCACCACATGGTGATGGCTGGCATGGTTGCAATGGTGGCGGTGCTGCAGATGTCTGCAGTGGCGGAGCTTGGCATAAGACGAATGGGTTACCCTGCAAGCCGCTGGGGCAGTGGCACATGGCCACATGATTGTGAACTTCACATATGGCGCCATAGCCGCAAGTGCCAGGACAGGGATCTATGCACCGATTACGCACACATGATTTGTCCAAGGGGCACTCCGTGCTCAAGACACATTCTGGACGACAGCTTACGTACGGATCGCCCTGGTAAAGGGGCAAACAGCTGCAAGTGCCGCCCGCACACTGGGCGTTAGCACCACACGGTGAAGGTTGGCAAGGATCATCGGCGATTGGAGTGGGAATAACAGCGGGCGCTGGATAACAGCGATGGAATGGATCGCCAATATAGCCACTTGGACAGGTGCAGCTCGGCACGTGGTTTAAGACATTGCATTGAGCGTAAAGGCCACAGGCGCCTGGACATGGATCCCGACACTTCTCATTTATGCACGCACGATGAGCGGGGCAGTCAGAGTTTAGTGTACATTCGGGTCGGCAGTGTGGGGGCGTGCCATAATATTCGGACAGACAGCTACAAATTGCCTGGTCATTGATCACACGGCAATGTGCATTCTGTCCGCATGGAGTGGGTACGCAGGGATTTCGGTAAGGTTCGCGTGCCACAACGGGCTGAGGTATTGGCAAACAACGCACAAATGCATTGCCAGTATGGCCTGAGACGCAGGAGCAATGGGCCCGGTGATGTACGGCTTCACAGATAGCATTGTAGCCACATACGCCAGGACAGGGATCTTGACATTTCTGATTGATACAGGCCTTGTCAGTGGGACACTCAGAATTCGTTGTGCATTCGGGCCGACAGCTGGGAGGCGTACCATAATAATCTGGCAGACAATTACAAATTGCATTACCCTGCAATTCCTTGCATTGAGCATTAGGACCGCAGGGCGAGGGTTCACAGGGATTCACGTAAATCACTTTGATGGCTGTGGGGTAGGTGCAAATGGGTGCAAGTAATACGTTGTTCAATGGGTTAGTGCAAATTTCTGACATCGGTTGGTGGGAATGCTTACGTTCTGCCTGACGCAGTTGGCAATGGCGATATGGATCACCAACATAGTTAGGATAGCAGCTGCAGAGGGGAACATGGTTGACGACTTGACACTGGGCGTTGGGCGCACAGCTGCCGGGACAGGGATCACGGCAATGTTGATTAAGGCAGGCCAGATGGCTAGAGCAGTCGGAGTTCAGGACACATTCGGGTCGACAGCCTTCATAGGGATTTCCATAATAATTTGGCAGGCATTGACAGGCACCAACTCTGCCCTGCTCTGTGCAGATAGCATTGCTGCCGCAAGGACTTGGAGTACACGGATTAATTTGGTCCAGTTCCAGATGCGGACGTGGATAGCATTTTGTGAATGGATCTCCAATATAATCGGCTATGCAAATGCAAGATGGAACATGGCTAATCACTTGACATGTTGCAGCCTGGCCGCAGACACCAGGACAAGGATCGCGACACTTTTGTCCAATGCATGCCAATTGGTTGGAGCACTCCGCTGATGTAACACATTCAGGCCTGCAATTGGGCGGGGTTCCAATGAAGTTCTCCACACACTTGCACTGCGCTTGGCTGCCATCTGCTGAAGGCGTGCACACTGCATTGGCACCGCACGGTGACGGCTGGCAGGGATTGACTGGTTCTCGTTGCACAATTGGAGGTGGCGGTAGTCGTTGGCACAAGGCAAACGCGTTGCCCGTGTATCCCGTCGGACAACTGCAATGCGGCGTGTGACGGATAACCTGGCAGAGCGCATTTTGACCACAGGCTCCAGGGCAGGGATCACGGCAATGTTGATTTTGGCAAGCCAAATGGGGCGCGCAGTCCGAATTGATGGTACATTCGGGTCGACAGTGCGGGGGTGTGCCATAAAAGTCTGGCAGGCAGGAACACACGGCCTGCTCATTTGACACACGGCATTGCGAATTGCTGCCACAGGGTGTTGGGCGGCATGGGTTAGCGGGCACGATTGGATCAGCTAAATTGTGAAATATACATTAGGCAGCTGCAAATTTTTGGAGAGATGACAATATAAAACCTACGTTGGACTAAGGCACACTGCACAAATGCATTGCCGGATGTGCCCGGCGGACAGTGGCACATTGGCACATGGTTGTGGACTTCGCAAATGGCACCCACACCACATGCACCGGGGCAGGGATCAACACATTTACTGGCCTGGCAGGCCTTGTCGCGTGCACAGTCCGAGTTAAGAACACATTCGGGGCGGCAGCCTATGTAGGCATTGCCATAGAAGTCGGCAAGACACGAGCATTGGCCATTGTTACAAACGGCGTTTGAGCCACAGGGCGAAGGATTGCAGGCATCGCGTGGCGGTGGTTCATATGAAGCTGGTATTGGTGTACAGCTAATGAAAGGATTTCCTTGATAGCCAACGGGACATCTGCAAATGGGCATATGATTGATGACGCTGCATTGGGCAGCGAAACCACAGGAGCCGGGGCAAGGATCGCGACACTTTTCACTCATGCAGGACAGATGCGAAGCGCAATCGCTGTTTATGACACATTCAGGCTGGCAGTTGGGCGGGGCACCATAATAATTGGGCAAGCAACGACACACGGCTTGACCGCGTTCGGCATGGCACTGTCCAAAAGTGCCGCAGGGGGACGGAACACAGGGATCGCGAATGGGATTCTTGGGATAGTCATAGCTGATAGCGGGCGCTGAAAGTTGTTTGGTTAGGATATCTGGATAATTATCTGGAACTGGGGACACCATCTTACGTATATTTCGACAGTCGGTGAATGCATCGCCCGTAAAACCTGGCAAGCAGCTGCAATGGGGACTGTGATTGATAGCGCGACATACGGCATTGCGGCCACAGACGCCCGGGCAGGGATCAACACAGTGTTGATTGCTACAGGTCTTGTCAAGGGAACACTCGCTAGAAATGGTACACTCGGGTCGACAGGCTGGTGGTGTGCCAACAAAGTCCGGTAGGCAACTGCAAACGGCCTGTTGATTGGCCTCATGGCATTTTGAGTTGGGTCCACATGGCGAGGGCTGACAGGGATTAAGTGGGACAGGTTCTCGCAAGGCTATTTGTAAAGTGATTGGGTAAATACGCGGAGTTGAAGATATTCTATAGTTAAGTTGCTTACGTTCAGTTATGACACTGCAGTAGCTATAAGGATTGCCCTCGTAGCCATTGAGACAATTGCACTGCGGCAGATGATGACGCATGTGGCAGATGGCATTGGGACCACAGATACCCGCGCAAGGATCGCGGCAGTGCTGATTAAGACACGCCAGCTGACTGGGACAATCTGAATTCAGGACACATTCCGGTCGGCAGCCGACATACGGATTTCCATAAAATTCTGGTAAGCACTGACATGCTCCAGCGCCATTCAACTCGGTACAGATCGCATTTGAGCCACAGGGACTGGGTACACAAGGTGTCAGTGGTTCGATCACATCACGCTGTACGTCGCAGCCAACGAAGGGATTACCAGTGTGTCCACGTATGCAGTTGCACGTGGGTGTATGATTAATGACATAGCATTCGGCGTTGCTGCCACAAACACCCGGACAAGGATCTCGGCACTTTTGATTAAAGCAAGCCAGATTTGTTGGGCAGTCAGCGTTGCTGACGCATTCTGGTCGACAGTTCGGCGGGGTACCAATAAATCCAACAAGACAGCTGCACTGGGCGTTGCTGCCAACGTTGCGGCATTCAGAATTGGGTCCACAGGGCGACGGCCTGCAGGGATCAATCACATCGTGTTGAATTGGCGGCTGTGGCGGCTGCGGATGGCATTCAATGAAGGGATTGCCCAGGTAAGAATGTATGCAACGACAGATTGGACTGTGGTTAAGCACTCGGCACTCAGCGTTCTGGCCGCATGCACCCGGACAAGGGTCTCTGCAACGTTGCTGCAGGCAAGCCAAGTGCAGCGGGCACTCTGCGTTGCTGACACATTCAGGACGGCAAGACGGCGGCACACCCACGAATTGAGGCAGGCAAGAGCAAATGGCTTGTCCATTGACGTTACGACATTGCGCATTAGCGCCGCAGGGCGATGGTTGGCAGGGATCAGAAATTACAATTGGCGGCGGCGGCGGCATCGGTGAGCACTGTACAAAAGCATTTCCCGTCATTCCAGCTGGACAGTGACACATGGCCACATGGTTGTGCACCTCACAAATGGCAGTTGAGCTACATGTGCCTGGACAGGGATCGATACATTTCTGGCGTACGCATGCAAGATTTTGGGCGCATTCTGTGTTCAATATGCACTCAGGGCGACATCCAATCGTTGGGTTGCCATGGAATTCGGGTAGACAGCTGCACTGTCCCTGGCGACAAATAGCATTGGCACCGCACTGTACATGCAGGCAGGGATCATCAGCCAGCACAGGCGGTTTTGGTGCTGGTGCTTGACACGAGGCAAATGGATTGCCAGTTAATCCTGGTGCACACTGACACACAGGTGTGTGATTAATGACGACGCACTGCGCGTTGAAGCCGCATGCTCCGGGACATGGATCACGGCAACGCTGCTGTTGACAGGCCAGATGAGCGGCACAATCCGCGTTGATGCTACACTCGGGTCGACAGTTGGGTGGGCTACCAAAATAGTTGCGTAAGCAACTGCAAATTGCCTGGCCATGACTATCGCGACACTCTGCATTTTGACCGCATGGCGATGGAATACAGGGATTCTTATATGTATCCAACTGAACAGGGGATGGGGCTGTAAACAGGGTAAGTAAATGTGAAATGTGGAGCTTACATAGCTAACCCAAAAGGTCTTACGTGGCACGGGGTAGCAGCGTGTGAACGCATCACCTTGATAGCCTTGACGGCAGCTGCAAATTGGTGCATGATGGTAAACGCGACAGTCGGCGTTTGTACCGCAAACACCAGGACATGGGTCTTGGCACTTTTGATTAATGCAGGCCTTGTTCGAAGGACACTCGCCACTGGTAACACATTCGGGCCGACAGTTGGGAGGTGTGCCCACATATTCTGCCAAACAGGAGCAAATAGCCTGTTCGTTCTTTTCAAGGCACTGGGAATTGGAACCACAGGGTGAGGGTTGACAGGGATTTACATACTCTTTCAAAATTGCTAAATAACAAGAGGACTTTGTTTAGGATCCATATATGATTTTCACATTTTCTGCTGTACACTCACGTTTCTCGGGGAGCTGACAATAACGATAAGGATCACCAACGTAATTGCTTAGGCAATGGCATGTGGGCAGATGGTTAAGGACGCGACAAACGGCATTTAAGCCGCACACACCCGGACAAGGATCGCGACATTTTAATTGCTGACAGGACTTGTCCGACGGACAGTCACTATTAGTGACGCACTCGGGTCGACAAGCCTCGTATGGATTGCCATGGTAGTCGGGTCGGCATTGACAAGATCCAGCATTTCCCTCCTGACGACATACCGCATTGGCACCGCACGGATTGGGATAACAAGGCTGTGTGCGCTCCTCTAGTTGAGTAATGGGCTCCTGGCGACAATTGGTGAAGGGATCGCCCGTATATCCAGGAGAACAGTAGCACATGGCTACATGGCTGAGCACATGACAGACAGCATTCGAGCCACAGGAGCCTGGACATGGATTCACACATTTCTGATTGACGCACGCCTTATCAAAGCTGCATTCCGAGTTGGTGACGCACTCCGGTCGACAATTCGGCGGTTGTCCAATGTAGTTGGATAGGCAGCTACATTGAGCCTGATCACCCACTGCACGGCATTCGGCGTACGGGCCACAAGGTGACGGCTGACAGGGCTGCTTTACAGGAACGACATCGCGCTGTGGCGGTATTGGCGAGCAGCCTAGGAAAGGATTGCCAATGTGTCGCAAAGCACAACTACAAATGGGTGCATGATTGACCACATGGCAGACTGCATTATAGCCACATGTGCCTGGGCAGGGATCAATGCAGTGTTGTTGCTGGCACGCCAAACTGAGCAAGCAGTCCGAATTCCGTGTACATTCCGGACGACAGTTAGGTGGGGTGCCTACATAATCCTCAATGCAGGTGCAGACGGCGTTGTCGTTGAAAACACGGCAACGACTGTTAGGGCCACATGGCGAGGGTGCACAAGGATTTATAGGCGGCTGATGTTGAACAGGCGGTGCCTCACACTGAATGAACGCATTGCCAATCATTCCGTCGGGACAGCGACACATTGCTATATGATTAAGTACGTCGCAAATGGCATTGGGTGCACAAGTTCCTGGACAGGGATTGATGCATTTGTTGCGAACGCAAGCACGATCACGCGGACAGTCGGCATTAAGCACGCACTCTGGTCGGCAACCCCTATAGGGATCGCCTTGATACTCGTCTAAGCATGTGCATTGGCCGTTTTGGCATTGGGCATTAGCTCCACAGGGCGATGGATTGCAGGGATCGTCGGGAACGATGGGTTTGGCTATTGACAAAATGGCGAAATTGTTGACAATGAAGGACTTAAGACCTGTGCTGTTATTCTTACGTGGATCAAGCTGACAGAAGGTAAATGGATCACCTATGTATCCGGCGGGACACTGGCAGCTGGGCACATGATTGCGCACAGTACAAACTGCATTGTAAGCACAGGAGCCAGGGCAAGGATCCACGCAGCGTTGGTTTATGCAGGCCAAGCTGGGCAAACATTCTGCACTCTGCGTACATTCAGGTCGACAGCTCGGCGGTGCCCCAAAGTAACCAGCCAAGCAGCTACAGATGGCTTGACCACTTGACTGCCGACACTGAGCATTAGCTCCACAGGGCGACGGCAGGCAAGGATCGCGCACAGGCTCATGTAGCAGCTGAGTGGGCGGCGCTAAGGTAAGTTACCATATAAGTGGGTCAGTGGATGGGGCTCAATGCGTTGACATAAAGTGACTTACGAGGTATGGGATAGCAACGAGTAAACGGATCTCCAGTATATCCAGAGTGGCATGTGCACAGCGGAGCATGATTTGTGGCATGACACTGTGCATTGCTGCCGCATGCCCCTGGACACGGATCAACACATTTGTGCTGTACGCAAGCTTTGTCAAAGCTACATTCTGATGAAAGTGTACACTCAGGGCGACAGCCAGGTGGGCTGCCCACATACTCGGGTAGACACGAGCAGACAGCCTGCTCATTGAGCTCTTTGCACTGACTGTTGGGACCGCAGGGTGAGGGTTGGCAGGGATTGATATACTCGCGTATGGCTGAATAAAAATTGCAATGTAATCTAAGGGTACTGAAAGCTCAGCCAACAAGTTGCTTACGTTTCTCTGCAAGGCTGCAGTACCGATATGGATCACCCACATAGTTGTTGAGACAATTGCAAGTCGGCAAATGGTTACGAACGTAGCATTCGGCGTTGTAGCCACAGGTTCCGGGGCAGGGATCGCGGCACTTTTGATTGACGCAAGCTCTATTGGATGGGCAATCGGAGTCAAGCACACACTCTGGGCGGCAAGCTTCGTAGGGATTTCCAAAGTAGTCGGGCAAGCACTGGCAGGAGCCAATGCCATTGCGTTGACGGCATTCGGCAAATGTGCCGCAAGGATTGGGATTACAGGGTTGGACCACTTCAGGCGGCTCGTATTGAATTTGTGTGCATAGAACGAATGGATCGCCGGTATAGCCTGATTGACAGAAGCACATGGCGCTATGACTATGCACATGACACTCAGCATTGCGGCCGCAAAGACCGGGACAAGGATCCGTGCAACGATTGTTCCTGCAAATCTGCGATGAAGCGCAATCAGAGTTGGACAAGCACTCGGGTCTGCAGTTGGGTGGGGTTCCAAAGAAGTTCTCTAAGCACGAACAGGACGGTGTATCGCCATTGCGACGGCATTCGCTATTTGGACCACAAGGGGACGGTTGGCGTGGATCCTGCGATGTTATTTCTCGCAATGGTTCAACTGTAGTTTTATCAGTTACATGAGTTATATGCATCATCTTGTTGTACAGTGAAAACTTACTAATTCTGTGGCACTGAACGAACGGGTTGCCCGTGTAGCCAGGCTGACAACTACAGAAGGGACTGTGACTGACTGCCCGGCATTCTGCATAAGCACCACAGGCGCCAGGACATGGATCGACACATCGTTGGTTCTGGCAAGCCAGGCTAGGTGCGCAGTCATAGTTGACGGTGCACTCCGGGCGACAAGATGGTGGCACACCGTAATAGTTTGCTAAGCAACTACAAATAGCCTGACCCTGCCGTTCGCGGCACTCGGCGTTTGCGCCACAAGGTGACGGCTGGCAAGGATTCTGATAGACGGGAACTGCAGCGTGATTTGACTAGATTAGTTATTTTCTTAATTAATCAGTGACTGTTGTTGAACCTACTTTGTACGGGACTGCACTGAATAAAGGCGTTGCCAGTCATTTCCACTGGACAGTGGCACATGGCAATGTGATTGACAACTTGACAAATGGCGCCATGTCCACAGGTGCCTGGGCAGGGATCAACACACTTTTGTCGAACGCAGGCGAGATTTCGAGGACACTCAGCGCTCAAAACGCATTCTGGACGACACGCGATATAGGGGTCGCCCTGATATTCTGCAATGCACGTACATTGTCCATCTCCCGAGCAGATAGCATTGCTGCCGCATGGACTGGGATTGCAGGGATCTCTGGGTTCATTATAAACAGGGGGCGCTGTAAGGAAGGTGTAAGGTATTGATCTACTCTGAGGGTTAAAGTCTTTTCCGCGTAGCTTACGTGGTGCAGGATGGCAAGCCACAAAGGCATCGCCCACGTAGCCATGCAGGCAAACACAGTTGGGCGTGTGATTAATCACACGACATTCTGTGTGCTGGCCGCAAGCTCCTGGACATGGATCGCGACACTGCTCACCAATGCAAGCCAGATGACTGGCGCAGTCTGCATTGATGGTACATTCGGGTCGACAATGGGGCGGGGTGCCGTAATAGTTAGCCTGACAAGCGCAGATCGCTTGATCATGTTGATTACGGCACGTAGCATAGAGGCCACATGGCGAAGGTACGCAGGGATCGCGATAGGGTACCACATCTCGAAGTGGTGGTGGCGCTAATTTTAACACAAAGACACGTTACATCAACTCATAATTTATACACATACATTTCTTACGTGTTGGTCGGGGAAGGCAGCGAACAAATGGATCGCCCATTAGGCCCGCAGGACACATACAAATGGGGCTGTGGTTGCGCACTTGACATATCGCCTGTTGGCCGCAAACGCCCGGGCATGGATCAACACACTTGCGATTGATGCATGCCTGGGTAGATAAGCACTCAGCGCTAGAGGTACATTCGGGTCGACAATTCGGGGGCACTCCCTTAAATTCAGGCAGGCAGGAACAGACACCTTGTCCCTGAACCTCGCGACATTGGGCATTCGAGCCGCAGGGCGAGGGCAAACATGGGTTTACATAGTCGTTATCAATTGCTAGCGGTTGGGTTAGGCAAATAGATAAGGATGTTTTCAATTAGTAACTACAATGCTACTACGAGCTGGTTAGACGAATCTACATAATAAATTGGCACTAGCTTACGTTCTGCTGGCTGGTTACAGTAGCGGTAAGGATCTCCAACATATCCCGCGAAGCAGGAGCACATGGGCGTGTGGTTCACAACACTGCATTCAGCATTTTGTCCGCAGCTGCCGGGACAGGGATCACGGCACTTTTGTTGCTGACACGCGCGATTCGATGGGCAATCCGAGTTAAGTATACACTCCGGGCGACATCCCTCGTAGGGATTGCCATAGAAATCGGGCAGACATTGACAGGCTCCGGCACCATTGCGCTGTATACACTCGGCATTGGAGCCGCAAGGCGATGGCTGACAGGGATTTATAATTTCCACATCCTTTTCTATTGGCTGGCATTGCGTAAATGGATCGCCCGTTAGTCCAACGTCACAGATGCACATAGGCGTATGTGAGACAACTCGGCAAAGAGCATTGGCTCCACAAAGACCAGGACAGGGGTCGCGACATTTTTGATTTATACACGCACGATTGCTTGGACATTCGGAGTTTGCAACGCATTCCGGCTTGCAGTAAGGTGGCGAGCCTACATATTCAGCTAGGCACGTGCAGGACGGTGTCTCCCCAATGGCGCGGCACTCGGCGTTGGCGCCACAAGGAGATGGACGACATGGATCTTGGGGCTCAATGTCTCGTTGAGGAGGCTCAACAATTAACTGGCAGCCCACAAACGGATTACCCGTGTAATGAGGCAAACAGGTACAGAACGGATTGTGATTGACTACACTACACTGGGCACTGCGACCACAAGCACCGGGGCAGGGATCAACACACTTTTGATTCACACAGGCTAGCTGGGCAGCACATTCCGAATTGCTGGTGCACTCTGGACGACAAAGTGGTGGTGTGCCAATATAGCCTGGCACACAAGAGCAGACAGCTTGCTGATTCGCCTCTCGGCATTGTGAGTTCGGTCCACAGGGCGAAGGTTGACAGGGTTGTACAATGGCAGGTGCTGGAAAGTGAAGAATGCATAGAAGTCTCGGCTCTACGTGGACAATTGGGGGCAGCAGGATATTTACGTGGTATTGGGTGACACTGAAGGAAAGCATTGCCTGCATAACCTTCAGGACATGTACACATCGGTATATGATTAAGCACGGTGCACAGCGCATTCGGGGCACATGTGCCTGGGCAGGGATCGAAACACTTGTGAAGAGCGCATGCTCGATCTCGCGGGCAATCCGAGCTAGTAAGACATTCGGGACGACAACCGCTGTTAGGATCGCCTTGATACTCTGGCAGACAGGTGCAGACACCGGCATTGCATACAGCATTTGGACCACAGGGCGAAGGATTGCAAGGATCGTCGGCTTCTACAGCTACAAATCGAACAATTAGGAAGTTGCTTGATATTGTTTTCTCAGTGCCTAGCTTACGTTTCGGTGGTGGTTCCGGCTGACAATGGGTAAATGAGTCACCGGTATAGCCAGCTGGACAAGTGCAGCTGGGTGTATGATTTATGACATTGCAAATGGCACCGAAGCCACAAGAGCCTGGGCAGGGATCGAGACACTTTTCGTTTATGCAGGCTCGACTGCTGGGGCAGTCGGAGTTGATTCGACACTCTGGACGGCAGTTGGGGGGTACTCCCAAATAACCTGCCAAACAGGAGCAGGATGGTGCTTCACCATGAGGACGGCACTCAGCGTAAGAGCCGCAAGGCGAGGGCACACAAGGGTCAATCGGTTGCTTTTGCACAATTGTAGTAGGCGGTGCGGCTACATCCGGAATGGAATGATTAGAATGATGTATTTGGAGGCAATCGCAGCACTTACGAGGTATGGGTAGACAGCGGTAGAAAGCATCACCCGTATAACCAGTGCGACATGAACAAATTGGACTATGGTTAACTACACGGCATAAAGCTTGATCACCACAAGTGCCCGGACAGGGATCAACACACTTCTTGGCCACACAGGCCTTGTCTGCTGCACACTCTGACGAAATGGTGCACTCAGGTCGACAGGCTGGTGGTGCACCCACATACTCGGGCAAGCATGAGCAAACAGCCTGTTCATTGCTTTCCCGACACTGAGAATTGGGGCCACAAGGTGAGGGCTGACACGGATTCACATATTGCTTGATCGCTATAGATTCAAAGTATTTTGATATAGAATATTGTTCCAATTGAGGCATGATTTGTTGTCTTACGTTGCCGTTCCTGTTGACAGAGGCGGTATGGGTCGCCACTGTAGCCAGTTAGGCAGCTGCAGCTGGGCACATGATTGAGCACATTGCATACTGCATTCGGGCCACAGGTGCCGGGGCAGGGATCTTGACACTTTTGTTGCTGGCAAGCACGGTTCGAAGGACAATCGGAGTCGAGCACACATTCTGGTCGGCATCCTTCGTACGGATTTCCAAAGTAGCCCATCAGACATTGACATGAGCCAGCATCCTGTCGGGCTGTGCATCGAGCATTTACACCGCATGGACTAGGATTGCATGGATCCAACTGATCCAATTGCGGAATTTTTCTTTCCACACACTGCACGAAGGGATCACCCTCTAGATTGTCGGGACAGTAACAGCTCGGCGTATGTGAAAGTACTCGGCAAACAGCTGCTTGCCCACATAGACCAGGGCATGGATCGCGACACTTTTGTTGTATGCAAGCTTGATGCGTTGGACACTCCGAGCTAGTAACACACTCTGGTCGACAGTTTGGTGGTGTGCCAATGTAGTTTGGCAGGCAAGTGCAAGAAGGTGTCTCGTTTATCTCACGGCATTCGGCGAAAGGTCCACAAGGTGATGGCTGGCAAGCTTGGCGTGGTGGGGGCGTTGGGGGCTCGATAATCGGCTGGCAGCTTACAAATGGATTGCCCGTGTGGCGATCCAGGCAACGGCAGAATGGACTGTGGTTTGTCACATGGCACTGGGCATTGCGACCACAGACGCCGGGACAAGGGTCACTGCACTTCTGATTGAGACAAGCCAAATTCAGTGGGCATTCCGAGTTCGATGTGCATTCAGGTCGACAGAAAGGCGGACTACCAATAAAACTCATAATGCAAGAACAGATGGCCTGTTGATTTATCACGCGACATTGGGAGTTTGGTCCGCAAGGTGTTGGCTGGCAAGGGTTCTGAACGACGTCGAGTTCTAGAAAAAGGTTACACGCGGTATAAGCGAAATGGATAGGCTTTGCTGGGGATTGCTTACGTTGCACTGGGTTGCAGCCGACAAACGCGTTGCCTTCCATGCCATCGGGGCAACGGCAGTTGGGTATGTGATTGAGCACCTCGCAAATAGCCGTGGACGCACAAGTGCCGGGACATGGATCCACGCACTTATGACGCACACAAGCCAGATTGCGGGCGCAGTCCGTGTGCAGTACACATTCTGGGCGACAGCCAACGAAAGGATCTCCTTGGTATTCGGGAATACAGGTGCATTGACCATTGTGACATTGGGCATTGGCACCACATGGCGAAGGGTTGCATGGATCCTGAGGTACTGGCGGTGCTTCAACTGACGGATAAGCTGAGTATTACATTTTCTGCTATTGAATTGAATCTGACAAATTTCTTACTTTTTTGTGGTGGCTCAGGATTACACACAACGAAGGGATCACCGATATATCCCACTAGACAACTACAAATTGGTGTGTGATTTATAACGTTGCACTGTGTGTTGAGGCCACAGGAACCGGGGCAAGGATCGCGACACTTTTGATTGATGCATGCCTGATGACTCGGACATTCGGCATTGATAGAGCATTCTGGTCGGCAGTTCGGTGGAGTGCCGAGATAATTGGGCAGGCAGGAACACGATGGTGTTCCATAATTATCGCGACATTGTGAGTTGGCGCCACAAGGCGATGGAACACAAGGATCTAGCGGTTCTTGTTTAACTGTCACAATAGGCGGACCTAAAAATGTTTTGAAAGTATCCGTTAGAATTGGGTACTCTGAAGTCATATTCATAGGCTTACGAGGCAATTTATAGCAACGTGTAAAAGCGTCGCCTGTGAATCCATTTAAGCAAGTGCAGATGGGACTGTGGTTGCGTACGCGGCACTCGGCCTGTTGGCCACAGACATTGGGGCAAGGGTCAACGCATTTGCGATTCACACAAGCCTTGTCAGCAGCACACTCGGAGCTACTGGTACACTCGGGCCGACAAGCGGGTGGACTGCCTATAAACTCAGTTAGACAGGAGCAGACCGCCTGCTCGTTAACTTCGCGACAGCGCGAATTCGGCCCGCAAGGCGATGGTTGACAAGGATTCACATAGATACGTTCGGCTATAAGAAATGTTGTATAAGCATTCGGCTCCGTTGCGAGGTTTAACAGGGTACGCTTACGTGGTTCGTTTTCAACTATACGGCAAATACTATAAGGATCTCCAGTGTAGCCATTCAGACAATTGCACGTGGCCAAATGATTAATAACTTGGCACTCGGCATTCTGCCCGCATGTGCCAGGGCAGGGATCGCGGCATTTCTGCTGCTGACAAGCTCTATTTGAAGGACAATCTGAGTTGGCTACGCACTCCGGTCGGCAGCCTTCGTAAGGATTGCCAAAGTATTCAGGAAGGCACTGGCAAGAGCCAGCACCGCCCCGTTCTTCACACTTGGCATTGACGCCGCATGGACTTGGATTGCAGGGCTGTATCCGCTCGATCTGTGTCTCTCTTATGGGACTGCATTGGGCAAATGGATCACCCGTGAAGCCGCTATCACACAAGCACATGGCTGTGTGGCTGAAAACACGGCAGTTCGCATTGAGACCACAAAGTCCTGGACATGGATCCACGCATTTCTGATTAACGCAGGCCTGGTTGGTGGCACACTCTGAGTTAGATATGCATTCTGGTCGGCAATTCGGTGGAGAGCCCAAAAATTCGGGCAGACAAGAGCAGGATGGCGAATCACCTGAGACACGGCACTCAGAGTTGGGGCCACACGGCGAGGGCTGACATGGATTCTGAGGCGTGACATCACGTTGGGGAACTACTGTAAAAGATCCATATTGTACGCCTGGCAAGTGGCTAAAAATATCAAATAGCTTACTAATCTGTTCACAGCGCACGAAAGGATTGCCTGACATGCCAGCGGGGCAACTGCAGAAAGGACTGTGGTTCACCACATTGCATAGAGCATTGAAGCCGCAAGTGCCGGGACAAGGATCGCGGCACTTCATGTTCTGGCAAGCTTGATTCGCAGCACAATCTGAATTGGTGACACATTCCGGACGACATTGCGGCGGACTGCCTACATAGTCAATCAGACACGAGCAGACAGCGGTTTCTTGCACCACGCGACACTGGCTATTGGGTCCACACGGTGATGGCTGGCAGGGATTCTGAGGCGGTGGTGCGGGTACTGGGCGGCATTCAAAGAATGCATTGCCTGACATTTGGTCGGGACAGCGACAGATGGGCACATGATTCTTCACCTCGCAAATCGCATTCACACCACAGGTGCCCGGGCAAGGATCGATGCATTTGTTACGTATGCAAGCTCGATTCTGTGGGCAGTCTGTGTTGAGAACACACTCTGGGCGGCAGCCCACATATGGATCACCCTGGTATTCGGCTATGCAAGTACATTTGCCATCATTACATTGTGCATTGGCACCACATGGTGATGGATTACAAGGATCGTCCCTAACAGGAGGTGTAGTTGCTGTAAAAAGTATAAATAGTGAACATTCTTGCAGTCTTTTCGGGGTTTCAGCTGAGAACGTACGTTGCGGTGGTCTAAGATTGCAGCTTGTAAATGGATTTCCAATATAGCCGTCAATGCAAGCACAGAGCGGCGTATGGTTTATAACACTGCAAACAGCATTTAATCCACAGGCGCCTGGGCAGGGATCACGACATTTTTGATTAATGCATGCCTGCTGACTGGGACACTCGGAATTAATGGTACACTCTGGGCGACAATTGGGCGCCTGACCAATAAATGTGGCTAGGCAGGAACACGCTGGTACTCCATTAATGTTGCGACATTCGGAGTGTGGGCCACAGGGTGTCGGCACGCAGGGGTCACGCAAAGGCTCTTGTTGGACCTCGATTGGCCGGGCTATAGCATACACGAATAGATTTAGGTAGAGTCAAGATCACATTACGGCGAAGCATTGGGCTTACGTGGTATAGGAAAGCATTGTGTAAAGGCATCACCAGTGAAACCACTGATGCAACTGCAGATGGGACTGTGGTTGCGTACTCGACATATCGCATTGTTGCCACAAGTGTTGGCCACGCAGGGATCGACACACTTTTGATTTAGACAGGCCTTGTCTGCAGCACATTCCGATGAGATGGTGCACTCAGGTCGGCAGGCTGGTGGGGCACCAATGAACTGAGGCAGACACGAACAGACGGCCTGTTCATTGGTAACGCGACACTGTGAGTTGGGACCACACGGCGTGGGCTCACACGGATTGGTGTATTCATTACGTATAGCTACAGCAAAATTAATAATTAGAATTGTGGTTTTCATAAGCTGGCGACGAGTTGCTTACGTTCGGCAGGACGCGTACAAAGACGATACGGATCGCCTATGAATCCAGGTAGACAATTACAGGATGGTAAATGATTGACTACTTGACAGTTGGCATTTCGACCACAGGTGCCGGGACAAGGATCCTGACACTTTTGCTGTTGACAGGCACGATTCGACGGACAATCGGAGTCAAGAACACACTCGGGACGACAACCGTCGTAGGGATTGCCAAAGTATTCCGGCAGACATTGACAAGATCCAGCACCGTCTCGTTCGCGACAAATAGCATTGGCACCACATGGACTCGGGCTGCAGGGTGTACGCACTTCGATATCTCGTTCGATTTCTGGACTGCATTGAATGAATGGATCACCGGTAAAGCCCTGCTGGCAGATGCATTGCACCACATGGCTGACGACGCGGCAGTCAGCGTTAGGGCCACAGCGTCCTGGGCATGGATCAACACACTTCTGGTTAATACAAGCCAGTTGACTGCTACAGTCCGAGCTGGTGACACACTCCGGTCGACAATTTGGTGGACGCCCTATATAAGTTTCGAGACAGGAACAGGCGGGCGCTTCTCCAATAGGACGACATTGAGAGTAAGGGCCACAGGGCGATGGTCGGCATGGATCTATTGGCTGAACATCACGAACTGGTTCAACTGGGGATAAGCTATTGTTGTAAAAGATTCGTTAACCTGACTTCGCATGTACGCTTACTTTGTGGTTGGCAACGTATAAAGGGATTTCCGGTGAAGCGTGCGGGACAGGTGCAGAAGGGACTGTGGTTAACAACCGCACAATTGGCGCCCACTCCACAAGTGCCAGGACAAGGGTCACCACAACGCTGATTGAGACACGCCTGGGTAGGCGCACACTCGGCATTGGAGGTACACTCTGGCCTACAGGTGGGTGGTGCGCCAATGAAGGTTGGCAAACAAGAACACACGGCCTGCTGATTGACTTCGCGGCATTGAGAATTTGGACCACAAGGCGACGGGCGGCAAGGGTTAGTGTCCACAACAATTTCTGTAGATAATTTTCGGTCATAAGTAGCGAACATAAAATTGAGAATAACAAGGTCGACGTACTCGGCACGGGTGTACAGCGTATAAAGGCGCTGCCTGCGGTACCATCGGGGCACCTGCACATGGGGATATGGTTAATGACGTCGCAAATGGCATTCTCGCCACAAGTGCCCGGGCACGGATTCAGACATTTACTGCGTAGACAGGCCTTGTCTCGCGGGCAGTCGGAATTGAGGACGCATTCGGGGCGACAACCAGCATAGGGATCCCCATGGAACTCGGGCAAACATGTGCAGACACCGTCTCTGCATTGTGCATTGGGACCACACGGCGATGGTTGACAACGATCAACGTATTCGTCTAAAGATCATAAGCCATTAGGAAAATGTGATCCTTGTTTTTTTTTTCGGAAACTCACTTAACACTGGCTCTGGCGGCGCCAGGCGACAACTGCTAAACGGATCACCCGTATAACCTGTAGGACAAGTACATATCGGTGTGTGATTGACAACATTACATTCCGCAGCATATCCACAAGACCCTGGACATGGATCTATACACTTTTCGCGAATACACGCCATGTTCGAAGCGCACTCGGCACTGATAGTGCATTCGGGTCGGCAATTCGGTGGCGTGCCTATGTATTCCTGTAGACAGGTGCACGATGGAACTCCTTGCACATTGCGGCACTGACTATTCAGACCACACGGCGAGGGCACGCAAGGATCGCGTTCAACTCGCTCAATGACAGGGGCGGGTGCTAAGTTCAGGAAATCAATATTACAATTAAGGAATCGACTTCGAATGCAACTAAGTCGCTTACGTGGCATAGCATAGCAACGTGTGAAGGCATCGCCCGTAAAACCTCGACGACACTGACACAGTGGACTATGATTTCGCACACGGCACTCGGCATTGATGCCGCAGGTGCCCGGGCAAGGATCCTGACAACGTTGACTTATGCATGCTTTATCAGTGGGACATTCAGTGCTCAATACGCACTCGGGTCGACAGTTGGGTGGCAAACCGATGTAGAGTTCAAGACAGGAGCACACCGCTTGGCCATTAAGCTCGCGGCATTGGGAATTGGGGCCACAAGGCGAGGGTTGACAGGGCTGAGTGGGTTCGGCTTGCCGTATAGCTGTAAATGGTATTTTGTAGTCGTTGTTGGTTGTTGTTGTGGTGGTTGGGTCTTACGTTGAGCTGGTTCCACATGACAGTAACGATAAGGATAACCGGTGTAACCGCTGCGACATGTGCACGTGGGTATATGAGTCGTTACTCGGCAATCGGCGTTCGTACCACATGTGCCGGGGCAGGGATCGCGACACTTTTGCTGCTGACATGCCTTATTCGATGGACAGTCAGAATTACGCACGCATTCTGGTCGGCACGACTGGTAGGGATCGCCGAAGTAATCTGGCATGCATTGACAAGAGCCAATGCCATTGCGCTCACGGCAAACGGCGTTCGATCCACATGGATTCGGTTCACATGGTGTGATCTGTTCGTAGACTATTTTTTCTATACTCGGGTAAGATGGTTAAGAGTAAGAGAGTGGGGGAAGAAAAGAGAGTTTGGCAATAACTTTAATAACTGTTCTTTTGTTTTTCGGGTTTAGTACGAACAAACACACCTGGCATTTGCTTTAGTTTTAAGCATTTGTATTGCAGTTGATTATTCCAATTGGGTGTTTGGTTTTTTTTGGCAGTGGGATTAGAGCACGGATTAAGTGTTGAGTTGGTCCAATTAATATATTTTGAATTTGGTCGCAAAGTAGCTTTTGCGCGGTTTGTTTTAGGTTTTAGTGTTGTTAAACGCAGTGCGTTGCAGTGATTGGCGTATTGTGCGGTGCGCAGTGTTTTGTGCAGTGTTGCATAACGTAATATGCGCAGAATGTTTTCATACGTTTTGTGGCGGTATTAAAACAAGTGTTTCGTGTCATCTTATATCGATCGATTTATTGCATTTGTTAAACGAATTAAATATTTGGCACTACAAAGTTATAAGTCTATGATCTTAAGCCTAGTATAATAACTAATTACTAGTAGTCAATAAGCGCTTTTTAGTTTCATGTAGCCTTTGGTAATTGTTGATAATCCTTTGGCGAACCGATGTTACAATTTAGGTATAAAAGAGGTACAAATTTTGGGCGAAAACAACGCAGTACTCAATTTCAATGGGGGTTTTTGTGTTTTTTTGTTCCATTGGCAGGTTAGGGTATCGAATTCAAAGGTTAAGTAATCATATATTGTACGCATTGGGTCAAACAAACGGGTATAAGTATAAGCATTTCATGGGTCCGAACTCAATTCAAACAACAGGGCCAAAATATTACTTCCCAAAGCATAAAAACAACATGGTCAGGGGGTTAGGTCAACTCAAGGCATTTTGTTGAGGCTGTTTACTTAAATATAGTGTGGCAAGAGGCGTGGCAAGTTTGCATATTGTATTGAGGCGTTAAAGGCGTTTAAAAGCAAATATAATATAGTGTCAAAAATATAAACTAAAACTAATTAAAAGCTTTGACTACTGCCGCACACAAACACTTCCTCCGCCAGCAACAAATCAGACAACTCGTACAGAATTGTGCGACGTTAGATTTGCATTTCGCTTCAGTGTTGGTAAACATTAAAATGTAGAATATATATGAAACACGTATTTTGCAATGCATTGTGCTTGTGCGTGCAATAAACAAAACTTTTAATATAAATTCGTGTGAATTGTGTACAAATCTCGAAAACAAAGCGCATTAAAAAAGTTGACAGTGTTTGGCGTTGATTTGTTGAATGTGAATGATAAAAAAGTAGTGCAAAATGAAAACAAATTTGCACTTAAATATTAACAAAACTATACATTTTGTAAATTTTTCTAATGCGCACTTAAAAAATGTGAAACTGATTTTTTCATGGGGAAACAAATATAACTTGAGATCAGGGGCAATTGATAATAATTATAAAATAATATGGCACGATTTCTAAGGCATTTCAGTTTCACATTCAGATTTCCCTATCAAGGCGTAAACAATGCGTGTGTAATTGCAGTGATTCTTCAGTAAAGCTTTGTCTATTAGGCGGGTGTTCAAGGAGTTGGGCAGTGGACTTTGATTTAAGCAACCTTAACCAAGCTAGTTTACGCCTTGACCTAACTACTGGTGTATTGTGTGTAATAAACGAAATCGGGTTCCTACCTTGTTCCTGTTGACAGCCGGTGAAGGGATCTCCTGTGTAGCCCACGTCGCAGGTGCATATGGGCTGATGATTGGCCACATTGCAGCGAGCATTAAAGCCGCAGGCGCCCACACAAGGATCGGCACACTTCTGGCGTATGCACGCTTTAGTTGGTGAACATTCTGGGTTGATGGTGCACTCGGGACGACAGTTGGGCGGTGTGCCAATAAATGTTGCTGCACAAGAGCAAGCTGGATTTCCGTTGAGTTCCTTGCACTCTGAGTTCGGTCCACATGGTGATGGTACACAAGGGTGGCTGGGAACTTCTGGTGTGGGCTTACGTTCTTCCTGGTAGCAGCGTGTGAACGGATCGCCCGTGTAGCCGGTGTTGCATGAGCAGGACGGATTATGGTTGATCACTTGGCAGCGTGCAAACTGACCGCAAGCTCCTGGGCACGGATCCACACATTTTTTCTGTATGCAGGCCGTTTGCAGGGAACATTCTGAGCTGACAATGCACTCGGGCTTGCAAGCGGGTGGTGAGCCCAACATGCCAGGCTGGCATGCACAGACAGCGCCCTGGGCAGAGATGTGGCATAAACTGTTCGGTCCACATGGATTTGGTTGGCAAGGATCCTTGGCAACCGGGGTCTCTTGTCGGCAATGGACAAACGGATCACCCGTGTAGCCTTGCAAACAGCTGCAGATAGGTATATGGTTGGAGACATCACATTGTGCATTCTGTCCACAGGTTCCGGGGCACGGATCGACACACTTTTTGTTCAGACAAGCCTTATTTGGCGAGCAATCTGTGCTGAGCGTGCACTCTGGACGGCAGCCGGTGTAGGGATCACCCTGGTATTCAGGAAGGCAGCTACAGATACCGTTATTGCATTCGGCATTGGCGCCACATGGTTGCAGATCACATGGATCCTGAGATGTGGGCGGTGGCTGTGTTGTCTTCTCAACAATTTCGACACATTGCACGAACGGATCCCCAGTGAAGCTACCGCGGCACGTACATATAGCGAGATGATTCTGTATGCGACACTCGGAGTTAATACCGCAGGATCCTTCACAGGGATTGCGGCACTTCTCTGCAATGCAGGCACGATCTGAGGCACAATCAGTGTTCACAACACACTCGGGTCGGCAATTGGGTGGTGCTCCAATGTAGTTTGCCAAGCAAGAGCAGGATGCCTGATCACCGCGTACACGGCACTCAGAATATAGGCCGCAAGGCGAAGGCTGGCATGGGTTCTTGGGGGCATCCTTTGGCGAAACAACTTCAGGTGCTGGATAGCAGCGCGAAAACGGATCGCCAGTCATGTCTAGAGGACAGCTGCAGATGGGATTGTGGTTGATCACCTCACATTTGGCATCAATGCCACAAGTGCCGGCACATGGATTTGCGCAACGGAACTTATGACACGCCTTGTTCTGTGGGCATTCGGCATTCACTGTACATTCCGGCTTGCAGTTGGGCGGTGCACCAATAAAGGTGTCCAGGCAAGAGCATACAGCCAAGCCATTGGCCACACGGCACTTGCTGTTAGGGCCACAAGGCGATGGGCTGCATGGATCGGCAACTGTTTTGGGTGGCGTTATTTCAACACGACGACAATTGGAGAACGGATCACCAGTATATCCATCATTGCAAACGCAATTTGGCACATGATTGATAGCATAGCACTGTGCATTGGAACCGCAGATGCCCGGGCAAGGATCTTGACACTTGTTCCTAATGCAAGCCTTATCCGTGGAACAGTCCGAGCTAAGCACACACTCTGGCCGACAGCCTTCGTAAGGATTACCCTGATATTCGTCAATACACTTGCAAGCGGCAGCGCCATTACGTTCAATGCATTCGGCATTGGCGCCACACGGCGAGGGCTCGCATGGCTTCGGCTGTTCTTCGCGCTGTTGCACGCACTGTACAAAGGCATTGCCAGCATATCCGGGTGGACATGAACACGAAACAGAATGGCCAATAACGCGGCATTCCGAATTTGTTCCGCAGGAGCCTGGGCAGGGATCGCGGCACTTGTTGTTTATGCAAGCCTGTGTTGAGGGACAATCTGGATTGATGATACATTCGACTCGGCAGTTAGGCGGAGCTCCGAAGTACTCTGGCAGACATTGGCAGACAGGTCCCTTGTCATCAGCTTTGCATATGGAGTTGGGTCCACAGGGCGATGGCACGCATGGATCGGTGGGCGGTTGCGCTTTATCAACATCCTTTTGCATGGGTATTTCGGTGCAGCCCTTGAATGGATCACCAGTTGTGCCTGGAGGACAACCACATATGGGACTATGATTGATGACCTCACAGCGCGCCTCAATACCACAGGCACCAGCGCAGGGATCGACGCACTTTTTGTTGACACATGCTTGCAATGCTGAGCACTCGCTGGAAACGACACATTCTGGTCGACATTGTGGCGGTGCTCCAATGAAGCCTTCCAGGCACGAGCACACCGCATGTCCATTAATATCGCGACACTGACTGTTGGCACCGCATGGCGAGGGTGAGCAGGCCTTGATCTCTGACACAGGTTCAATCGGCTTCGGACGGCAATTAGTGAACGGATCGCCTTCATAACCTTGCTGACAGGAGCAGACAGGTATGTGATTCATAACTTCGCAAATCGCATTGTTTCCACATGTTCCCGGGCAGGGGTCCACACACTTGTTGCGCATGCACGCCTTATCCCGTGAACAGTCGGCAGACAGTGTGCATTCGGGACGACAACCCTCGTAGGCATTACCTTGATAGTTGTTCTGGCAGCGACACTCACCGGCAAAGCAGTCAGCGTTGGGTCCACAGGGATTGGGGTTGCATGGGTCATCGGGTCGTACGACAACCTTTTCCTCTGGCAGCTTGCTGCAGCGCACAAACGGATCTCCAGTGAAACCATCGATGCAGTTACATATTGGCAGATGGTTAAGTACATGACACTTGGCCTCAAAGCCGCAAGAGCCAGGGCAAGGATCCCGACACTTCTGATTAATACACGCCTCCGTTGAGCCACACTCTGAGTTCAGTACGCACTGAGGTCGGCAGCTGGGTGGTGCGCCAATGAAGTCCGGCAGGCAGGAGCAAGCTGGGCTTCCACCAACAATTTGACATTTCGAGTTGGGGCCGCAGGGCGAGGGCACGCAGGAAGGTGCAGGTGGCTCGGGCGTGGTCACATCGTGTGTAATCGCTGTAAATGGTAAATGCTGGTTAGATTCTAAAAAAAGATATTATTTTTGAGCAAAGGACTTACGTATCTTGGTACATTGCACAAATGGATCGCCAGTCATTCCACGAGGACATGTGCAGATAGGACTGTGATTCTTGGTGCTGCAGATGGCACGAATGCCACATGTGTGCTGGCAAGGATCGACGCACTTATTGTTTACGCAAGCATGCTCTGTGGCGCACTCTGCGCTGACAACACACTCGGGACGGCAGTTTGGCGGTTGGTTGACAAATCCTGATTGGCAAGAGCAGACAGCTTGGTTGTTAATGCTGCGACAATTGCTGTTAGGACCGCAAGGCGATGGCACACAAGGATTCATAGGTGGTGGCGGGGTAACCGGCACAGGTCGACAGCTAAAGAATGGATCTCCGCTGTAGCCTTCCGGACAAACACAGGTGGGCACATGGTTATCTACTGTACAGATGGCAAATTCACCGCACATATTTGCGCATGGATCAATGCATTTGAAGCGTACGCATGCCTGTGCAGGGCTGCACTCATCGTTGGTTTCACACTCACGACGGCAGCCTCGCTGAGCATCGTAGGGATTACCCTCGAAGCCATCATGGCAGTAGCATGCTCCAGCACCGTTGTGCTCCCGACACTCGGCGTGTGGACCACAGGGCGAGGGCTCGCATGGCGATGGGGGTGGTTGCTTGTCGATTACTGGTGGTATGAGCTGACAGCCGAATAGAGGATCGCCCTCATAGCCGTCGGCACAGGAGCAAACAGCATTGTGTTGCACCACCTGACAAATTGCATTGCTGCCACACGAACCTGGACACGGATCAATGCAGCGCTCCTGCTGGCAGGATAGATGATTTTGGCATTCGTCGTTGTTGGTACACTCTGGTCGACAGCTGGGTGGGCGTCCAATATAGTTGGCCTGGCAGGAGCAAGCAGCTTGCTCTCCGATTTCACGGCAAATCGAGTTCGGACCACAAGGTGAAGGCACACATGGGTTCTCTGTGGTCTTGCCCACATCTGCGACACATCCTGAGATTGGATCCCCCGTCATGCCTGGCACGCAACTACAGATCGGATTGTGGTTGACCACTTGGCATTTGGCATTGTTTCCGCAAGCGCCGCTGCAGGGATTAGCGCATTTTTGATTGATACAGGCCCGATTCTGTGCACACTCTGAGCTGACCACACATTCAGGCTTACAACTAGGTGGTGCTCCCACATAACCTTCCAGGCAGCTGCAGACCGCATGGCTGTTAGTATCATGACACTGACTATTGGGTCCACATGGTGAGGGCTGGCATGGATTCTCGGGACGACGGGTTACGACTTCAATAAGAGCGCACGAACGATGCGGATCGCCAGTGTAACCATCAAAGCACATACAGTTGGGTGCATGATTCAATACGCGACATTCGGCATTGATGCCGCAGGCACCAAGACATGGGTTCTGACACTTGTTATTAATGCAAGCGCGTGAACGATCGCAGTCTGGATTTTGAACACATTCCGGACGGCAACCACTGTACGGATCACCAAAGTACTCGGGCAGGCAGGAGCATGAGCCGGCGTTATTGCGTTCGCGACAAACAGCATTGGCACCACATGGACTTGGATTGCAGGGATTAGGTGGAGCTTCCGTTTGGGTCACTATAGAATGTATCGAGTAGGGGAGAAGAAAATATGCAAAATGATGTTAGAAATATGTCTGAGAAAAAGGTCAAATTTGTTATACTTTGGTGTATAATAGTACAGCCGGAGAAAGGATCTCCGGTGTAACCAGGCTCGCATTGACAGTTCGGGTTATGCTTAATAACAGTACACTGTGAGTGTATGCCGCATGCACCGACACATGGGTTTGCACAGCGTTGGTTAACACATGCTAGGTTGGCTGGGCAATCGGGACTAGTCATGCATTCGGGTCGGCAGTTGGGTGGCCGGCCGAGATATTCGGGCAGGCAGGAGCATGCAGGCGAACCGCGTACATCGACGCACTTAGAGTTGGGTCCGCAGGGCGAGGGCACACAGGGATTACCAGATTCTTTGGGTGTTTCCTCCACTACATAGCCAAGCCAGACATGCCAGATAGTTGAAGTAGGTGTATACACGCACAAACACATTTACACATATACAAATACATAGTACAGTTGGGAAGTTCGGATAGTGTAGAGTAATTGGTAGAGTGTACATAAAAATCAAAACATAAAGTAGAAAAAATAAAGAAGAAGATTAAGGTGAAAGATTTATATACATGCAGGAAAGAAACAGAAAGCCAACGCCAGCTGGACAGAAATCAACTTGCAAATAGACGTTAACCCTATACCCCTCCAACTCTGTCCAACTGACCTCAGCATCTGTGTGGACTACTCATGCTTACATATAATTCGAGTGCATCGATTGAAGGGATCTCCGGTGTAGCCTGGTGCACAGGAACATGCAGGATAGTGATTAATGACCTGGCAGCGGGCCTCAATGCCACAAGTACCTGGGCATGGATCAACGCACTTCTGATTCTGACAATTTAGATCTTGTGCGCAGTCTGAGCTAACTATGCACTCAGGCCTGCAGTTGGGTGCTGAGCCAATCATACCGGGCTGGCACGAGCACACGGCATGGTTATTTATTTCCCGACATTGACTATATGGACCGCAGGGGGAAGGCACACATGGGTTTTGAATGACTATGGCTAGGAATGATAAAGGGAAGGCGGTCAATCGTTTGTGGGACAATTGTTGGCTTTATAAACCTACGTGGTTCAGGCAGTTCGATTATTTCACGACAAGCGCTCGATGGGTTTCCAGTGTAACCGGCCAGACAGAGGCAGCTGGGCAAGTGATTGGACACGCGACACTCTGCATTCAAGCCACAAACACCTGGACAAGGATCCACGCATTTCTGGTTGATACAAGATCTGTCGCGTGAGCAATCACTGTTCACCACGCACTCAGGGCGGCAGCCGCTGTACGGATCACCAAAGTATTCTGGCAAGCATGTACAGGAGCCGGCGCCATTGCGTTCACGACACTCTGCATTGGGGCCGCAGGGCGAGGGTACACAAGGCGTTAAACGTTCTTCGGGCACGGCAATAGCTAAGGATCATACATACATCAGACAAGGTATTAGGTCTAATCACAGCGAGCAGACAGAGTTAGGTGCTTACGTTGCGGATTGCAGCCAGCAAATGGATCGCCCGAGTAGCCGCTTTCGCAGGTGCAAACAGGTGAGTGATTTACAACATTACAGAAAGCATTGAAACCGCACGAGCCGGGACAAGGATCCTTGCAGCGCTCGTTGATACAAGCCAGATTACCAGCGCACTCCGAATTTTGTGTACATTCTGGGCGGCAATTGGGCGCACGTCCAATATAGTTTGGCAGACAGGAGCAGACACCCGTCTCACCGATTACGCGACACTGCGAGTTGGGACCGCAGGGGCTTGGCACGCATGGATTATCATTGGCCTTCGGAGCTTCTGGCTCCTGCTGCCATGGTGCACAACGCACAAACGGATCACCACTATAGCCAGCTGGGCATGAGCAAATGGGATTGTGATTGGTCACCTTGCAAACGGCCTCATTACCGCAGGTGCCTGGACATGGATCTACACAGCGCAAATTCACGCAGGCCTTATCTTGCGCGCACTCAGAGCTAACTGAGCACTCGGGACGACAGGCGGGCGGTGCACCAATATAATTGGCAATGCACGAGCAGACGGCATGCTCATTCACCTCGCGGCACTGGCTATAGGGACCGCATGGCGATGGCTGACATGGTTGTACAGGCGGTGCCACTACAGAATTTGGGGTGAAATGTTACTAAACTATTCTTAGATAACTTTTTGTGTTTTGAGGATACTCTACATTTGGGTATTTCACGGCAATACTGCGAGGGATTGCCCGTATAACCGGCAGGACAACTGCAGCTGGGCGAATGATTGATGACGTGACATTCAGCGGCTACACCGCAAACTCCTGGACAGGGATCTCTACACTTGTTGTTAAGGCAGGCGCGATTCTTGGAGCAGTCGCTATTAAGCACACATTCTGGACGGCATTCCGTGTACGGATCGCCACTGTACTCGGGTAGACACGTGCAGGAGCCGACGCCGTTGCGTTCCTTGCAAAGGGCATTGGCACCACACGGACTAGGATTGCAGGGCTCCGCGATTTCGGGCGGTACAATAACTGAGAAAAATAAATAGGTTTACAATTGGGAACTGGACGTTGACTGAGCGTTGAACGCTTACTTTGTGGACTACACTCAGAGAATGGATCGCCAGCATAGCCATCAAGGCAACGGCAAATAGGTCTATGATTATTTACAAGGCATGTGGTCTGAATGCCGCAAGTACCCACGCAGGGATTCTGACAGCGTAAATTGATGCAAGCCAAGTTGCCAGCGCACTCGGAGTTCGATGTGCACTCGGGACGGCAATTTGGCGCCCTACCCACATAATGTTGCAAGCATGAGCACACGGGTTGCTCATTAGCTGCCGACACCTTACACTGCGAGTTGGGTCCGCATGGCGAGGGCACACACGGATCGATGCGATCACTTACAATAGGTCGTTCTACATTTACCAAATACACCAAACATGATAACAGCATGCACCACAATAAAAGCCATATAACATTGTACATATAAAAAAGAAAGATATATATAGATATAGTATGGATATAAAGAGGTGATTTTGTGAATGATTTGAAATGAGGGAAGCGAGCCAAAGCAAGCTTTTGTTTTATGATGTGAGGTGACGATGTTTTCTTACTTTCTTGAGGTAGGCAGCGCACGAAAGGATCGCCACTGTAGCCAGGGCTGCAGGAGCAAATGGGATTGTGATTGACGACGCGACATAAGGCATTGTTGCCGCATGTACCAGGGCATGGATCTTTGCAGCGTTCATTGATGCACGATTTGTCTTGACTGCATTCCGAACTGCTCATGCATTCGGGCCGGCAGTTGGGTGGGGCGCCCACATAATTTGGCACACACGAGCAGACGGCATGACCGTTAAGTGCACGACAGTTGCTGTAGAGACCGCACGGTGAGGGATGGCATGGATTTTCGGGCACAATGGGATCGGGATCTAGACACATTGTAAAGTGTGCTATTAATTATGGATTGTTTTTAACGCGAGTCAAGTCTTACAGCGCGGTATATCGGGCACGAGATGACAACCCACGATCGGATTTCCTGTATAGCCCGGCAAGCATTCGCAGTTGGGTGCATGATTAAATACGGCGCATTGGGCACTGTGTCCACACATGCCAGGACATGGATCGACGCACTTCTGATTTACGCATGCGCGTGATTTGGGACAATCTGAGTTGATCACACACTCGGGTCGGCATTCGACGTATGGATCGCCAAAGTATTCGGGCAAGCATTTACATGCTGCGGCGCTATTACGCTCCTCGCATAATGCGTTTAGGCCACAGGGGCTGGGTCGGCAGGGTTGGGTGGTTTCGACGGGTACTGTTTGGTTAACATACAACATATTTGAATGCATTGACATAAAATGGTTGGGGAAACTGTGCATAAGGACGGGACATACTTTCTAAGATCTTGTAGCAGCCTGAGAATGGATCTCCAGTGTAGCCAGGCTGGCACATACACACGGGCGCGTGGAAGCTGACATGGCACAGAGCGTTATTGCCGCAGGATCCAATGCATGGATCGGCACAGCGTGCATTCATGCAGGCCATACGCGCCGGACACTCTGAGTTAATGCTGCATTCGGGGCGACAAGCCGGCGGGCGTCCTACGTAATTGTTGAGGCAGGCACAGACGGCGCCGCTACTTGCGGCTTGGCACTGCGAGTTGGGGCCGCAGGGCGATGGCACGCAAGGATTTAAGGGTCTTATGGGATCAGGAACGACTATTGGCTCTACAAGCATTGTAAGATTGAAACATTTTAATTGATGCTGTCTAGCGGAGTATTTAGGCGAACACCTACTTTGCTCAGGCAAACACTGATGGAATGGATCACCAGTATAACCATCAAAGCAGCTACAGATGGGCGCATGGTTTGCCGTGCGACAACGTGCATTATAGCCACATGTGCCGGGGCATGGATCGCGGCATCTTTGATTGATGCAGGCTCTATCTGAGGCACATTCGGCACTTGTCAAGCATTCTGGCTTGCAATTGGGTGGGCTGCCCATATAGTCTGGCAAACAAGCGCAGACTGGACGACTCCCAACCACATGGCAAGTGCTAAAGAGGCCGCAGGGCGAGGGTCTACATGGATCTTTGGGCAGTGGGAGGTACATATCTAAAAGCAGTAAGCTTAGCTTATTAAGAGACTCTTTATTATTCTGGTGGGTGTGCATACTTGTGGGTCGCTCCACACAGGCGCGTAGGGGATTGCCAGTAAAACCTGGCTCACAGCTGCACACGGGCTGATGGTGAGCAACGCGACAAATCGCATTAAAGCCACAGGCATTCGCACAGGGATCGCGGCACTTCATATTGATACAGGCCTTGGTACCGGGACAATCGCTATTCTGCACACATTCGGGTCGGCAATTAATGTATGGATCTCCGAAATAATTCTGAATGCAGCTGCATGAGCCAGCACCGTTGCGTTCGCGACAAACGGCATTTGCACCACATGGCGATGGATAGCATGGATCAGAGGGCACATCGGGTACCACAACTGAGTTATGAGCAAACACACGAAGATAGGCATAGATATGGCAAGCGTGGAGAAGTGGATAATGCATACAATAAATTAAAGATATACATATACAGAATAGGCTTAAAACTAGGCTCTTAAATACATGACAAATAAATACAAATTGAAGTTTCCCAGAATCGTGAAAAATATATAATATACCCCGTACCCATGTCAACAGCGAAAAGCATTTGTAATGACTTTCTTTAATTATATAAATATCTATTCGAATTATCTTTGGCACAAACTTTTTAAGTGCGTTTTCGACATGATCATGGGTACAGGGTATATATAAATGATGGAATAGTATGAAGTATGTACACAATATAACAAAACATGCATGACGTAAGAACCAGATGCCCCTTAATCTAAGATACCACTGGAAAAGACATGTAACATTAACAAAACAATAGGCGCTACAGTTGCCAGTCGCAACAAAGGAATGCAACTGTTTGTATGGAAAGGATAGCAAATCGAAAAGAATGGACTCACTTTGATGCATGTTGCAACCCGTGTACGGATCGCCCTCATAGCCCTCAAGACAACTGCACTTGGGCTGGTGATTCTGTGTGGTGCAGAGCGCATTGAAGCCACAAGTGCCAATGCAAGGATTTTCGCAGCGTTGACGTATGCACGCTCTGTTCGAGGGGCAGTCTTGGTTAATAACACACTCGGGTCGGCAGTTGGGAGGTGCTCCGAACATGCCCGCCGAGCAAGAGCACTCAGCTCGATTGTTAACTTCACGGCACAAAGCATTCGGTCCACATGGATTCGGTAAGCAGGGATTGACAACAGGTCTTGGTTCAGGGGCTACAAGAAAGATTAAATAAATGTTAGGCTAAGCTTAAAGTATTTTATGGGATGTTCGTGTGACTTACGTTTGGGTACACATTGTTCGAATGGATCTCCGACATATTCGTTGGGGCACGTACATATAGGATTATGATTGTTCACTTGACACTTGGCATTAAAGCCGCATGTGCCACTGCATGGATTGGCGCACTTTTGATTAATGCAAGCCAAATTCTGTGCACACTCAGAGCTGACCACACACTCGGGTCGGCATGTGGGCGGTGAACCGAAATAGCCAACTTGGCAGCTGCATGTGGGATGGCCCTCGACTGTGCGGCATATGCTGTTTGGTCCACAAGGATTGGGTTCACACACGCTGATGGGTCCCACAGGAGTGCGTTTGCAGCCCACGAATGGATCGCCCTCGAAGCTATGTATACAACTGCATGTGGGCAGATGGTTGACTACAGTGCATTCGGCATTGGGACCACAGGCACCTGTGCAGGGATTGCGACAGTGCTGCTTGATGCAGGCCAGTGACGAAGGACATTCCGAATTATAGATACATTCTGGGCGACAGCCAGTGCTGTATGGATCCCCAAAGTAGGGCTCAATACAGCTGCAGCGAGCTGCATCATTATGCGGTGTGCACACTGCATTCTCAGCGCAGGGATTCGGATAGCAGGGATTGTAGTGATCATGTGGTTCTGCAATAGAGTAATGCAATAATATCATGGACGTTATTAGTGAAACTCTTTAAACTTACCCTGTTTTATGACCTTCGAGCAGCCTACGAAGGCATCGCCCTCGTAGCCTGTGTCGCAGCTGCAATGTGCGGAGTGGGCAACAACTGTGCAGCGGGCATTGTGTCCACAAGTGTTGGCGCATGGATTTTGACATTTCTCTTGGATGCAAGCCTTGTCTGCGGGACATTCAGTGCTAAGCGTGCACTCGGGTCGGCAATATGGTGGACTGCCTATGTAGTTGGCAACGCACGAGCAGACCGGCCGCTTCTGTTTGATTTGGCAAATTGAGTTGGGACCGCAGGGCGATGGCACACAAGGATTTTGCTGTGATTTGCCATCGGGTTCTGGCACACGAGAGCAAGCCACGAATGGATCACCCTCGAAGTGTGACTCACAAGAGCAAATCGGATTGTGATTCAAAACCTCACAGCGCGCACCGATGCCGCAGGTGCCAGGGCAGGGATCTGCACAGCGTTGATTGATACAAGCCTGGCTGGGAGCGCACTCCGAGCTAACCACGCACTCTGGCTGGCAAACAGGTGGTGCGCCCTTGAAATTGGGTAGGCAGGAGCAAGCGGCATAGCCATCTGCAGACGCCAAGCACCGCGAGTTGGGGCCACAGGGTGAGGGCTCGCAAGGATTACGACGATCGGTAGGCGGCGTCACTGGCGGTAAGTAATATGGATTGCAGGCCAGGAAAGCATCGCCACTAAAGCCCTCGGCGCAGACACAAACGGGTGCATGGTTAACGACACGACACACGGCATTGATGCCACAGACACCGGAGCAAGCGTCTACGCACTTGGAATTCACACACGCCTTGTCGGCGGAACAGTCACTATTGAGGACGCACTCCGGTCGACAGCCAATGTAGGGATTACCGAAGTAGCCCTTGCGACAAATGCAGGCCAATCCGCCGCTTTGCCGTTTGCAATCGGCATTTGGTCCACACTGCAGCTTGGCACAACTGGCTGTGGGTGTTGGTACTATTGGCGAGGGTGGTGCGCATTGTTCGTAGGGATTACCGAAGAGTCCAGTGGGGCAAGCACATATTGGATTATGCTCGTAGACATTACAAACAGCGTTGCGTCCACAGGAGCCGGGGCAAGGATCCAAGCAGCGTTGTCCCAAACAGGCGCGGTCAAATGGACAGTCCGAATTGGCAACGCATTCCGGTCGACAACGCGGGTTTTGTTGAGCATTGGGTCCAAAGCAAGGGTCACATAGGGCTACACCATCTCCAAATACAGAGCACACGTCACTTGGTCCACAAGGCGACGGTACACAAGGATCACGGGAGATGTTCTTTAATATACCTATCGGTACGCACTGTAAGAACGCATCTCCAGCGAATCCATCGAGACAATGGCACACTGGTGTATGTTGGCGAACGTTGCAAATGGCGTTGATACCGCAGATGGTGCCGGCACATGGATCTACACACTTGTGGTTTATACAGGATAGCGACTCTCCGCAGTCCGAGTTAATGTCGCATTCCGGCTGGCAGCCGGATTGGGGATCACCCAGATATCCAGGGAGGCATGAGCACACAGCTCGGTTATTCAGCAATTTACATTCGCTGTTCAAGCCACATGGACTGGGCACACAAGGGTTACCCTTGGGTTGGTCCAGAGCAAAGCAACGTACGCCAGGATTACCGGTTAAGCCAGCATTGCAAGAGCAAACGGGATGATGTTGTTCCACACGGCAATTGGCTCCGTGACCGCATGCACCGGGGCATGGATCGTAGCAACGGAATCCCATGCAGGCCCTGCTTTGAGGACAATCAGCATCTACTTGACATTCATAGCCGTGGCATCCAACAAGGGATGTTGGATCGCCAGACAGACCCTCGGGGCAGACACATGCAGTTTGGCCATCGCCAGCAACAACGCAGTTAGCATTGGGTCCGCAAGGATTGGGATCGCACACAGTGCGACTTGTCTCAATACACCCTTGGTAGGCATCTCCAACGTAGCCAGAGCGGCAGTAGCATTCCTCGCGATTGCCGGCCACATAGCAGTCAGCATTGCGACCACATGGATCCGGCTGGCACAGCTCAATGGAAACTGATGGCTTTTCGCAAATTCTGAAAGGATTTCCAATCTTGTTATCCGGACAGTAGCAGACGGGCTGGCGCGATGAGTCACAGATGGCGCCTGTGCCGCAAGGATTTGGCTCGCAGGGATTGATCGGCTCGACGCAGCCGCGAATAGTGTTAGGACTCTCCACATAACCTGGCAGACAGGTACACTTAGAGAAGCCATTGCTTAACACTGCACACTGAGTGTTGGGTCCACAAGGCGAAGGTTCGCATGGATTGGATGGAAGCTCACAAGCTATGTGTGGAGGTTGGCCTTCGTATTCGGGCAAACAGAAGCAAACGGGAGCACCGTTAACCCGGCGACAGCCAGAGTTTGGACCACATGGATTCGGTGTACACTCATCTCCCTCAGGAACTATAATTGAGGAATATTTAACACTTTTTAATAATTGCTTAAACACAAAATACTCACTGCAATTCTTGAAGGGGTTACCAGTGAGACCTTTAGGGCAGAAGCATATGGGGTTTCCATTGTCCAGTTCACACTGAGCATTCAGACCACATGGATTGGGATCGCACGGATTCTGTGGTGGACTGCAACCCACCTCGGGATTACCATTGTATCCAGGTGGGCACTTGCACACGCCACGATGATTAACTACATCGCACAGGGCAAATGCACCACATTGACAAGGAGATGTGCACTTGCCATTGATGCATGCCTGGCTGGCATCACATTCGGAATCAGCGCGACAACCCAGCGATTGCTGGCAAAGAACGTATGCATTGCCCAAAAATCCGGGCAAGCAGCGACAGTTGATGCCATGGTTGACCGGCACACATTCGGCGTTCTCTCCGCACGAATCCTCTTGGCAAGGATTTATGCAGCGTCGGTTGAGGCGGTCGCATAGCTTATTCGGCGGACAATCCTCGTTGTATTGGCAGACTTGGGTGCGTGCTATGGTTGTGGTTAGAGTTACGGTGCGTTTTGTTTCGTGTATTTATAATTCGATTCGTGTTGTTGTTGTCGGGGCGGTACAAATTTTATACATGTGTTGGCAGGTGTACGGGGAATTTGTACAGTGTATGAAAGAGAGAGAGACATTTTGGGAAATGAAACATTTTGTGTTATATTAGACTGGAATAACTATAACTTGAGGATGAGCAAAAGTGCAAGAAGTGCTAGCAATAGTAAGCTACTAACCTGGCTGACAACCAACCAGCCCATTGCCCTGATAGCCATCCAGGCAGCTGCAATCGGCCGCGTGATTGGCATTGATACAAACCGCATTTTGGGCACAAGGATCATGCACGTCGCAAGGGTGCTGGCAACGCTCATTGATACACGCTTCCGTAATGCCGCAATCCGAGTTGTGGGTACATTCAACTGTGGGTAAATGGACAGGATAAGTAAATTGTATATTCGATATAAATAAGTTAAACCAGAGCTTCTTAGTTGGATTAAATTGTATGTATTTGATGAAGTTGTTGATTAATTTATTAGTTGCTTACTTGACTTTTGCGTTGGCACACACTTGACCATCGGATTGCCCTCGTGACCCTGTGGGCAGCTGCAAATGGGTCGATGACTCTTTGCTGTACACTTGGCAGTGGAAGCACAAATTTTGGCAAATTCGCAGGGATCGTGGCACAAACCCATGTAACAGGCTTCGCTTCCAATGCAATCATTGTTCGATTGGCATGGTTCATGTGTTTTTGGTGTGCCTGGCGGTTCTACTTGTTAGAAATTATTAAGTTAGTTAGCTTTTTGATTAATTGAGTTGGTTAATTAACTTATGATGGTAAATCAAATTTGTTAAGGAGAGAGATCATATTTACAATATATATATAATATGATTTACATATATATATATAAATATACATATATTCATCAAGTATTTGTTTCATTATTTACAAAGCAATTTGGTGTGGTACTTTCACAAGTTGTTTCTCATAAGCAAACGACAGTTTTAGTTCAGAAACGAAGTATGAAAATTAATAATTGAAATAAATTAAGTTGCTTATGTAAGCTGCTTGCAAGAGTACTTTTTGTTTCGAATTTTACATGTTGCACAATTTAGGAACGTGAAATGCACAGCTGTCACTTTGGTACTTAAATATGTCTGTGTATAAAAGGTGAATCGAAATCAATTATTTTAAATATTTACAAAGGGATTCTAAAGAATAAGGGCCTGTTAACGACATTTTGGGTACCGAAAGTGACGACAGCATAATCATAATCTTTCCTTTAGACAATTGTTTATACCTTTCTTTGTGCATTGCCCAAGTTTGCAGTGCTCGTTAGGAGCACAGTTAGTATCTATTGTACATGGGTTAATAACTGTGATAACTGTTGTGTTGGCCGGTGGTGTAGAGACTGTTGTTGTTTGCATTGGGATTAGATCATCGACTTCCGTTGTTGTGCCAGCTCTAGTTGGTAGTTCCGTTGGCCAAGGCGTCGTGCTGGTCATCGTGGTTGTATCTGGTACCTCATTTGAGGTATCCAGTCGAGTTGTTTTCATTTTTGGCGTTGTGGTTCGCCTGCCACCATCTTTGCTGGTCAGCGTTGTCGTTGTGATCACAGGCCTTGGCGTTGGCGTATCAGTTATGTTGTTCTCACCATCCCGATAGCCTTTCGTGTGGCCCGATTTGATGGTTGTTGTCTCAATGTTGGATTTACTCGTGCTTGTCTTGTTAGTGCTTATTTCTGTGCTAGTTATGATGGTGGTTGTGGTGGTGGTGCTAGTGGTGGTACCCTTGCTTGAGATTGTCGACATATCGTCGTCTGTGATAGGGTTAGCTGTTGTTGTTGTTTTTGTGGATGCTGTTGTTGGTTTCGTTGTGGTTTTCTTGGTAGTACTAGTTGTTATTGTTACATTAGCTAGGGAGAGAGATATATTTACATGGGTAAAGGGTGGTTATTGTATAATACAAATATGTACATAGTATTATATTTACACTTGTTAGTGTTTAGGCATTGCCTATGTATGATTAACGCTGAATACACCACATATAAGCTGATCTAATTGAAAGTAGAACATACCTTTAATACAGGCACCAGTTGTGGGATCACACTTTGCACCTGGCGGACAGTGTTCACAGCCAGGAGTGCGTCCTGTTGCTGTAATATCTTAAGTTAATAAACATAGTCCAGTAACTGAAGCACTATACCATTGTACTTACTGTCACGGCAGTTACATCCATCACACTCGAAACCTTTCCGACAATCCGACTTACGTTGGCATTCACAGACTGCATGTTAAGAGATATAAAATAAAATATTATTCATATTGATCGCCAGGAGAATGTGAGATAAACGCACCGCTGGCACAAACTGGTTGGTGGGCAATGACACGACAATCCTCACTACGGCCGCATGGATTCTCATAGGCGCAGGGATCCACACAAAGTGCATTCACGCATGCCTGTTGAGTCGGGCACTCATCGCTCGAGGCACAACCGATTTCTGATATTGGATTTGGGTTAGCGTTGCAAAGTAAGCAAATTGTTTAAATTAATTAAGGTATAATATAAGATTTTCGGTTAAGACATTCGTTTGGATATGTTTAATTGATATTATCAGTGTTTATTTTATTTAAGAAACCTGTTTGATAGGTAGTTTTTCTTGACTTGTTTCAATACTGTTAGTACATTATTATTATATTTCAGATATTTGTTCTTTTGCACCCACTTGAGGCACATTCTAGCACATCTAATTAACTATAATTATTATTAAAATATTATGTTAAGATATTGTTTAGCTGTTGTTGTTGTTGTTGTTTTTTAGTGTTGTCGCAAAACAACATATACACATGCAAGCAAGCGAGTAATAAGGATACGATTATTTGGGGTTAGTGCAACTTTAGATAAGCCTTAGATCATAAAACACCGATTAGTACTGTCACCCAGCCAGTCATGCAATTGATTAATAATACTATGTTCAACTAAATATAACTTACTGTACGTAATTATGTGTACAATTGGATAAAGTATATGAATATGTATGTACAAACAAACATATGTACTAAATACAACAAAAATCAACACAAATATTCTTATATTTATTATACAGAGATGATGAGATCGTAACACTGACATATAACATGCACATCGAGCACAGTCCGAAACGAAACGAAACATTCTGAGAGACATTCAACATAATGTTATATGATATAGGTCTTGATGATACACGTACTGGCAGCAGGCAGGCAGGCAAACAAAAGCAGGCAACTAACATGAACGAGAACAAGAACTAGACAGAGTGAGCTCTATTTAATTGGCATTCAAACATTGGTGAATACATTTATTGCTCCATTTGTGAACACATACATAGAGTTCAAGAGGAAATCTGAGTGGTATTTTTGGTGATGGGTGGTTGTGGTGAGTGCAGGCATATACATACATATACGAATAACAGCGAAGAGCCAGTGATAAGAGCCGAGGGGAAGAAGTACAAATGCAGTAGAGAGTAAAGCTTTCTGTTGGCCATCATATTGGCACACAAAAAACATTGGGATTGAATTGCAAGGACCCGAACGAAAAAATAAAACATGCACGTGCCAGCCAACAGGTTCGGCTGGTCAGTTATGGCACAAGTGGAAGGAGATATGATAAGAAGTCCATAAGAAGAGATAAAGTAGACAATATGACATCAAATTGAAGTAGGCTGCTACGTATTGCCAGATGCATTGGCGATTAAAGTAGTTGGAGCCACGGATTCCAAAAAGAAACCACCACAACCATGTGGTTTGCAACTCATTCAATTTATAAGGAACACGTGGATCGATATTTAGACTTAACATTTACAAACACAGCTTTAGTTACCTGCAGTAATAGAGCAACCGGGTTTATTTACATCGGCGTCGATATCACAATAGCACATAGCGGTGTGGTTCAAAGTACGACAAACAGTATAATTTTGAACATTACAAAGGTTATCATAATACTCGCAGGGTCTAATGCAATTTGCTTTCACACATATTTCATCGTCCGAGCAATCGTTTGTCATCGTACAATCATGTAAAGTTTCTGTTATGTAAACGTTTGTCATGTCTGTGGTTGTTGTCATTGGGGTTACTTCTCCTAAACCTAAGCCTATCGTGGTTCTACCTATACCACTTTGAGTAGTTGTGCTGTCAGGATAGCCCATTGTTGTGAAATAGAAAGGAACTGTTCTATTTAAAATATTTTCAGTTGTGGTGGGATAACGGCTTACATAAGAGTCATTAACCACGGTCGAAGAAATTGTAGTTTCCTTAAATCTTGACGCTGCAGTAGTCGTATCTATTGTTGTGCTTTCAGGTTGAAAAGTTGTTTGTCTCTCTTCACTTGTAGTTTGGGGAACGGTCAATGGAGTCGTTGAATCTTCCTGGGTTGATATGTCAGGGGATGTACTTGAAGATACTTTATCAGCTGAACTAGTTGTTAATTCAGTTACAGTAAACATAACTCCAGAGTCAGGTGGTATTGTAGTACCAGAAGAAGGAACGGGCGAGGTTCTGTCACTTAAGGTGGTTGTTGTCATTCGTTGAGTTGGGTGTGTTTTCGGATATGCATGAGTGGTTGATTCAGTTGTAGTAAATGGAACTTTAGATTCTCCAGAGTCAGGTGGTATTGTAGTACCAGAAGAAGGACCGGGTGAGGTTGTGTCAGTTAAGGTGGTTGTTGTCAATCGTTCTGTTGGTAAAGTTTTTGGATATTCCTGGGTCGTTGATTCAGTTGTAGTATATGGAACTTTAGATTCTCCAGAGTCAGGTGGTATTGTAGTACCAGAAGAAGCGCCGGGTGAGGTTGTGCCACTTAATATGGTTGTTGTCATTCGTTGAGTTGGGGATGTTTTTGGATATTCATGGGTCGTTGATTCAGTTGTAGTATATGGAACTTTAGATTCTCCAGAGTCAGGTGGTATTGTAGTATCAGAAGAAGGACTGGGTGAGGTTGTGTCAGTTAAGGTGGTTGTTGTTATCCGTTCAGTTGGAGATGTTTTTGGATATTCATGGGTCGTTGATTCAGTTGTAGTATATGGAACTTTAGATTCTCCAGAGTCAGGTGGTATTGTAGTACCAGAAGAAGGACCGGGTGAGGTTGTGTCAGTTAAGGTGGTTGTTGTCAATCGTTCTGTTGGTAAAGTTTTTGGATATTCCTGGGTCGTTGATTCAGTTGTAGTATATGGAACTTTAGATTCTCCAGAGTCAGGTGGTATTGTAGTACCAGAAGAAGCACCGCGTGAGGTTGTGCCACTTAATATGGTTGTTGTCATTCGTTGAGTTGAGGATGTTTTCGGATATGCATGAGTCGTTGATTCAGTTGTAGTAAATGGAACTTTAGATTCTCCAGAGTCAGGTGGTATTGTAGTACCAGAAGAAGGACCGGGTGAGGTTGTGTCAGTTAAGGTGGTTGTTGTTATCCGTTCAGTTGGAGATGTTTTTGGATATTCATGGGTCGTTGATTCAGTTGTAGTATATGGAACTTTAGATTCTCCAGAGTCAGGTGGTATTGTAGTATCAGAAGAAGGACTGGGTGAGGTTGTGTCAGTTAAGGTGGTTGTTGTTATCCGTTCAGTTGGAGATGTTTTTGGATATTCATGGGTCGTTGATTCAGTTGTAGTATATGGAACTTTAGATTCTCCAGAGTCAGGTGGTATTGTAGTATCAGAAGAAGGACTGGGTGAGGTTGTGTCAGTTAAGGTGGTTGTTGTTATCCGTTCAGTTGGAGATGTTTTTGGATATTCATGGGTCGTTGATTCAGTTGTAGTATATGGAACTTTAGATTCTCCAGAGTCAGGTGGTGTTGTAGTATCAGAAGAAGGACTGGGTGAGGTTGTGTCAGTTAAGGTGGTTGTTGTTATCCGTTCAGTTGGAGATGTTTTTGGATATTCATGGGTCGTTGATTCAGTTGTAGTATATGGAACTTTAGATTCTCCAGAGTCAGGTGGTATTGTAGTACCAGATGAAGGACCGGGTGAGGTTGTGTCAGTTAAGGTGGTTGTTCTCATGAGTTCAGTTGGAGATGTTTTTGGATATTCCTGGGTCGTTGATTCAGTTGTAGTATATGGAACTTTAGATTCTCCAGAGTCAGGTGGTATTGTAGTACCAGATGAAGGACCGGGTGAGGTTGTGTCAGTTAAGGTGGTTGTTCTCATGAGTTCAGTTGGAGTTGTTTTTGGATATTCCTGGGTCGTTGATTCAGTTGTAGTATATGGAATTTTAGATTCTCCAGAGTCAGGTGGTATTGTAGTACCAGAAGAAGGAGCTTGTGAGGCTCTGCCACTTACGGTAGTTGTTTTTATCCGTTCAGTTGGAGTTGTTTTCGGATATTCATGGGTCGTTGATTCAGTTGTGGTATATGGAACTTTAGATTCTCCAGAGTCAGGTGGTATTGTAGTATCAGAAGAAGGACCGGGTGAGGTTGTATCAGTTAAGGTGGTTGTTCTCATGCGTTCAGTTGGAGTTGTTTTTGGATATTCCTGGGTCGTTGATTCAGTTGTAGTATATGGAACTTTAGATTCTCCAGAGTCAGGTGGTATTGTAGTACCAGAAGAAGGACCGGGTGAGGTTGTGTCAGTTAATGTGGTTGCTGTCATGCGTTCTGTTGGTACAGATTCTGGATAAGCATGGGTCGTTGATTCAGTTGTAGTAAATGGAGCTTTAGATTCTCCAGATTCAGGTGGTATTGTGGTACCAGAAGAAGGAGCTTGTGAGGCTCTGCCACTTACGGTAGTTGCTGTTATCCGTTCAGTTGAAGATGTTTTCGGATATTCATGGGTTGTTGATTCAGTTGTATTAAATGTAACTTTAGATCCATCAGAGATCGGTGGTATGGTAGTACCCAAAGAAGGTCCTTGAGACGTTGTGTCGGATAACGTCGTTGTTGTTATTCGTTCGGTCGAAATAGTTTTCGGATATTCATGAGTTGTTGACTCAGTTGAAGCAAGTGAAACTTGAGAATCCCCATGCGATGTTGTGTCAGATGGAGTAGATTCTGTAACCTGATCAAGTGGGATTGTTGTTGGATATTCGTGGGATGTTGATTTAGTTGTAGTGAATGGAACTATAGATTCTCCAGAGTCAGGTGGTATATTAGTACCAGGTGAAGGACCGGGTGGTGTTGTGCCAGTTAGGGTGGTTGTTGTCATTCGTTCAGTTGGAGATGTTTTCGAATATACAAGGGTCGTTGATTCTGTTGTAGTAAATGGAACTTTCGATTCTCCAGAGTCAGGTGGTATTGTTGTACCAGAAGAAGGACCGGGTGTGGTTGTGTCAGTTAATGTGGTTACTGTCATGCGTTCTGTTGGTACAGTTTCTGGATAAGCATGGGTCGTTGATTCAGTTGTAGTAAATGGAACTTTAGATTCTTTATACTCAGGTGGTATTGTAATACTAGAAGAAGGACCGGGTGATGTGTCAGTTAAGGTGGTTGTTCTCATGCGTTCAGTTGGAGTTGTTTTTGGATATTCCTGGGTCGTTG